AAAACAATACAATATTGGGTTATATAATTTTTGTCCAGATTATATGGCAAAGACTGCTCAGCTTTCCCCAAACTCAGAATTGTGGGTAGTTTTACTCTAGTAGTGCTAGAAAATTACTAGATTATATATTATTCTCTGAGATTATTCTCTAGGTATACCTGACCTAAATTTATTGGAAAATTATAAATGATTAGAAAATAATTTTTAGAACTTTTGACAAACCTAGCAAAGTGGATTTTATGCCTATCTTTTTTTGTTTTTAATGTATCCTCAGCCACTCTCTTGACTACATTGTTTTAGGGCAAATTTATGTTTATTACACTGTAACTTATATATAGTAAAATCACCTGTTTTTAGGTATACTGTTCTTTGAATTCTTGAAAATAATGTCATGTAACCATTACTAAATAGCACATAGAATTTATCACCCCAGACATTCCTTTATGTCTTTTTATAGTCCATCGCCTCCCCTAACCCTCATTCCTGGTAACCACAGATCTGTTCTTTGACTCTAAAGTTTTGCCTTTTCTAGAATGTCACATAAATGAAATCATAACATAAGAAGCTCATTTGAGTCTGGCTTCTTTCACATAGCATATTATACTTTATATTCATTAACCTTTTGCATGTAATTTGTTTAATTTTATTGATGAGTATTATTCCATTATATGAATGTACAATTTATCCATTTACCAATTGATAGACTATTGAATTGTTTCTGGGTTTTGGTGATTATGAATGAAGCTTCTAAACATTTATGTACAGGGGTGCCTGGGTGGCTCAGTCGTTAAGCATCTGCCTTCGGCTCAGGTCATGATCCCAGGGTCCTGGGATCGAGCCCTGCATCAGGCTCCCTGCTTGGCGGGAAGCCTGCTTCTCCCTCTCCCCTCCCCCTGCTTGTGTTCCCTCTCTCGTTGTGTCTCTGTAAAAAAAAATAAGTAAATAAACATTTATGTACAGGTTTTTGTGTGTACATATATTTTCATATCTCTTAGTTGAATACCAAGAAGTAGGATTTCTGGGATATATGATAAGTGTATATTTAAATTGATAGAAACTGCCAAATATGATTTTATGATAGATAACATCCATTTATGATAAAAACTCTCAACAAAGTGGGTATAGAGAGAACATACATCAACATAATGAAGGCCATATATGACAAGGCCGCAGCTAACATCATACTCAATGGTGAAAAACTGAAAGCTTTTCTTCTAAGATCAGGAACAAGACAAGGATGCCCATTCTTGTCACTTTTTAAATTTGTTTTATTTATTGAAGTACAGTTAACATGCAATGTTGTATTAGTTTCAGGTGTACATCATAGTGATTCAACAATTCTGTGTATTACTTAGTTCTACCCATGGGAAGTGTAGTTACCATCTGTCACCACAAAATGGTATTACAGTATTATTGACTATATTCCCTATGCTGTAATTTTTCTCACCACTTTTATTCAGCTTTTATTCATAATATTAGAAGTCCTACTGAGGACAATTAGACAAAAAAAAGAAATAAAAGGCATCCAAATTGGAAAGAAAGAAGTAAAATGGTTACTATTTGCAGATAATAAGACATTATATATAGAAAACTAAAGGTCCTAACAAAAAAACTTAGAACTAATAAACAAATTCCATAAAGTTGTAAAATATAAAATCAATATAGAAAAACCAGTTGCATTCTATTCACTAATAAACTATCAGAAAAAGATATTAAGAAAGCTATCCCATTATAATTGCACCAAAAAGAATAAAAAATTTAACCAAGGAGGTGAAAGACCTGTACACTGAAAACTATAAGACACTGACAAAAGAAATTGAAGATGACACAAACAAATGGAAAGATATTCCATGCTCAGGGATTGGAAAGACAAATATTGTTAAAATATCCATACTACCCAAAGCAATCTACACACTCATTGTAATCCCTATCAAAATTCCAGTGGCATTTTTCACAGACCTAGAACAAATAATCCTAAAATTTGTATGGAACCACAGAAGACCCTGAATAGCCAAAGCAATCTTGAGAAAGAACAAAGCTAGAGCCACCCTACTTTCTGATTTCAAACTTTATTACAAAGCCATAGTAATAAAAACTGTATGGTACTGGCATAAAAACAGACACATAGATCAATGGAACAGAACAGAGAGTGCAGAAATAAGCCCTTGCATATTTGGTCAATGTGTTCATGACAGAGCAGCCAAGAATATACAATTGGAAACGACAGACTCTTTGATAAGTGGTGCTGGGAAAACTGGACAGCTGTATGCAAAAGAATGAAACTGGACTGCTATCTTAGACCATGCACAAAAATTAGCTCAAAATGGATTAAAGACTTGCATATAAGCCCTGAAACCACAAAACTTCTAGAAGAAAACATAGGCAGTAAGCTCTCTGACATCGGTCTTTGAAAACATTTTAAAAACCCCAAATTTTGTCTATTAATACAATAGCATAGGTAAAGTCAAAGAACAAATAACAAAATGGGAGAAACTATTTGCAATATATATCACAGAAGAAATATAGAAAAGCGGGCAAAAGTCATGGATATACAAATCATAAAAAAGATATAAAATGGCCCATGAACATATTAAGAGATGTTTGATTTTACTTATAATAAGAAATATGCAAAAAAAAAGAAATATGCAAACTAAAATAGAGATGCAATTTCTCACCCATTAGACTGACAAAAATTGAAAACCTTGACAACATATTCTGTTTGTCAGGTTGTAGAGAAAAAGGCATTTATCTATAACTCATGATCATGTAAAATACTACCATTCTTCTGGAGGGAATTTGGCAATGTCTAACAAAACTATACATGCATTTATCTTTTGACTCAGCAATTCCACTTCTAGGAATTTTCCCTGAAGATACCCTGCACCAATGTGAAAATACAGATGCATAAGGTTATTCATTACAGAATTATTTGAAATTGCAAAATTATGGAAAATACTTAAAGTGTAAACATTGGAGATTAGTTAAATAAACTATAGCTTCTATATTGTACAACTATAAAAAGGAATTTTAAAAAAAGAATTTAATACCAGTACTTTTTATACCACTGATTTTATGCCTTTCCAACATTTAAAGCTACAGATTTCCCTCTGAGCACTTTTACTGCATCTCACAAAATTTTATATGTTATGCTTTGATCATAACTTATTTAAAATATTTTCTAATTTACCTTGTGATAGCTTTTTGAAATATGAGCTGTTTAGAAATGTACTATTTAATTTCCAAATATTTGGACAATTTCTAGGTATCTTCTTGTTACTGGTTTCTAATTTAATAACCTTTGTCAGAGAATTTATTTTGCACAATTTAAAAGCTTTTAAATTGATTAGATTTGTTTTAAAGACTAGCATGTGGTCTATCTAGGTGAATATTCCATGTGCACTTGAAAGAATGTATATTCTGTAGTTGTTGGGTAGTGTTCTATAAATATCCATTAGGTTAGATTTTTTGCTAGTTTGGTTGAATATTCTAATCCTTACTGATGTTTATTCTACTTGTTCTATTAATTACTAAGTGCAAGGTGTTCAAATCTGCAGCTCTGATTGTGGGCTCATCTATTCCTACCTTTAATTCTTTAAGTTTTTGCTTACAAGAAAGCTCTTGTTAGATGTACACATTTGGTATTGCAAAATTTATATATATGACCTTATGTAATGTACTTTGTCTATTGCTCTCTTTTGTCTTATTTTTGTTGCTCCTTTGTTCCTTTCCCCCAATTTCCTTACTTACATTTATACTGTCACCTATCTTATTTTATTTAAAATAAAGCTTTTAATTGATATTGCTAAATTATTTTACAGAAAGTTTATCAAATCATCCATAGGCAATATATGAAAATAATTATTCTTGGTGCACTTACATATTTCACATTATAATATCCATCTCTCTGTTTAGTTCTTTCAGTTTTGTAATACATGTTTTTCAGACTGTCACTAAGTACATACAAATTTAGAATTGTTATGTCCATCTAAAACATCATTATGAAATGTTTCTCTTTATCTCTAAAAATTCCTCTTCACATAAGGTCTACTTTGTCATATTTGTGTAGCTACACTGCTCTCTTTTGTTTAGTGTTTATCTATTATATCTCTCTTTTTTGGGGGGGTTTCTTTTTTTAAAATTTAAATTCAATTAATTAATATATAATATATTATTAGTTTCAGAGGTAGAGGTCAGTGATTCATGAGGTTTTTTTTTTCATCCAACAAGAAGCCATAACTTTATTAATGATAGAAACAGTACAAATTTCAAAACAAGCTGCAGTTATTCTTTTGAAAAACCAAAAAAAGTCCTCGTTTTCAGATGGTTATATTGTTAATTCCATAATAGCATTTACAATATCATTACAGTTGTTCTTCAGGGCTCGGACTGCCTTTGCTCTTGACGCATTTGCTTGTGACATGACCAGTTCTATGTCCTTACCCTCTTCACCGGTTTCATCAACCTCTTCCTCTTCCCTCTCCTCTTGCATAGTTGGAGTCTGTGTGTTTTCTTGAATGTTTGAGACAGCTTCACCTTGAACTTTGAATTTCTCAGCAGCTGCTAGTTGTGCTTGCTGAGATAAATCCTCGATCGTGGCTTCCCCCAAAACTACGTAGGTATCTGAAGCTGGGCTCTTGTAGACATTTGGTTTTGTAATGACAAAGAGGATATTCTCAGATTTCCAAATAGTGACTCTTGTAACCCCTGTAACCTGTCGAAGACCCAGTTTGGACATAGCCTTCTGTACCTTCTTTTCACTCCAGCTCTGTTTTGCTTTACTGACTGGTTCTTCATTGATTTCAGCGGCTGCTGCCAGCTGGGCTTGTTATGTGGTTGCCTGTGTGGAATCCTGTTCCTCAAGCTCTGGTAATGAGTCATCATCACTGTCAGATTCTGGTCCAGACCCTGTCTCAGCCTGGGGCTGTGGCAACTCCTGTTCTGTAACAGGAACAGTTTCTGTGGCTTTACCAGGCATTTTGTGAGGGGAACGCGGAACCAAGATGGCGGCAGAAAGAGCTGATTCATCAGTCTTAGAGAAGGGTATTTACCCCAAAGATACAAATGTAGTGATCCGAAGGGGCACCTGCACCCCAATGTTTATAGCAGCAATGTCCACAATAGCCAAACTGTGGAAAGAGCCAAGATGTCCATCAACAGATGAATGGATAAAGAAGATGTGGTATATATACACAATGGAATATTATGCAGCCATCAAAAGGAATGAGATCTTGCCATTTGCAACGACGTGGATGGAACTGGAGGGTATTATGCTGAGTGAAATAAGTCAGAGAAAGACATGTATCATATGACCTCACTGATATGAGGAATTCTTAATCTCAGGAAACAAACTGAGGATTGCTGGAGTGGTGGGGGGTGGGAGGGATGGGGTGGCTGGGTGATGGACATTGGGGAGGGTATGTGCTATGGTGAGCGCTGTGAATTGTGTAGGACTGATGAATCACAGACCTATACGCCTGAAGCAAATAATTTATAAGAAAAAAAAGAATACCCAGTGCTCATTACATCACGTGCCCTCCTTAATGTCCATCACCTGGTTACCCCATCCCCTACCCCCTTCCCCTCCAGCAACCCTCAGTTTGTTTCCTATGATTAAGAGTCTCTTATGGTATGTCTTCATCTCTGATTTTATCTTGTTTTATTTTTCCCTCCCTTCCCCTATGCTCCTCTGTTTTGTTTCTTAAATTCCACATGTGAGTATTGTCGCCTATTTTAAATTATTTTAGGAACAGAGCAGTCCATAGATAAATACAAATACTGTCTTTTAAGTATAATTTTATATATTGGAATAATTTTTCCCACTTATCTTTAAAACATAAAGGAGAAACATGAAAAGTCCTCTCTAATTGGAGGTGATTATCTCTTCTCAGGAGATAAAAGTCAATTTTACAACATCACCATTCACAAAAATGAAATTACAGCCATTCATGACCTTCAGCAAAATTTAAATGTCATCAGAATCTATCTAACAGATGATAAAATAAAGGAGGCTTTGGATAATACTAATCCTATTGGTGAGTAATTATTTTAATTTAAAATAGCAAAGCTTGAGGATTTCAGAAGTTTCACCCTATATACCTAAGAAGATATATCCCCTTTATATCTTTTAAAAGAAAATTAAAAATGTATTTTCTTTTCTTTTGATTGATGGGTTTATATTGAAGGAATTGATTTTCAGAGTATATCTCCGACAGCTTTATTTCAGGTCTAATCTGCATATCATGTACATCACAGTAGGATTGCCAGTCCTCTCTGTTATTTTTGTGTTTATAGCTCTGGTTTTATAACATCAAATAGTCTTCTTTACAAGAATATCTAAATTCTTTCTCTCTTTTTTTTAAAAAAAAGATGAAGTGGTGAATTTTAAGGATTTTATCAGAGCATTGAACAACAGTGATGAATTTATCGAGTGCCAAAGTAAGTATGGAATTTGAAATGAATATGAACAGAAACTTCATTTATTTTTGGTTGGTGTATATATAGGTATGTGTGTGTATAAATTATATATATATATATTTTTTTAAAATATTTAATTTATTTATTTATTAGAAAGAGAGAGAGAGCACAAGCAGGGGGAGTAGCAGGTAGAGGGAGAAGCAGGCTCCCCGCTGAGCAAGGAGCCCCATGCGAGACTTGATCCCAGTACCCTGGGATCATGACCTGAGCCGAAGGCAGATGCTTAACTGACTGAGCCACCCAGGAGTCCCTAAATTATATATATTTTATATATACTCTACCAAGCCCCTTTTTCCCCCATTTTCTCATTTAAACATAGTTGATTAGTATATTTTTTAAAGTCTAGGTTTTCAAACATATGAACACAAAATTTTCATATACTTTTTTAGAAAGATTTATTTATTTGAGAGAGAGAGAGTGAGGGGAGGGGGAGAGGAAGTGAATCTTTGAAGCAGACTCCCCACTGAGCGTGGAGCCCCACTCGGGGCTCCATCCCATGACCCTGAGATCATGACCTGAGCCAAAATCAAGAGTTGGACACTTAACCGACGGAGCTACCCATGCGCCCCTTGAATTACTTTAAAAATCTCTGTTACCTCTATTTCTTCCTTTTCGTGTGTTTTATTGCTCCGTTCTCTCTTTTTTCTTTATCACTGCTGACAGGTTTATCCATTTTATTATCAAAGTAATCAGATTTGGGTTTTTTAATCACCTCTAGTGACTTTTGCCCTCTTCTGTTCTTTCTTATTTCCTCATTTTATTATTATTATTATTTTTACATTTACTCTCTAGTTCTTTGTCAAAAACTTTAGCTAAATGGTTAACTTTTTCAGTCACAGTTCTATCATGGAGATACTAAAACAGCCTTGGACCACAGACATTGAGATTGAGAATTATAGTCCTCACACTGGGGTTTTAAAGAGTATTAAAATCAGTGGATTCTCTCTAAATTAATCTGCACTTTGAATGCATTTTCACTCACTATCTCAGGATAGGTGGGAACCTTGACAAAATAATTTTATTTTTTTTTTGGAAGATTATAGGTCTATGAATAGCTAAGACCCTTTTGAAAAAATAATGAAGAGGAACTTACTTTATCAGATATTATTACATATTATAATGCTACTTTAATATAGTGTTACAAATAGACCAATGCATCATAATATAGACCAACAGAGACTCCTATTAATGGGAACTTGGAATGTGATTGAGATGACATCATTAGTCAGTGGGGGAAAAGATATTTAGTATATAATTTGAGAAAATTGGCTTACTATGTGGGAGAAAACAGAGTAGAATCCCTACTTCATACTGTATACAGAAATAACTTTCAAGAATCAAATGTATATGAAAATGGATCTCAAAGGTAAAACTATACAGCTGATAGAAGAAAATGTAAGAAAAAATATTGTGCCTTATGGTCATGGATGCCTTCTTAAAAATACTACTCCCCCATGGGGCGCCTGGGTGGCTCAGTTGGTTAAGCAACTGCCTTCGGCTCAGGTCATGATCCCGGAGTCCCAGGATCGAGCCCCGCATCAGGCTCCCTGCTCAGCAGGGAGTCTGCTTCTCCCTCTGACCCTCCTCCCTCTCATGCTCTCTGTCTCTCATTCTCTCTCTCGCAAATAAATAAAATCTTAAAAAAAAAATAAATAAAATAAATAAAAAATAAATAAATAAAAATACTACTCTCCCAAAGCACAACCATAGGGTGAAAAAGGATGTAATTACATCAAAATTAAGGATTTCTGGTAAATGAAGGACTCTAAAATATATAACAGACTATAAGAAGACAATCACAAGATAATTAACAAAAGATTAATATCTCAAAATATAAGGAAATTCCACAAATCAGCAGTAGAAAGAAAAAAAATCAATTGAAAAAATAAGTAAGGATCTAAGAAGTCAGTACAGGAGGTGAAACCCAAATAGCTAAATATGTATATGAAGAGAATTGGAAATACTCACAAATTGCTGGTGAGTAGGTAAAATGATACAGCATTCCAGATTGCAACCTAGCAGTACTTGTCAAATAAGTATGCATGTTTCTTATGGCCCAGTAATTCTGTTTTTAGATTAATAGCCCAGAGAAGTTTCTTGTAGAGACATGTACAAGGGTGCTCCCTGCAATACTATGGGAGGATAGAAATGAAAGCAACATAGGTGTCCATCATTAGGGAAATGGTTGACTAAAACATGGTCCATATATATCACACATCATAACAATAACTAGATTTATATTTGCACCAGAGAGAGACCTCAATAATAATATGGTTCCATGAAGAAAGGAAAAAATAGAATAAATGCATAGCACACAATGCTTTATGTAAATTAGATTTCTACTAATGCCCATAACACTGTATTTATATATTTTTTCAGGTGAGCACATAATTCTATTATTTATTTATTTATTTTTATTTTATTTTTAAATTAACATAATGTATTTTTTTTCAGGGGTACAGGTCTGTGATTCGTCAGTCTTACACAATTCACAGCACTCACCATAGCACATACCCTCCCCAGTGTCCCTCACCCAGCCACCCCATCCCTCCCACCCCCCTCCACTCCAGCAACCCTCAGTTTGTTTCCTGAGATTAAGAGTCTCTTATGGTTTGTCTCCCTCTCCGGTTTTGTCTTGTTTCATTTTTCCCTCCCTTCCCCTATGATCCTCTGTCTTGTTTCTCACATAATTCTAAATAGAAAGATGAGAGATTAATTGAAAGAAATTGAGAAAGAGATTGAGATTGAAATGACAATATTAATAAACTTGACTTAAGAAACAGATTATATAATACTTTGTATCCTAAAAACTTAGAATACACATTCTTTTCAAATGCTTATGGAACAATCACAAAAATAGATGATGTATTTAAGTCACAAAGAAAAATTTCAATGCATTCTAAAAATCAGAAGTTGTTCAGAACACATAGTCTGACCATAATGTAGTAACATTAAAATTACTTTTAATTTGGAAGTTAAAAGAATTTGCAATGTTACTTTTAATTTGGAAATTAAAAGAATTTGGAATGAGAATATAGAAAAATGTTGCTTTTACGACTAAAAACAAATGGTCTTCTAAGTAATTTTTTGGTTGAAGAATAAAAGAAACCTGAAAGTAAGAATTTTTAGAAATGATGACATTGAAAGCACTACATATCAAAATAATGTAAACTGTGGCCAAAACAATCTTACAGGATATTTTATAGTATTAAATGCTTTTATTAGAAAACAAGAAAGACAAACCATGAGAAACTCTGGACTCCGAGAAACAAACTGAGGGTTACAGAGAGGAGGGGGTGGGGGGATGAGGCAACCGGGTGATGGGTATTAAGGAGGGCACGTGTTGTGATGAGCACTGGGTGTTATATGCAACTATTGAATCGTTGAACACTACATCAGAAACTAATGATGTACTATATGCTGGCTAAATGAACATAATAAAAAAAGAGAAAAGAAACATTGAAAATAATTTTTCTTAAATGTTCAACTCATGAAGCTTACCAGCAACATAACAAAACAGCAAAAACAATCCCCTCAAAAAGTACTAGTCAGGAGCTAATAAAGTTGAAGGTAGAAGTTAGTGAAATAGAACACACACACACAAAAGAAATTATTCATGTAACCAAAACTTTGTTCTTTCAAAAGATTAATAGAGAATGCTTTAGGAAATATGATGAAGGGGAAAAAAATAGGACGTAAAAAAGAAGATCATCATAACTTGGATACAAAGGAGATTAAAATATATAAATGAATAATAAAACTAAGCTAATAAAGCACCAAATCATTGGCATCTTATCAACAACACTGTCATTCTTTCCAAACATTTGGATGAAGACAGAAAGGGCTGCTTCCTCCCCCCTCACAATAATGGCACTGTTTTCTTTGGGATCATTTTGATATTTTGTTGTTTTTGTTTAGCTTCATGAGTTGAACTAATATAGTAAAATATTTCAGTATTTCTTGTTTTTTTTTTTTAAGATTTTATTTATTTATTTGAGAGAGAGCGCGTAAGAGCACACAAGCAGGGGGAGCAGCAGAGGGAGAGGAGAAGCAGGCTCCCCGCTGAGCAGGGAGCTAGATGAGGAGCAGTGTTTCTTGTTTTCTAATATAAGCATTTAAACCTATAAATTATGTGGAGCTCTCAGTTTGGAGAATATTTCAGAGAGGCAAAACCCTCAAGACTGTGTTTTCAAGAAAATGAATACATTTCACCCAAATCAAGTTGTGAAGTGCTTATCTGGATAGACTGACCAACTAAATATCTTTACGTTTTGTCACTTCTCTATATAGAAATAGAAGATGCATCTAACATTGTTAATAGTGTCTTTGATGGGAAAGTTGAAGTTAAAGACCTTTTATCTCCCTTGGAGAGCGTGGAGAAACTTTTAAGTAAAGAAAAACCTGAGGCGTTACTGAACTGTGCAACAGACAGTAAGTACTTGAGTTACCTCACAGGTTTCCTGTTTAGAGTATACATGTTCACACAAGCTAATTTTTTTTTAAGAATAATAATACTGTATGCTTAGGAAGGTTGTTATAGAAATAATGTTTATATATTGGTCACTGTGAACTGTTAGAACCTTTTTGGAAAGTGTATGGATATTCTTTATTTGGAGGAGACGAATAGAAGCAAGTAGTCTTGTTATCCATGTTTCAAAACCGGATACTCCTTTATTAGATTATGATGGTCACAATAATAAATATGATAGAACCCTGCCCTTCCAGTTCCCCAACCCTGGATTCCAGAGATAGGGTAATTCTTACAAACAGAGTTCCACCAATAAATGTAATATTTACTGTGGTATTTTCATAAATGATGTTCACCAGACTGAAGAAATAGCCTTCTATTCCTTTCTTGCTAAAGGATTGAGTTTATATTTATTTGGTTTATCATGAATTTCCCAAACAATTTTTATGCATCTGTTTAGATAGCTCATAGGAGTTTTTCTTGTAATCTATGAGTGTGGTGAATTATATTGAATTTTTAAATATTAAATGAAACTTAAAATTTTGGAAAAACCCATTTTGGTCATGATATATTATCCTTTTTATATATTGCTGGGTTCATTTTTCTAATACTTTGTTTACAATTTCTACATCTCTGTGAGTAAGACTAACCTGGTATTTTCTCATACTACTATTGTCAGGCTTCAGTGTCAGATTATCCTCATAATTTGAAAAGTATTTTCTCTTTTTTCTAAATTTGGCATAGTTTGGGTAACATTGGAATTGCATATTCTTTTCATGTCTCATGGTATTCACCAACACAGTCGTTTGAGCCTTGATATTCTTTTTGGGTAGGTTTTTGATTACTCATTCATCTTCTTTCATGCCATAGGATTACTTAGGTTTTCTGTTTTGTTTTGTTTTGTTTTTAAGATTTTATTTATTTATTTGAGAGAGAGAATGAGAGACAGAGAGCACGAGAGGGAAGAGAGAGGGAGAAGCAGACCCCCCGCCAAGCAGGGAGCCCGATATGGGACTTGATCCCGGGACTCCAGGATCATGACCCGAGCTGAAGGCAGTTGCTTAACCAACTGAGCCACCCAGGCGCCCTTCTGTTTATTCTTGAGTCAAATTTTGCTAAGTTTGTTTTTTCAAAGAGGTTGTCCTTTTCATATGAAAAATTATCGCTATAGTGCTATTAAGTTTTTAATAATTAGCGCTTAGGGGGCGCCTGAGTGGCTCAGTCGTTAAGCGTCTGCCTTCGGCTCAGGTCATGATTCCAGGTCCTGGGATCGAGCCCCGCATCGGGCTCCCTCCTCGGCAGGAAGCCTGCTTCTCCCTCTCCCACTCCCACTGCTTGTATTCCCTCTCTTTCTGTGTCTCTCTCTGTCAAATAAATAAATAAAATCTTAAAAAATATAATAATAATAATAAGCGCTTAGTAGTTTTGTAATATTTGCAGCATCTGTGGTAATGCTCCCATCTTATTCCTCATATTGGTTCTTTTTTCTTTTTAGATCATCTATGCTAATGGTTTGTCAATTTTAATAACTCTTAATTAATTCTCAGCTTTCTGATCCTATTGTGTGTTTGTTGACTGTTTCCTCAATTTTTGTTTTTATCTTAATCATTTTCTTCTCCACGATTTGTTTAAGCTTATTTTGTGACATTTTAATATATATTTCATATATATATTATGAAATGACCACAATAATAAGTCTAGTTAATATCTATCACCATACATAGTTACAAAAACTTTTTCTTGTGTTAAGAAATTTTAAGATTTGCTCTCTTAGCAATCTTCAAATATGCAATACAGTATTATTAACTATATTTTTTATTTTTTTTAATTTAATTTAATTTAATTTAATTTAATTTAATTTAATTTTAAAGATGTTATTTATTTATTTGACAGAGAGAAACACAGCGAGAGAGGGAACACAAGCAGGGGGAGTGGGAGAGGGAGAAGCAGGCTCCCCGCCGAGCAGAGAGCCTGACGCGGGGCTCGATCCCAGGACCCTGGGATCATGACCTGAGCCGAAGGCAGAGGCTTAACCATCTGAGCCACCCAGGCGCCCCTATTAACTGTATTTTTTAGATATATATATATTTTCCATTCTTTTGATTTCACTCTTCCTGTATTCTTATTCTTCTGAAGAAAAAAAAAGATAAATTTGGAACCATGTGAGGGAAACTAAAATTTGAAAGAACGAAATAGGACTTCTAGAAATTAAAAAAGTAGCAATTAAAATTAATTAGTGGACAATAATGTCAGCAGATTAAACATAGGTGAAGAAATATGAACTGCAAAATAGTTTGAAGAAATGATACAAAATGTAGCATAGAAAGAGAAATAGAATACAAGAAAGAGGCTTAGAGGAAGGCAGAATGAAAAGGCTACTTATTGCAGTAATTGGTTTGAAATATATATGTATATCAGATTACAATGTTATATACTTTACACTTACATTATAATTAATATAATGTTATATGTGAATTATATCTCAGTAAAGCTAAAAAAAAGAAAAAATGAAAAGACATGATATATATCCATTCAGGGGAGAAGAGACAGAATGGTTGCAGAGAAAATATTTGGAGAACTATAGCTGAGAATTTTCTAGAATGAGAAAGACCTAAACCTACCAATTCAAGAAGTCCAATGAATCCCACATAGGATGAAAGGAAATCCATCCATACATAGGTTTATCATGATGAAACTGCAGCCTACCAGAAGGAAAGAAAATCTTAAAGGTAGCTAGAGAGGAAAGTCAAATTATCTATAAAGGAGGAACTTTTTCTTATTCTTGATATTTTCTCTAGGTATTGAAATCTAGAGAAACATTTTTGTAAGTCGAGGATAAACCCTCCAGTTTGGGAGAAACCTAGGCTTTGTCTGACCTTTGAAAATACAAACTAAAGTTCATCCAATGTTGTTTTGTTTTTGTTTTGTCTTTGGCAAATACTCTGGGTGAAAAACTGTTGCGGTGTTTCTGGGTTACAGCCTTCCATTACTTGTTTGGCCTGGAAGTTTCTTACTTTCTTGGCAGCAGATTGATGGATTTAAGGTCATTTTAAAGCAATAATTTTACTTAGAATTTTTAGTTGTTTTTAGTAGGAGGGTTGATCCAGATATCTAGGCTGGTTCATTGCTGGCACCCTCTCCCATTCCAAGGTCATACCATAATGTAGGAGATAGAGGAAGAGCTTTTAAAACTCCCTTGCATTGTGTTTCTACTGACACCTAGTGGATGGAGCCTGTGGTGATCCTGCATCTGTGGGGAAGGGATATGGGAAAGGGGTGCTCCCACAGGGCAATTCTCATTCTTTCCCATCAGACTTCCATTCTCTCTCTCCCTCAGCCCTCCCATTCCCTCTCTCTCTTTCTTTCTCTCTCTTTGCCTCAGGAGAAATTCTTCCTCTCTATTTAGGCATTTGGTATATTTTCTTCAACAACTCTAGGTTTCTGCACAAGCAGTCTCTACAAAAACTTTTAATCTACAAATCTCAGGAATGAGGAAATACTTAAGGCCAAACTAACTGCTTAGAACAGGAAAGGGGGACGCCTGGGTGGCTCAGTCATTAAGCGTCTGCCTTCGACTTAGGTCATGGTCTCAGAGTCCTGGGATTGAGTCCCTCATCGGGCTTCTTGCTCATCAGGGAACCTGCTTCTCCCTCTGCCTGCTCTGCCTACTGCTCTCCCTGCTTGTATTTGTGCTCTCTCTCTCTCTGACAAATAAATAAATAAAATCTTAAAAAAAAAAAAAAAAGAACAGGAAAGATGGGTCAAATTATCCACCACTTCAAGAGGTACAGCGCAATAGCTCCAATTTGCTCTTTAAACAAATTACAATAAGCTTCCAGAGAAGGGTAACTTTTGAAGCAGACCGGAGTCAGCTAACTCAAATATCTGCAGTAGCCAGGCACATAATGCAAATTAATAAAATGAATTGGGTATAAGACAAAAGGAAGGGATGTGGACTGTAGGGTAACTTGAGAGCACATATCCTATATTAAGATAGTTAAATTCAAATGAAGAGAAAACCCTAACACTCCCTAAGACAATGAACATGACTGAATCTCAGCTGTATTCAGTCTGTGAGCCTGTGATCCCTGAAGCAGGCTTCTGTAGGAGTGGGGAAAAAATCTTTTCCTTCTACCCTTCTAGGTTCTCAGCTAGAGCTCTGTAACAAAAGACAGATTAACAAGAGAAAAGCATACAAATTTAATATAACTTTACATGAAAGGGGAGCATACATAAGGAAACGAAGACCCAAAGAAGTGGTTAAGTAGAAAATGGTGGAAAATGTGATAGGGCAAAATGATATGAGCTAAGGGTGGTAAACTGGGGGAAATTTAACAAGTTTCCTCTGGGTGTCCCTCCAACCCACAGTCTTCAGAGATAAGGATGCTCCTTTCCTGTGGGTATAGCAGGGAATCTCTCACGTGAGAGTCTTATGACCTGTTTCAGGGAGGATGGGGAATTCTGAATCCTAACTGCACCTTCCATTTCTCAAATTTCTTCAGCTTAAAGTATTCAATATGCTAGGTTGCAATGTTTTGGGGGTAGTATGTCCTGAACCCTGTCCTCCAAAGAATAAGAAATATTTATGTGATAGTTTGGATAATTCAGAAGAAATTGAAATTCAGCTATTAGGTTTTATAAGGGTTTTTACTTACTTGGAAAGATTAATAATTTTATATATTTTCTTTTATGCATAGTTTTTGCTTGTTCACTTCAGGGTTAAATAGGGAGTAGTGACAGTAAAAACAAGTTGAATTTCTCTTTTCTCACCAAACAGAACTTTCTTCCAAAGGAATTTTTTTTTAATTCTTTCTCTTCCTTTGCTGTCTTTGTTGTATAAATCATCTCTGCAGGGAGTGGCTCTATGCATTCTCTCATACTCATTATAGGTGTGTATATATTTTTGTACTATATAACCTGTGTGTAATTTTTTTAAACCATGGGTCACAATACTGGGTTGTGAAATAAATTTACTAAGTCCCGAATAGCATTTTAAAATGAAATGGAATAATGTGGAATTTGTTGGAAGGTATCAGCATGCATCACATAGGATAAGGGTAAGTATTGTTTTATAAAACATTTATTTCTGTGTGTGTGAGTATTTGTGTGTGAGCACGCATGTTCACAATCTAAATGTTTTTCTTACTCTGCGTTATAGTCATAGAAGTTTGAAAACTGAATGAAATTATATTAAAGCAATACCAGATCCCTGCCTTAATGAGGTTGAAATCTATTTAAACCCTATTTTATTTAACTTTGCAGAAAATAAAAAGATTGTAAAAGATATAATTGGTGTTTTCACTAATTCACCGAAACCATCAACACCATTCAACAGTAAGTATAGTAAAAGAATGAGGGGCGCCTGGGTGGCTCAGTTGTTAAGCGGCTGCCTTCGGCTCAGGTCGTGATCCCAGGGTCCTGGGATCGAGCCCCGCATTGGGCTCTCTGTTCAGCAGGGAGCCTGCTTCTCCCTTTCCCTCTGCCTGCTGCTCCCCCTGCTTGTGCTCTCTCTATCTCTCTGTCAAATAAATAAAATCTTAAAAAAAAAAAAAGAATGAAAAGTAAAGATAAATTTCTAAGATCATTCTGTGATATTCTACTTTTTCTAAAGTATAGTTTGTTTTGCCCTGTGCTTTTATTTCCTTAAGTTTTCTTTGCTTTATTGCGATGTTATAATCTGCTTTCTTATTCCTTATCATATTCAATCTGTACTTTGACTATAATGAATTATTTAGAATTACATTCCTAGTATATGCTTCCTTAAAACAAACAGTTTGTCTCAGTATATGCTTCAGTGTAAGGTATCCCATGAATCTAATACAATTTTCTCTCACCTCTAATAAATTCCACGTGCTTCTTTATCTCACCTACAGTGAAATATTGTAAGAGAAAGTACAAAGAAAATAAGATCTAGCACATCTAAAACTACTAGGTAGGCGGTAAGTAAGAGAGGCTCTAATCTTAGGATAGGGTGTGACTACGTGTTTTTCAGGCTATAGCAGATTTATATTTTCATTTTTCTTTCTCCAACTACCTGCGTTCTGTTTCTGCTAGCTGACCTCATTCTAAGAGCCATTACCTAGCTGTGCTTGAAATGCTTACGGTCTATGAAAGATTGGAGCACGTAGTAGTTTTTACCTTTGAGGGGAAATAATAAATAAAAGCAAATTTTTACAAAAATTTTGCAGAAGTTCAACTTTTAGCTGCCAAGGGGTATGTTAAATTTTGCTTGTTGTTTAAGTGGCTTCTCAAAACAAAGCCCATTGATATGTTTGAAAGCCCTTTAACTCAGAATAACTTTTGTAATACACCTACTCTCTGCAGGTCAGGGTGTTAAGTCTAAGAAAGGGCTTTGCCCCAGCTTCCTCATTTGTTCTCTATTCTTCATGTATTTACAGATTTATTTAAAGAGATTACAACTCTTGATAAGATCAGAAATGATAAGATGCCTGCAAATGAACTGAGCTTCCAACTCTTGAGTGCAGGAATTCCATTAAGCAACAAGACATTCCAGGAGATTCTGGGTCAAGCATCTATTGATGGTGAGCCCTTTTTGAAAGAACAATGTATGTTGAGCTTAATGAAGTCCTAGTTCTACTGTGAGCTTGGGAAATCTGTTTTACATATGCATAGTTTAGATAAACTAGGTCTTAGAAACATAATGAGAACATAGGCATACTGAGAACTAATTAAAAATTAATATTTTTCTCTTGGAAATTTTATTTATTTATTTATTCATTCATTCATTCATTTTTACGTAGGCTCCACACCTAGTGTGGAGCCCAGTGCAAGGCTTGAACTCACGACCCTAAGATCAAGACCTGAGCTGAGATCAAGAGTCAGATGCTTGGGGCGCCTGGGTGGCTCAGATGGTTAAGTGTCTGCCTTCAGCTCAGGTCATGATCCCAGGGTCCTGGGATCGAGCCCCGCATAGGGCTCCCTGCTCCACGGGAAGCCTGCTTCTCCCTCTCCCACCCCCTCTGCTTGTGTTCCCTCTTTCGCTGTGTCTCTCTCTGTCAAATAAATAAATAAAATCTTTAAAAAGAAAAAAAAAAAGTCAGATGCTTAACTGACTGAACCACCCAGGCACCCCTTCTCTTGGAAATATTTTGAAGAGGCACCCTCTGTTTATCTGGCATCATATTTGTAAAATGTATACATCAAAATTTAATTAAGACAAATAGTATAATTAGAAATTTTTTCTCATTTTAAGGGAACAGGTTCTTGGTAAAACTATTTTAAATTGGTTAGTTTTTATCCAGCTAATTTTCAAAAATTAACAAAATTTGCCCATCCCCCCATTTCCTGTCATGGTTATTTTAATGGTTATAAACATTGACACTTTGCCATTTTATAATCCTTATACTTTACTTTTTAGAAAATAGTGAAGTAAGTCTCAAACAAATTTTGGAGGCTTTGAACACAAATAAGCCAGCTCCTGAATTTCAAGGTGGGTCAATCAATATTTCATTTTAAATATTTGTCATAGTTTCCATTACCTTTTGTCGTTATTATTTTTAAACAGTGTTGTGAGGTATAAATGATATACAAAAGCTGTATATTTTTGTAATTAAAGTGCACAGTTTGGTAAGTTTTGATATATGCACACACCTATAAAACTACCATCATGATCAAGGTAATGAACACATCCCTCACCCCCAAAACTTCCTCATGCTCCTTTATAATCTCTCCTGCCATTTCCTATCCTCTTCCTCATCCTCAGGCAACCCTTGGTCTGCTTTTTGTCAGTATAGATTCATTTGCATTTACCAGAATTTTACAAAATGGATATATTCTTTTTTTGCTGGATGTTTTCATTCAGCATAATTATTTTGAGATTCATCCATGTAGCATGTATCAGTAAGTCATTCTTATTTATGACTGGATAGCACTCCATTTTATTGATATACCACAGTTTATCTATTACCTGGTGATACACATTAGGCTATTTCCAGTTTGGAGCTATTACAAATAAAACTGCTATGAACAATTTTGTATGTCATTGTATGAACATAAGCTTTCATTTCTCTTGAGTAGTTACCAAAGCTTGGCTGGCTCATATGGTAGGTGCATGTTTAACTTTTTAAGAAACTGCAAACTGGTTTCCAAAGTGGCCACACTATTTTACATTTACGTTTCTACCAGCAGTGAATGAGAGTTCCAATTCCTCCAAATCCTTGCCAATACTTGGTATAGTCAGTCTTTCTAATTTTAATCATTCTAGTAAGTGTGGAGTGGTATCTCGTTGTGGTTTTAATTTGCATTTCTTTAATGACTAATGATGTTGAACATCTTCTCATGTGCTTATTTGCCATTTGTATATCTTCTTTGTAAAGTGTCTGTTCAGATCTTTTGCCCGTTTTTAAAGTTGGGTTGTTTGCTTTTGTATTTCTGTATGTACCTGTCCTTTATCAGAAATACACTTAGCAAAATATTTTCTCTGAGTCTTATACTGAGCAAAATTTTCTGAGTCTCTTCATTTTCTTAAGTGTCTTTAAAAGATCATTAATTTTAATTTTGATGAAGTTTAATTAATCAATTTTTTTCTTTTTTGTATTGTGCTTTTGGTTTCACATGTATGAAATCTTTGCCTCCTCCAAAGTTACAAAGGTTTTATTGTATGTTTTCTTCTAAAAGTTTTATGGGTTTTGGTTTTGCATTTTAGGTGTATGATCTATTTTGCTTTAATCTTTATATATAGAATAAAGTATGGATCAAAGTTCCTTTTTGTTTCGTTTTGTTTTGTATATGGACATTCATTTGTTCCAGCACGGTTGGTTGTTGAAAAGATTATACTTTCTCTATATTTTCTATACTGAATTTCCTTTGTACTTTTGTAGAAAATCATATGTATTTGTATATATATTTCTTGGATTCTCTATTCTGTTCCATTGATCTTTGTCAGTCTTTACACTGATACCACATTGTCTGATTACTGTAGCTTGATAATAAACATTGAAAGCACTCAGGTAGTATCGGTCCTCCAGATACTTTGTTCTACTTTAAAAAAAGTTGTTTTGGCTATTCTAGGTCTTTTCCATTGCCATGTAAATTTTAGAATCAGTGTAATTTCTACAAAAAGTCTGCTGGAATTTATTGGAGAAATTAAAGGCCCTCATGAATTAAGATCTGTTGGAAAATTTCTTGTCTAATAATGTCTTATTAAAAAGTACAGCTCTTCTCTGCAATTCCTTTGTGTGCCTCTACTTTGCCTCCTTTTAAATATTCCCCCAGATAAACTAGAGATTATAATCCAAACAGTGATCTTTAGTGTATGATGATTTGTGTAACTCATTGATAAATAGAGGCATGGCTCTAATCCTAAGGACCCCATTTAGAGGGGAAAACTCCTAGAGGTTTGGATAAGACCTGGGAAGAATACAGAGTGCTTCAGCCTGAAAGAACCTCCAACATTTTTATTTTCTTTGTAGAAAAACCCTTACATCTATTACCTCTAATCTTGAAACTCTTCAATTCATATTTCATCTACAGATTTTGTAGCATTTAGTTCTTGTACCTTTTAGGTTAAAAACTAAAGGCCACTTCCACTTTCAGGCACAATATATTCCTGAAAACCTTAATCCTCCCATACTTCTGGGGGGACTTCTAATAATAGAGTAAAAGTTATGACGAATAAGCAAAAAATGAAAGGAGCAGCAAAATATGTAAGTAGAAGAAAATTCAGGACTAATATTTTTATACTCTGAAATTTGGGCTGTTTCATATACACAGAGATAAGCCCCAAATTCCCTCTCACTGATACAAAATTAAACATTTCCCTAGGAGATGCAATAATGGCCTATTTTAACTTTAAAAAAACTGATAGTTTTATTCAATTAAATAAAAAAACCTCAGTCATCCTAATTTTTTTTTACATTAAGACAAAAATAACTGAACATCTCAGGGAAATATGCCTGGAGTAAAGGAATATTTGGCTTATTAATTTTGGAATCATAGAGATAATATTAGTTGAGATATATGACTTACAGAATCCTCATGTGTTTTCAGATTTATCTACTGCCCTCCAGACTGTTAACCTGATGGACTGCAACAAAATTCAAATTAACAACTTGCAAGATGCTTTTGATGACCTCAATATTTCTGTAAAGCCGGAAGAATACCAGATGTTAGAGAAAACGCTTGATGTTGATGGTACATATAATAACTATGAGTTGGCTTTCCAAATAAAGTGACAGTAAATTTTCCATTCCCCTTCCCTGTCCTCCATTCATCGCTGCCCAACAATTTTTTTCTTTATTATCCTAATGGAAAAAACACTCTAACAGAGCAGTTCTATTGAGATCATAAATTTATCTTGATAGAAAAATCTTTGAATAAGATTAATAAGATTTTAAAAACCCCATCAAGTATTCTGTGTTGATTCCGTCAGAGTGTAATTTGTATGTATGTTTTTAGCATCTACTATGTAAATCAGGGAAGATGAAATAATTCTCTGTGAAGGTTGTGCTAAAGTAAAACTGCTTTTAGCCAGGAACAGACTAAGGGAAGGCTTTCTTTAGCATCTACTATGTAAATCAGGGAAGATGAAATAATTCTCTGTGAAGGTTGTGCTAAAGTAAAACTGCTTTTAGCCAGGAATAGACTAAGGGAAGGCTTTCTCCCCTTAGCGTGAGATATTTATGGCAGGAGATGGATTGAACGTGAATCCTAAGAGTTTTCAGAGAAAACAATATATAATTTTCCAAATTTTGCCAACTTTATGTGGTTTTTAAAAATTAATTTAAAATCAATTCCTAAAAGTATTTTCTTTTTTATAGTATTAAATGGGGCCACTGCACAGCACAACTTCTGGGGGCATGTTGTCATCTGTGTCAACAGCACCCTTTGATGTTAGGCAATGCATGGCCTGCATCGCTATGCAACAGACCTGATTCCAAGTGCCTGTTATATGTAAGGTGTCATGTAATATGTAATGTAATCAAATAAATACAAAGTATTCATATTTAGGAAACTTTCGGTCTAGTTGATGAGGCAAGCTATAAACAACAAAAGGGTATATAACAATATAGGAGATAAAAGCTCAGTGCATTTGCAATGTTACATCGCAGTGCTTTAATAATAGCCAGGGAAACAGTGATGTGATACTGTGATTTGTAATAAGAAATATATATTTGGTCTTCGACCCCATTCCTGGCATAGAGCTCCTAAAATACTTGTAAATTCTTAAGTGATGAGACCACTAGGGGTATCTTTTGTTCTAATAGGCAATTCTAGGTGGGCATCTTGTTCCTAGGTGGGGACTGGTCACCAAAAAGATAAGCCATGCTTAGAACCTTGGAATTTTTAGCTCTACCCCCAGTCTCCAGAGAGGGGAGAGGGGCTGGAAATGGAGTGAATCATTGATCATGCCTATGTGAGGAAGCCTCCATAAAATCCCAATTGTTCAGAGAGCTTCCAGGTTGGTGAACACATCCACATACTAGGAAAGTAACTCACCTCAACTCCACAGGAACAGAGCTGCTGTTCCTGGGACCCTCCCAGATCTCCCAGACCCTATGTATCTCTTCATCTGGTTGTTCATAAATATACTTTATCATATCCTTTAATAAACTGGTAAACATTAAATGTTTCCCTGAGTTCTGTGAACTATTCTAGCAAATAATTGAATCCATAGGGGAGAAAGTCATGGAAACCTCCGATTTGTAGCCAAGTTGGACATAAGTTGTGGGTAACCTGGGGACCTACTACTTGTGATTGGCATCTGAAGTGGGAAGGACAGTCTCATGGGACTGATCCCTTAACTTGTGGGACCTGATGCCATCTCCACGTAGATAATGTCAGAATTGAGTTAAATTATAGGATGCTCAGTTGGTGTTGCAGAGAATTGCTTAGTGGGGGAAAACAACCCCCCACATCTGGTGTCAGAGTGTTGTGAGTATGGTAGTAGAATGAGAGTGATGAGAGGAGAGCAATTTCATTCATTCAATGAAAGTTTATTAAGCACCTATTGCTTGTTAGGCACTAAATATATAAAGATAAAAGAGCTTACAGTCTATTAGAGATGACAAGCAATGAGAATACCAACTGTTAAATATCGTGACAGAGGTAAACATAGAGTGTTATGGGAATGTATACAATAGGTACCTAACCCACAGAGGGTTGGATAGGGTAGTCAGAAGAGGCTTCTTGGAGGACATACTGTTGGAGTTGAGTTTTTTTTTTTTAATTTTTTTAAAGATTTTATTTATTTATTTGAAAGAGGGAGAGCAAGCATGAGAGAGAGAGAGCACCAGCAGAAGGAGAGGGAGAAGCAGGCTCCCCACTGAGCAGGGAGCCTGATGCGGGGCTCAATCCCAGGACCCTGGGATCATGACCTGAGCTGAAGGCAGACACTTAACTGACTGAGCCACCCAGGTGCCCCTGGAGTTGGGATTTAAAATATGAGTAGGCGCTACCCAAGAATTGGGAGTGAAGGGAAGACGACTGGAAGGAGTTAGGAAGGAATGTTTAGTATGTACAAAGTATAGAAGAACAAAGCTCGAGGAGAAGTCAAGGAACTCTTAAATAGTCCAGTAGGATGTACACCAGTGGATCTCAGACTGATTCACATCTGAACTACCTGGGGAATTTGTTAAAAACACAGATGCTTACATCTCTTGCTTCAGAATATCTGCATCATGGCCAAGATGTGTGTGTGTGTGTGTGCGTGTGTGTGTTTAACAAGCTTTACAGTTCATGTTGATGTGAATCAAAGTTTGATCATTGACTTGGTGGTGCATAGTGGCAGAAGGAGTGGGGAAGAAAGAATTAAGTGGCCGTATAGTCAAGAGCAGATCCACTAGGGTGTTTTTTTTTCCCCTCTGGGCAGCAGAGTTTGAATTTTATCCTGAAGGCTCTAGAGGGTCATTGAAGAATTCAAAGTTGAAAGATGACAAGACTAATTTTGCACTTTATAATAGGCATTCTGATAGCAGCATTAAGAAAGGGCAGAGGAGGGCAAGATTGGAGGCAAAGAGACATTTTAGAAGGCATGCAGTAGTTCAGGTTAAAAATAATGTGGAAGTAAGGCATTGGCTCTAGGGATGGGAAGAAGGGAACAGATATGAGTTCTAGGAGGCAGAACTTCATCATTGTTTGGTTAAGTTAGGGAGGGGAGAGGAATCGAGGATGACTAACAGATTTTTGGCTTGGGAGGCATTTCCTAGTGATGCCTTTTAATAAGCTGGGGAATACCGGAGGAGGATCAGGCTTTAGTGCAAGGATGAGTTCAGCTTAGGATGTAGTGTGTTTGATGAAGGGCATGATGGAGGGAAGAGATTGAAATGAGAATAGATAAATCTAAATTCCTTCACAAATTACACAGGGCTTTTCTTTTTTTTTTTTAAATCTAGTTCTTGTGGGCGCCTGGGTGGCTCAGATGGTTAAATGTCTGCCTTTGGCTCAGGTCATGGTCCCGGAGTCCTGGGATCGAGTCCCACATCGGGCTCCCCGCTCTGCGGGAAGTCTGCTTCTCCCTCTGCCTCTCTCTCTCTCTCATGAATAAATAAATAAAATCTAAAAAAAAAAAAAATCTAGTTCTTGTTACCTGACCTGTTTAGATTAACCTTTTCCCACAAACTTTCTTACACATTTTTTGTAAGGTTTCAAGACACTTAATAAACACAATAGAATAATTTAAACTAAATCTAAAATTAAGAAACTACTTATAGTTCCCAGAACACATCATACTCACTTATATTTCTATATATTTTCTTCATCAGTCTTTGTTAACCTTCAGATATACTGCCAAGTCAGTAAAAATGTGACTTCCTTGAAGATTTCTTTAACTCATTCAGCCAGATATGGAAGCTTTTTTCTTGCATTTCAATAACATGCCATATTTGCCATCATTGAGACAATTTTGCTTTATAACTGCTTGAGAAAAGTGATTATTTTGGAGAAATTTCCATGAGAATTATGAGGAAAGGATATATTTTGAAAATCTGCAAATATAGGCATTTGGTTACTGATGAAAAATGAATGCTTAAACTGTAAGCAAATTTAAAGTATTCTGTTGGGAGAACAGGTTAAATATATAAAGTCACAATACAATGTGAGTAGGTGGAAAGATCAAACAAGAAGCCTATGTTCTTGTTGGCTTTCCACTTCTTAATGGATAATATAACCAAATATAATGAGATAATATAACCAAAGTCATATTATCTCACTTATTTTTCAGGTTCTTCCAGCTAATGGGAAAAATATAGGTGTTTGCATATTTCTGAATGCACAATATATGCATCTTTGCTTTAAAAAACTTATTAGCAACTACATTTACTGGATAGGTGGTCATTTATAAAGTTTGCCACCTAGATGCAATTTCAGGTTTCTTTTTTAAATTGTTTAAAAAGTAAGATGTTGTTAGACAAATATTCATTATCTCACATTAAAACTGATATTTCAAAAAACACTCAGATATTCTTTTAATCAATTAATGTGTGATAATTAATTCCTTTCAGAAATATTATATAAAACCCAGAATAACAGTTTAAACTGAGATTTAGGGGGGTTTGATTTATAATAAATTAGATTTTGTTTTAAGAAGAAGATGTAAGTTAATCTAATTATTCCTTGTCTTAATTTTGCCTCATCTTAATTTTTCATTCTTTTATTTGAATTTTATGCTTTATTATTTTGTGTTTGACTCTTCTGTCTTCAATATAAAGCAATAAATCAGTAAAGAAAATTATGAAAATAAATAAAAGAATGTCATAATGATTTGTAAAAATATTAGTCAATACTTTTATATATCAAATGCATCCAATTAATCCTAGTTCTTGTTTTTATACACCCATCGTGCAAGCTGACACTAGACACTTCAAACTAGGTTCATACTTAGAGTCCGTGAAAACTTGGAATAGTATTCATTAGAGAATGGTGTAAACACAACTGTCAAAACCATAGAAAGTTGTCCTCTCTCTTTTCTTACGACTTTTTAAGATATGAAGGTGAAAGAAAATGCAATTAGAATAATCCACTAAGAGTTTTATTTGCCACCTGCCATTCTCTGAATTCTTGCTGATAAAAGTGAGTTTTTAACTTGCAGATTTTCCTCGATACACTGGAATTAGGAAAGATTCCTTCTAAAGTGAGTGCTCCAGCTGCCACATGGGGATAAATACAGAACCAATCAAATCAAAGTTTGGCAATATGGAAGTAAAAAATGTATTTGATCTGTCCCAAAGATTTGTTATTTGCATAGAAAGAAAATCATTAACTCATTTGTGTTTTAAATCCCCCTCAAAAGGATAAATTGTGTTTGAGAGGCTTGTGGACATAGAGTTGAAGATGTGCAGTAGATAGTGGTCTAGCCTAGAAATAGAAACTTGAGAGTCATCAACATGCAGTTTGTAGTTAGAGGAGAATTCAGCAATGGTTTATATAGTGTGATGAGAAGAGGGCCAAGAATAAAGCACTGGGGCATGCTAACATTTAAGTAATGGTAGAGAAAGAATAGTTCATAAGGACATTAAGAATTAGCTAGAATGGTGTGAGGGAAACCAAAAGAAAGCTATAGGAACAAAGCAAAGAGAAAAAAAGAGCTTGAAGGAGGAAAGTATTAAATAAGACCAAAAAATTAAAATGTGTTCATTAGGTTGGCAATAAATAGGTTTGGTTTTTTTTTTTAAGATTTTATTTATTTATTTATTTGAGAGAGCGGGATCCCTGCTGAGCAGGGAGCCTGATGCGGGACTCGATCCCAGGACTTGATCCCAAGACTCCAGGATCATGACCTGAGCCGAAGGCAGTCACTTAACCAACTGAGCCACCCAGGCGCCCCACCAATAAATAGTTAATGGGTGAACTTGGTAAAAGCAGTTTCCAGGAGGTGGAAGACAGATTAGAGCAGTTTGAAGTGTGAATGAGGATGTGATGAATAAAAACATTTCTCTCCAGAAAATAGATTGTGAAGGAAAGGAAAAGGAAAGAGTAGCATTTAGCGGGGTATCGTAGAGGCGCAAGGGAAGGCTTTTTAGAAAACTAGACTTACAAGCTGATTTTGACATGAATAGGATTTATATAGGTAGAGTGTAGATTGCATTCTGGACAAAAGTTTACATAGCTAGAAAAATCATAAGATGCTTTAAGGGGACAGTAAGTGAACCAATCTAGCTCACAGTGGAAGTGCTTTATGTTTCTTGAATTTATTAATTTTTCTTTGTACTATTTTTGTCTTTACAGAAAAGGGAGATGTTTCCCTAAAGACTGCCCTTTTAGCACTGAAGAGCAATAAGCGTTTGCAAGATTTTAGAGGTGAGAATAATTAGGAAGTTTTATACAAATTGAGAATATCGGAAATTTTTAGCTAGTTGTCGAAAAGTGATGGACCACTTACATAAAAGTATAACTCATATGCTACAAGATTAAATGAATGGTGTACATTTAGCATTTTAAGAGTTGAAATGAAAGTGAGCTTCCTATGTTGATGAAAGTCTAGTTTTTAACATTATAAGTTTGTAGTTGAAGCAAATGGTATGTCTTCTAACAAGAATGCCAAAAATATGTGACCCTAAAATGTTTTAATTATTAAATTTAAGTTTTTAAATTAGGTAATACATTCACATAGATCATAAATAAAAAAGTATTTAAAGATACACAGTGAAAATCTCCCTCCTATCTGGTCTCTCTATTCAATTCCTATTCCTTAGCCCCAGTAACTAACTAATAAGTAAGTAGTTTCTTATGTAGGTAGTATTTAGAGCATTCAAGAAAATATGAATATATATATGTATATATATATATTCTCCCTCCACACACTTTTTACATAGGTGGAAGCATAATGTGTATGTTGTTCTGTCTCCTTTTTTAAACAATATATTTTGGATATTTATTCATATCAGAATATAAAGAGCTTTCTCATTCCTTTTTGTAATTGCATAGAGAATATGTGAATTTTCATCCTGATGAAAATATACACGTTTAACTTACTGGGATCAGTGATCCATCCAACTTGAATCTTCGTCTTTTCGATTGTGGTACCAAGAAACATTTTGTGGCATCACGTGATGGATGTCCTCTGTGAAATATCTAACTTTTGACTAGAATTTATTTATTTTATTTATTTATTTTTATTATGTTATGTTAATCACCATACATTACATCATTAGTTTTTGATGTAGTGTTCTGTGATTCATTGTTTGCGTATAACACCCAGTGCTCCATGCAGTACGTGCCCTCTTTAATACCCATCACCTGGCTGACCCATCCTCCCACCCTCCTCCCCTCTAGAACCCTCAGTTTGTTTCTCAGAGTCCATAGTCTCTCATGGTTCGTTTTGACTAGAATTTTGAAAAGCTCTAACTCTATTTAAAAATGAGTTAATAGCCTAATGTTTTATGAACTTACCAAAACTCTTCTCCAACTCTTATTTTCAGTATAAAAAGTATCTTGAGGACAAAAGTGTGCATAGTTTTATTTCATATTCTCTAAAGACATATTTTATTTTGTTTGGTTTCAAATAATATCATAATAGTTGGCAATAATAATTCATTTGTATAGTGTTGATGTTTTACCAAGCACTTTCACATAATTTATTTCTCATCAACTATTCTTTATGACTCTACTGTTAAGTAGGAGTCTTATAATAAAGAATGAGAAAAGTAAAGTTTGAAAAAATTGTACCTTACCTAGAACCCCACAACAAGCAAGTGTTGGACTCTATGTGAAGATATATATTTTTTTCTGTATTACAGCTTAATGGTTTAGTTTAAAAATTTATGCTATAACTTACAGGTTAATAGCATCATGATCAGCACACATATATTAAACACAAAAATATGCATAAGGTAGGCCATGAGAATCTTAAAATCTAGATGAAAAGATAGGCCATTTACATAAAAACATAACTAATATGGCATAAGATCAAATTAGTGATGCATATTTATTATTTTAAGAGTTCAGATGAAGATTAGATTCCTATGAAAAAAATGGAGGGAGGCTTTGAAGGAAGGGTAACATCTTGGTAGGTAGAGGGAAAGCAAGAAAACACTGAGACCTAGAGATTAGAAGGGAAAGAATGGAGACATAAGTAGGATTTGGAAGATGAGGAATGAGAGATAGTTGATAGGTCTATCTGAAGGGAGTATTAAATGTTAGCTCAAAACAGGTCTCAATATATTCTCTGGGCAAGAGAGTCAGGTGCTAAGCTGTCTCTAAAGATTGATTTAACAGTGTATTGGATTAAGGAGCCACGAGAGGCAGGAAGATCATTTATTCAATCCATTCGTTCAACAAACAAGTGGCACTTTGCTGGTACGCAAGATAGGTAAATACTGGTCTCTGACCCCAGAGAACTCATTGAAGAAAGACAGATGAACAAATAAATAACTACAGATTTTGCTAAATATTAGGGAGAAAATGTGCAAGGAAGAGGTAGAGCATTAAGGTACAGTGGCTTAATTTAGATACGATGGCCAAGAAAGCATATTCTGAGATGTGACAGGCTGAAACCTACAGGAGGAGAAGGAATCAGCTACTGAAAGAGTTGGAAGAGTCTTCCAGACGGAAGGAAGAAGGTGTGAATGGTTCTAGGGTAGGAAATAACATATATGTTATTACCTATATTAGGACACTATTAAAGTGTTTGTTATTAAATAAAGAGGAGACTGACATATGGGGAGGCAAAAGTCTTTCTTACATTAACATTCATTTCCAATTATTTAAAAATTAATCATTCCAGAGGCGCCTGGGTAGCTGTCGTTAAGCGTCTGCCTTTAGCTCAGGTCATGATCCCAGAGTCCATCGGGCTCCGTGCTCAGCAGGAGGCCTGCTTCTCCTCTCCCACCCCCCCTGCTTGTGTTCCCTCTCTCACTGTCTCTCTCTCTGTCAAATAAATAAATAAATAAATCTTTTAAAAAATTAATCATTCTGTTAGCAGCTTTATTAGCTGTTAGCATGTATACCAAGCTTCTGAACTGTAAGTAAAAGAGAGTCAGTATAAGACAAATTAAGTTTAATAAAGGAATGGAGAAAAGGCAAATTGAGGTGACAGTGACTGGGGAGCATCAGAGAGATCACTGGACACATACACAAAGGATGTAGGAAACATGAGAAACAGAGATAGATGGACAAGAAGGAGACCGATATCAAGGTTTAATTTCTACTATGAGTTTGTTTTATACAACTGATCTATTTTATATGTATAAAATGAGAGTTAGATGCATATGTACCTCAAGAGAGTATTTAAGGTGAGTACTATATCATCTTTTTTTTTATTCTTATGTTAATCCCCATACATTACATCATTAGTTTTAGATGAAGTGTTCCATGATTCATTGTTTGTGCATAACACCCAGTGCTCCATGCAGAATGTGCCCTCCTCAATACCCACCACCAGGCTAACCCATCCTCCCACCCCCCTCTCCTCTAGAACCCTGTTTGTTTTTCAGAGTCCATCGTCTCTCATGGTTCGTCTACCCCTCCAATTTCCCCCGCTTCATTCTTCCCCTCCCGCTACCTTCTTCTTCTTCTTTTTTTTTTTCTTAACATATATTGCATTATTTGTTTCAGAGGTACAGATCTGAGATTCAACAGTCTTGCACAATTCACAGCACTTACCAGAGCACATATCCTCCCCAGTGTCTATCACCCAGTCACCCCATCCCTCCCACCCCCCCCACTCCAGCAACCCTCAGTTTGTTTCCTACAATTAAGAATTCCTCATATCAGTGAGATCATATGATACATGTCTTTCTCTGTTTGACTTATTTCACTCAACATAATACCCTCCAGTTCCATCCACGTCGTTGCAAATGGCAAGATCTCATTCCTCTTGATGGCTGCATAATATTCCATTGTATATATAGACCACATCTTCTTTATCCATTCATCTGTCGATGGACATCTTGGCTCTTTCCACAGTTTGGCTATTGTGGACATTGCTGCTATAAACATCGGGGTGCACGTACCCCTTCAGATCCCTACTTTTGTATCTTTGGGGTAAATACCCAGTAGTGCAATTGCTGGATCATATGGTAGCTCTATTTTCAACTTTTTGAGGAACCTCCATACAGTTTTCCAGAGTGGCTGCACCAGCTTGCATTCCCACCAACAGTGTAGGAGGGTTCCCCTTTCTCCGCATCCCCGCCAACATCTGTCGTTTCCTGACTTGTTTTAAAAAATGCTAGGTATTGGGACACCTGGGTGGCTCAGTGGTTAAGCATCTACCTTCGGCTCGGATCATGATCCCAGAGTCCTGGGATGGAGCCCCATGTCGGGCTCCTTGCTCAGCGGGAAGCCTGCTTCTCCCTCTCCCACTCCCCCTGCTTGTGTTCCCTCTTTCGCTGTCTCTCTCTCTGTGTCAAAAAATAAATAAAATCTTTTTTAAAAAAATGCTAGGTATCTATACTAATTTTTTGAATTATGATTTAAGCTAATTATTTAGAATTTGTATCTAAACTGAAAATATTTTCTCCTGATAGAGGTTAATGAACTTGCAAATGCCTTAAACAAAGTCACCAGTGAAAAAGTTGATGTTGATGAAGTAAAATCTATACTGAAAGGCCTGGGGATTTATTTCCCAGAGGAAGAATTACAGGAGGTGCTTATATCCATTCCTCTTGATAGTAAGTATTTCTTTTCTGAGTCATTTATTACATATCAAACTTGTGTTTACTTTTACTCATAAATCCACAGAGTTGATCGATTAGGAATCAAATATAATGAGTTCAGTAACATTAGATTTTCCCTATTAGGCTTGGATGAGAGTTTGTTTTGGATTATTCTAATATTGAATTTATCCTAGGGAAGTATGATCTTCCTCTCTTCTTTCCCTTTCTTTGCCTTCTGAGGTTTGAATCATACATTCTTATTGGACAGGGGCTGTGAAGCTCTCTCAAGCCCATAAATCACAGGGATAAGCCTTATTGTGGTGATATACACTACCAGTTTGGTTTCCCCAGAGTACTCAAAGGACTACACTGGTATTTTTGAAATCCTGCCAGAAGGATGTTTAGCTTACGTGCAAAGCCTTATGGTATTCTTTTTTCTTAAGTTCTCAGTATATGACTAATAAAAAGCAAAAGACTGCACATTTCCTTTATTAATATAGCTTTGCTTATAAGTATGTATAGTGTTCTTTAGGTATTATGGTTGAGTTTGGTTTATGGTACTTCTAGTGAATATCTTCTTGTCTTCCCTCAAAACATAAATGGTGGGGCACCTGCGTGGCTCAGTGGGTTGGGTGTCTGCCTTCAGTTCAGGTCATGATCCCAGGGTCCTGGGATCAAGCCCTGTGTTGGGCTGCAGCAGGGAGCCTGCTTCTCCCTCTCCCCTCTTGTGCTCTCTCCCTTTCTCTCACTCTGTCTCTGTCTCTCTTCAAATAAATAAAATTTTAAAAAACACACAAAAAATAAATGGTTATAGTAGGACTTGTAATGCTGAAAAATTAAGAGAATGTCGTATCAGAGAGGAAACATACAAAAAAATGGTCCCACTTGGAAATAAGTGTAAAATCCATAAAATGCTCATTGGCTCTACAACAAAAAAGACCACAGGAGTCATATTATCATATTCCTTTTCATAGTCTGAGATGTGTTTAGCAGCATCAGAGTTAGAAAACAGGATTAACTTGGTTCTGAAGGTTTAGTAAGCATGCATATCTTGTGACCTCATTCTTTTGTATCTTTGGATCAAAGACCATTCATTTCTTTATGTTTCATTTTCAGACGAGGGGAAAGTGGACTTAAAAGATTGTCTGACTCAGTTAATGAAAATGCCATATTTTACAAAAGTTTCAAGTAAGTGAGAATTTTTTAACAATAAAATTTTTGAGTGGAATTCTTTAGTTTTGATTATATGCATTTGTCCAGTTTTCTAATGCTAAAGCACATCATGTGTATAACAAATGTACTTTGGATGACAAATCAATAAGGGATCCTAGTCCTGACCTTTTCTTGAAATTATAGTATTTTTTTCATCACTCAAAAAGGATAAAAGTACAAAATCCATCTGGGTGATTCCTCTCAGCGTCCAAGTTTGTGATCTAAGATGGCTGCCATCAGTTGCCAGTGTCTTGGACATTATGAAATTCTGTGGGAATAAGATCAGTGTTCTCTTCTAATTCGAAAAGATAGATGCACCCCTATGTTTATTGAAGCATAATTTATAATAGCCAAGACATGGAAGCAAACTAAGTGTTAATCGATGAATGAATAAGGAAGATGTGGTATATTTATACAATGGAATATTATGCAACCATAAAAAGGATGAGATCGCACCATTTGAGACAACCTAGATGGCCCTAGAGGGTATTATGCTAAGTGAAATAAGTCAGACAGAGAAAGACCAATACCATATGAGTCCACTCATAAGTAGAGTCTAAAAAAAACCAAACAGGGGTGCCTGGCTGGCTCAGTCTATAGAGCATGTGACTCTTGATCTTGGGGTTGTAAGTTTGAGCCCCGCATTGGGTGTAGAGATTACTTGAAAATAAAAATATAAATAAATAAATAAGTAAAGCCAGGGCGCCTGGGTGGCTCAGTCGGTTAAGCGACTGCCTTCGGCTCAGGTCGTGATCCTGGAGTCCCAGGATCAAGTCCCGCATCGGGCTCCCTGCTCAGCAGGGGGTCTGCTTCTCCCTCTGACCCTCCCCCTTCTCATGCTCTCTCTATCTCATTCTCTCTCTCAAATAAATAAATAAAATCTTTAAAAAAAAAAAAGGTAAAGCCAAACAACAAATAAACAAAAAACAGAATCAAACCTATAAATACAGAGAACAAATTGATGATTGCCCAAAGGGAGGAGGTTTGAGGGTTGGGCAAAATGGGTGAAGGAGTGAGGGAGATAGAGGCCTCCAGTTATGGAATGAATAAGTCACAGGAATAAAAGGCACAGCATAAGGAATGCAATGATATTGTAATAGTGATATAATGGGACAGATGGTAGCTACACTTGTGGTAAACATAGCATAATGTATAAACTTATCAAATCCTTAAGTTGTACACCGGAACTAATGTAACATTGTATGTCAGCTATACTAAATTTTTTTTTTAAAAAATCAGTGTTTTCTTTTTTATCCTATTATCATTTTATTAAAATGGGATTTTATCATGAGAAGATTAACTACCGAAACATATAGGAACATGTTGAAACATATAGGCTTCCTCCATATTATGTAATAGGTTATTCTTCCCATTACTCCACTACCTTAACCATGAGCCATTGAATATAATCTGGTTCTAATGTGTTCAGTTAACTGACCTCTCCAACAGTGAGATATCTGTGATGTCTGTGGAACCTCTGGGTCTCCTTGAAGTTTAGGCTAAATGAGCCTTGGTTAGTAAATTCACAGCTGTTTTGGATCCCCTGGGTCTCCTCCGAGCAGCCCATATTCTTGAGATTAATTGAAATGGCTTAATTTCCTCTAAATTTTAATTTCCAAAATTAAAACTGAACTAAATTCAAAAGGCCTAATTTAGGTAGCTATAAGGGATGAAACTATTCAACAGAGCCAAGGTATTTAGGATGTAACCAAAATGGTGTTTTTTTCAGCTGACAAAATATTTTATCCTTAATCTTTGGTTTTCTAAATGGGGCCTATAAAACTTTCCCAGGTATGTGGCTTATAAGCAAATCTCTCACAGAGTTAATGTTTATGATGGGATAGGGTTTATGATAGTATAATATTTAAAATTTCTTTCTTACTTTCTTACTTTCTTACAATTCATACATGGTACTTTCAGAAATGAACATTACCTTTCTTTGGTATTGATACAGCAGTGCCAGTCTTTCCGTTATTTGGGCGACATTTTTGTGTGTATGTGTTGGATACATCCAAGTATCCACTGAATGAAAAAAATTAAGAACAGTCACATCAAACTATGGGTGGTTATCTAATTTTTGGCAAGAAAATTACTTGTATGATTAGTTATCATAGCTTTAATGGAATTCCCAGCCTCAGATATGCTAGAGATGAGTATAAGCAGACATCCTGAGATTTCTTTTTATGTAATCATTCTTCAATCTCAAATTAAATATTTGCAATGATTTGTTTGGACTAGTGGCTAAACATTCTGCCTATGAAATCAGACTCCACACTTGGCTTCACGTTTAGTAACTGTGTATGCTTAGGCAGGTTAGCTTCTCTAAGGCCAGGTTTCTTTATCTGTTAAATAAGGAATTTTTGTGGTATTAAATGAAATGGTGTATATAGAGCACTTAGCATAGTGCCCAGGAAGCTCAGACAGAATACTTAGTAAGTGATAGAAGTAGCAGTAGTACTACTACTAGAAGTTATTATCATCATCATCATCATCATCATCATCATCATCATCATGATCATCATCCAGGACCCACTACTGATATTTGAGTGGGTTTTTTTTAAGTTCATACATTGTATATTCTTTTGAATATAGAAGAAGAAGGCCCCCTGAGAGCTCTGGCTGCCATTAGGAAGAATGTGGTCACTCCTGAGGACCTAGGCTCCATTATGAAATATATAGGTGTTCCGTTGCCTGAAGATGTGTTCCAAAGATCGCTGCAGAGTGTGACTCTCACGGGTGAGTCACGTTTCCAGATATCCTTTATCTTGACGCGCATCTGTTTGAACTTCTCAAGAATCCTTGCGGGGTTTATCTGCCGCATGGATTATCCAAGGCTCTTTCCTACCTGCTACCCTGTTGGGTTCCACTTATTTTCAATAGCGTCATACAAAGGAGGATCTGCAGGGGGTGAGTGTATGTGTCTGAATGATATGTATGCGTCTGTCTTTCTGACTGAATATACAGGTCTATATTTCAAGGCCAAATCTATAAACTGATTTTCAGTATAGCAGTTATGCTATAGTTGCCAGTCTCTGATCACATTCCCTGTTCCCTGACATGCGTTTTTTTCTTTCAGAGGACGAGAAAGTGAATCTAGGAGAGTTTGTGGGCAATTTAATCAATTCAGGATTTTCACCTCTACCTGAAAGTAAGAATTTTCAGTTGAATAGAGATAGATAATATGTGGGTTGTGGATCTCTTGGGAAGACTGCAACTAGGGTTTTGAGATGGTCTTAAAATGATTTAACACTGGCTTAATTTTCTAGTGTCTTTATTCCATACGTGTCAAATGCATAGCACAACTAAAAGAGAACATGCCCTTTAGAGAGTACTAGTTACGTCTTCTGCCTAGTCTGAGACCAGGGTCTTGACTGCCATTATCTTTTCCACTAAGGGCCTTATGAAGAAAAAAATAGTATTAAAATGACTAAAACAGCACTTGGAATTAGGCTGTTTGCAAGTTACTCTACTTTAAAGTGGAATTGTACAAGACGTATTAACATGATAAATAGTGGGTTCCTGATACTGATTTATAATAACTCTTCATCAAGAAACTAGTGAAAACCTCTGTTACTATTAGGGGAATTTTTGTTTAGGTTTATTATTTTTCTTCTTTTGTTATTGGAACATTGTTTTCTTTGGTTATTTCTTTGTATTGGCTACCCCCACCCTTTTTTTCCCCAGTTTCTCTTTATTTTTTTTTTAAGATTTTATTTTTATTTATTTGAGAGAGAGAGAATGAGAGACAGAGAGCATGAGAGGGAGGAGGGTCAGAGGGAGAAGCAGACTCCCTGCTGAGCAGGGAGCCTGATGCGGGACTCGATCCCGGGACTCCAGGATCATGACCTGAGCCGAAGGCAGTCGCTTAACCGACTGAGCCACCCAGGAGCCCCTCCCCAGTTTCTCTTTATACACTAATTCAAAGTTTAACTTTAGCACAAGGTTTGTCAATTATAATGTTAAGGATCATTTTCTTCTTTTGGTTTGCATACTATTTCCGTAATCTTAGGCCTCTGAGTTCCCTGATCGGCTGCCCTTTCCTGCCCCTCTGGTACTGAAAAGGAAGGAACGATTTATATTTTGCACATTTAAGTGAGAAGAATATTTCTGACACCAAGCCAACATTACACGCACATTCAAATCACTTCATATTGTCCATTTTTAAGCACCCTCTATGGTTGCAGAAGCTCAAGGTTTACTTCTTTGACTATCTCAACCTACTTTTGGGGAGGCACACACGTGTAGCTTTGACAAGCCAAAAATATTTATGAAGAGATATTTCATAGAAATGCCTCTTTTGAGGCAACTTCCTAATAATATATCTCAACTGGTTTTGAGAACTGGTGTTAAAAACAGCCATACCAAAAGTGTCACTGTGTCTCCTGAAGACATTTTCCATTATGTTATTTAGTAATGAATATGAAAAATGTCTTGAAATTTAATATCAGAAAAAAACTTTCTCTCTCCCAAAGACCAGTGTGCTTACTTTGTGTAGACAATAACCTGAGCTCCCCTTTATGCCTTAGCTTCCAGAAAGTTCAGATCTAAACTTATTATCTAATCATTATAACTGACTTTGAATCTACTTTACTTTTTTCCTAGCTTCTTAAGGTGAAACGTATGGTAACTGATTTTAGCTCTCTCTCATTTTCTAATATAAGCATGAAGACCCATACCCTTCTTATTAAACACTGCTTTGGCTGCATTCAATAAATGTTGAAATGCTTTGTTTTCATTATAATTCAGTTTGAGATATGTTCTATTTTCTTTGTGATTTCTTCTCTTATCCATGGCCTGTTTAGAAGTGTGTCATTTAATTTCTAAATATTTGGGGTTTTCTTGGTTATTTCATTGTTACTTGTAATATAATTCCATTACCGTCAGAGAACATATCCTTTATGATTTCAGTTCTTTTCCATTTATTGGTACTTGTTTTATGGCCCAGCATTGGTCTATTTTGGTAAATGTACTATGTGCACTTGAAAATGTGTATTCTGCAGTTAAAGAGTATAGTATTTTATTAGTATAAATTAAGTAAAGGTGGTTGATAGCTTCCTCAGATCATCTGTACTGGCTTTTTTGGTAGCTAGTCCATCAATTGTTGAAAGAGAGGTGCTAAAATTTCCGGTTATGATTGTTGTATTTTCTATTTCTCCCTTAAATTTTGTTAGTTTTGTTATGTATTCTTAGACTTAATTTGGTTCATCTGCATTTATGATTGTTATATCTTCCTGATGAATTGACTGGCAGAGAATACCAAATATATCATTTTGTAAGAAAAATCACTTTTTCCTCTGAGTATAAGTTGAAAATGGATTCCCCATTCGATGGATGCATAACACTTTATTTACCACATGTTAAATATTGACCCCTAAGTGTTTGCTCAATATCAGCAAGTAACACTTCATGTCCAATATCATATGGGTTGTACTAGGTTAAACGTTCCTGTGCTTTATAGCCATATTAATACTCTGTAAAATGATCAAAAGAACATGCTTCCATTTCTGATAGAATATCTTAAAGTGTACGTCTGAATACATGTCAAAAGCATCTTCTTTTCATACTGAAATGGAATATAACAATGTGAAGATAATAGGAAGTATTTTTTCTTAAATTGAAAATCATTAGCATTTCCCATTCTCATAGCTTTTATCATTTCTATTTTTCTCCTAGGAAGTAGGGTTGATGATAGCAACCTAGGCACTTTTCCAGGAAACATGAGGATGGAGATGTCAGGTAAAGAATTTTATAAGATTCTGAAGGTCCTGTTGGTTGAAGATGACATATACATACACATGGTATACATGGTTCTGTGTTCTGAGAAGTCTTTTTATTAATGTCAACTTCTTATATATAAAATTCATATTTAGAACCATAGAAAATGACAAAAGCAATAAAAAAAAGTTACCTTAAATGTTATGCTTTAGGTTTCCCTCCTTGAGAATAAATTTTGTGGTTTCTAAAAGTTTCATTTGGAGAGTGTGGAAGAAAGGATATGTATTCGCTATGTTAGTACTTTAGATCTAAACTTCTATTTATAGAAATACTTTAGCAATCTTTCCTCTGTATCACTGATTCAAAAAGCATTAAGATCCCACAATGTTTTATGTATTGTGCTAAACACTGAGAATATAGAATTTAATGAGACATGATTTGGCCGTTCCGAAGATTATAATCCAGTAGGAAAGCAGATTGACCCTTCCATAGCCCTGCCAAGTATCCAGAAGACAGAACAGAGACATGCCAAAGTTCAGAGCAAGTCCAAAGACCCAGAGAACTGCTCCCTCAGGGTAGGGTCCTAAACTGCCACCATTACCATGTAGATCCAGTCCAATAGGTCAAGAAAGACCTGGCACACAACATTCTGTAACTTAGAATTTTTTTTTCAATTTTTCCTCCCTTCCCCTTTTAAAGTGCTAGTCTGCGCTTTGAAGATAAAATCAAGACATTAACAAAAATCAGCCTCTGAAGAAAAGCATTTCTAGAACAAATGTAGCTATATTTCACTGCCTTTATATAGCTCAAAGTAGGACAAAAATTTATGAAATACAAGTTCTCGTTACAATGTTAAAAAGCTGGATTTTCAACCTTATAAATAGAAGAAGCACTTTATGCATAGGGGTATGATGCCTTATTGTTATTTAAAGAAACAATGACAAATCCTTTAACTTGCAAATCTAATCAAAATATAATCTAAATGTTGAAAATAGTAGAACAACCCAACCACTAAGCGATTTGCCTACTGTTTTTATATGATTATAAAGTGTGGAAAAAAAAGTCCTTATCTTGTCCGCCCTTTTGGGGATGTGATCATACGTGAGACAGGCAGGCACAAGGTTAACCAAGGGGGTTGAAGAGGGAGCGATGGGAACCACAGCTAGGACCAGACAACGTTCCACAGGCCAAGGGAGCGTGGGAGAGGAGAGGCCTAATTGACACCGACAGGGGACCGGATGTGAAGGAAACGGGACTAAATGCAACAGACAACAGACAACAGAATCATACAGGGGAGATGGCTGCTTGTGTCCCTGACCCCCGAGTTTGCACAGGAGTGGGAATAGAGGTGAAGTGGTCCTAACACAGACTTGATAGACCAGGACAGGTAGTAAAAGCATTCCTAATGGAAATGCTAACGTATGGGGATATGCACATGGTGTGGTAGGACACAGAAAAGAATATGAAGGAGCAGCTTCAGCCAGGTAGGTTACTGTACTTAAGGAGTCAAAACAGAGTCAAAGGAGTCAAAACATCATTATGATATGTCTGCTCTGATCCTCATTTATTTTTAAATCTTCATGCTGGCATTCGCTGACTGGCCTCCCTTTGCACTTGGCATTTTATCTTGCCATCTGTATTGGCCCTTCTTGCTGTGAACCTCAGCTCGACTATCAGGTGCTTGGGGCTTTGGGCTCCTCTCACTAACCCCTGTTCCTTTCACTGGGTCACAAGAAGTGTTTTGCTATTTGATGCTATGCTGGGACTGTGGAAAATTTGGTGGCTGTCGCAGACTCTCCTGCTGAGATGTCAGTGCTCCCATTTCTTCTCTACTTTCCCCCTTGCTGTAGCTTCTCAGCAAGGTCTGTATGTCCTGCTGCCTTCCAGGGCTCCCAATAGACTCTCAATCACAGGCCTCGTTTTTCTTGGTTGTTTTGCACAACTGGAAGAGGCAGCTCACTAAAATGAATGGCTTAAAAGTTTTGTTGGGTAACAAGGAAAAAAGATGGCATACCCCTATCTCCTTACATCAGCAGAATGAATTTTTTTTTTTTGAGAGGTAAAGGATTTTTATTTATTTATTTATTTTTATTATAAAATTCTTTTATTATGTTCAGTTAGCTAATGATGTACTATGTGCTCGTCTCTCTCTTTTTTTTAAGATCTTATTTTTTTTTTAATGTTTTATTTATTTATTCGTGAGAGAGAGAGAGAGAGAGAGGCAGAGGGAGAAGCAGGCTCCCCGCCTAGCAGGGAGCCCGATGCGGGACTCGATCCCAGGACCCTGGGACCATGACCTGAGCCGAAGGCAGAGGCTTAACCATCTGAGCCACCCAGGCGCCCCTTAAGATCTTATTTTTAAGCAATCTCTATACCCAACGTGGGGCTCGAACCCCTAACCCCGAGATACAGAGTCACACGCTCCACCAACCCAGCCAGCCAGGCGCCTCAAATGTGTCTTCTTTTTCTCACTGCCTAAAAGGGAACTCATTCTGAGTTCTGAAAGATACTACAAAACTTGAATTCTGATTTTTTTTGTTTATTATATATTTTTCAAAGTGCCCTATTTTGTAACTGATTCATTATCTCTCAGAAACAAGAATCTTCACTGATTCTTGATAGCTTTCTTTTTTCCTATTGCTTATATTTATTTGGAATTAGATTAGATCATATTTAGGTCAATAAATGCAACCTCCCTAAATTGCTGTGTTTACATTAATAATTTTATAACATTCACTATAATTATAAGTATTTACCTTTATGACCTAATTTTGTATTTTATAGCTGATAAAAAAGTGAACAAGAAGAATGGGATAAAAGATAGGAGGTCATCTACTGGTGAGTGAAAAATTTGTTAATTAACTAATTCATTTATTTAACAGATATTTACTGAATAGGCGATGCTATGTTAAGTGCTAGAGATTTGAATAAGTATAATAAACTTTTTTTTTTTTAAGATTTTATTTATTTATTTGACAGAGAGAGACACATTGAGAGAGGAGCACAGGCAAGGGGAGTGGAGGGGGGAGAGGCAGGCCTCCTGCTGAGCGGGGAGCCCGATGCGGGGCTCGATCCCAGGACCGTGGGACCATGACCTGAGCCGAAGGCAGACGCTTAATGACTGAGCCATGCAGGCGCCCCTATAATAAACTTTTTAAACTTACAGTACTATCTATGGCAAATTCTTTTTGTATATTTTGTGTATTTTGCCACTTTTTGAAAAACAATGTATATTAGATTGTTTCCAGTGAATTTAGTCAAGAAAAACTAAACCCAAAATTCAATGAAGAAAGCCAATTCACCTTTATTAGTCAAAGTCAATTATTTATCTGGCCCCAAGGAGAACTTCTTGAAGAAAATATAGGAAAATAATTTTGTGACCTTAGGGTAGAAAAAGATTTCTTAGACAGGTGGCTAAGAGTCTTAAGCATGAAATTTTAAAAATGATTAAATTGGATCTCATCAAGATAAATAACTTCTTTTTCTGAAAGACACAGTTAAGAAAATAAAAGGCAAGACACAGACTGGGAGAATATATTTGCAAAACGTATGTGACTAAGGACTGATATCCAGAATATCAAGAACAACTCAATCATAAGAAGACAAACCAATGAAAGTGGGCAAAAGATTTGAATGGACATTTCACAAAAGAAGATATATATCTTGGCTAATTGAATTTAAATAAAAAAAATCCTGTGGAATTTTTATGTACACAACCAGATCATGTAAAATGATGGGGAAAAAAAGAAGATATATAAATGGCCAATAACCACATGAAAGGGGGCCGAACAGTATTTATCAGAGAAATGCAATTTAAATCATTAGTAGATACTGCTATTCATCCCTTAGAATAACAAAAATTAAAAAGATCGACAAGACCAAGTATTAGCAATAATATGGAGTAACTGTAACTTATACAATTGCTAGAGGGTATTCTAACTACCATGGAGATCAGTATGGCAACTTCTTAAAAAGCTGAACATAAATTTACCATAAGACCCAGCAATCCCACTAGTGGGTATCTTTCCAAGGTAAATGAATATATATGTTCACAGAAATATTTGTGCATGAATATTCATAGCAGCTTTATTCATAATACCTAAAAATTGGAAACAATCCTAATGCCCATCTACCAATCCATGGAGGGATAAAAAAAGTGTGGTGCTTGTTCTTAAAGTTGCATTTGATTAAAGGGGCAAAAGAAATATATAAGCAAAAAATATAAGTGAAATTTTGATTTGGAGGTTAGGGCTATCATATTAGAGAAGGTGCTTTCTGAGGACTAAGTGTGCTCATGGTCAGTTTTAAGAATATTAATGCAAGTGATTATGCTGCTTTTAAATTCTACCCCAGCAGCCTGGTTGATTTGGTGGAATGGAGCAAGTGTTGATTTAGGAATCTGATAGCTACAGTTTTCTGTCTCATACTAACTTTGTGACTTTAGGCAAATATCTTAACTTTTCTGAGGCTCAGTTTCTTTTTTTTTTTAAGTCATAATAACTTTACAGAAGATTGAGATATAGTATATGAAAGCACCCATCCCACTACATGGCTTGGTAGACACTCATTAAATTCAGTTTTCTTTCCTTCCCTGACTGAAAGAGAGATTAGAGAGCTTAGGAGATCAGATCAAAATGATGGGTTTGGAGGAGAATCTAGATGGTGGACATAAGGGTGTTTATTGCACAATTCTTTCAACTTTGCTGTATGTTTACAAATTTTCATAATAAAACATTGAAAAAAATCCCACATATAAATCCATCAATGTCTCTCTGTCCCTGCTACCACTGCCATATTTTAGGTCAATCTCTGAAAACTAAGGATTATGCAATTAAAATGAGCCCAAATAATGATATGGAATAATGGAATTTAACTTGTTTCTGGTTTATTGTTTTATAATTTTTAAATGAATCTGCTTTGTATCTCAATTATGCCTTATTTTATAGCTAAAGGGAAGACTGATCTGAAAACACTGATAGATACAGTACAAGATATTACAGGTCAGTGAGAAGCTACTGTAAATTTGAGATCCCAATTCTTTACACTAAACTATATTTTTCTATGATAAATATTTTACTGAAGTATGAAATACATTACTACTATGTCATATAATCATGTGTGTCCAGCTTAAGAATTATTGCAAAGTGAACATATCTATTTAACTATCACCTGGTTAAGAAATAAGCATTATCAATAATCCAGAAGATCCCTATACCACTTCACAGTCACTTGCTCCATACTCTCTGGAGGTAACTGCATCCTTTATTCTAGGGCCACAGATTAGTTTCACCTGTTTTTGAAATTTGTGTAAATGGAACCATATGATTTGTGTTCCATGATATCTTACTTCTTCCCTTTAACATTATAGTACATGTTATTCTCTGAGATTCATCCATATTGTTGCATGTAGCAGCAGTTTGTTAGTGTTCATTGCTTCATATTATAAAATGTATGAAATTATAGTCAAGGAGATCTTTAGAGAACCTTCCATAGTGGCTGAAATGATTTCTAACTAACTCATTGTATCTGAATACATTGCTGTGCAATATTCCACTGTATAAGTATACCGCAATGTACCTTTCCAATCTATCATCACAGCACATTTCAGGGTTGGAGCAGTTAAGAAGAATATATTGCTATGAATATTCTGTATATGCCTTTTGGTGAACATATGTGCATAATTCTAGGCCATAATACCTAGAAATGAAGTTGCTTTGTTATAGGATAGGATTGTGTATACTTTGTTAGATATTGTCAATCCATTTTCTAAAGTAGTTGTACCATTTTATACATCAACCAACGGTATATCAGAGTTTCAATTGCTTTACATCCTTGCTAATACTTCTCTCTTCTCCATTTTAGCCGTTTTGGTGTGCATGCTGTAGAATCCCACTGTTAGAGTTTGCATATCCCTAGTGATTAATGATGTTGAGCACCTTTTTCATGTTTATTGGTTATTTGGATACTTCTTTTGTAAAGTTCCTTTCATGTCTGTTGCCTGTTTGTCTGCTTGGATGTCTGTGTTTTACATATTGAATTTTTTTAAATATTTATTTTTTTAATTCAAGTATAATTAGCATAAGGAGTTATATTAGTTTCAGGTGTACATTATAGTGGTTCAACACCTCTATACATTACTCACTGCTCATCATGCTAAGTGTACTCTTTAATCCCCATCACCTATTTCACCCATCCCCCACCCACCTCCACTCTGGTTGTAACCATCAGTTTGTTCTCTGTAGTTAAGAGTCTGTTTCTTGGTTTACCTATCTCTCTTTTTTCTGTTTGTTCATTTGTTTTGTTTCTTAAATTCCACATATGAGTGAAAACATATGATATTTGTCTTTCTCTGACTGACTTATTTCACGTAGAATTATAGTCTCTCTCTCCATCCATGTTGTTGCAAATGGCGAGATTTCATTCTTTTTATGGCTGAATAATATTCCATTGTGTGTGTGTGTGTGTGTATCACATCTTCTTTATCCATTCATCAGTTGATGGACCCATGGGCTGTTTCCATAATTTGGTTATTATAAATAATGCAGTAAACATAGGGGTGCCTATATCCTTTTGAATTAGTGCTTTTGTATTCTTTGGGTAAATACCCAGTAGTGTGGTTACCGGATCATAGGGTAGTTCTATTTTTAATTTTTTGAGGAACCTCCATAATGTTTTCCACAGTGGCTTCACCAGCTTGTATTCCCACCAACAGTGCATAAGGGTTCCTTTCTCTCCACATCCTCGCTAACAACTGTTGTTTCTTGTGTTTTTGATTTTAGCCATTCTGACATGTGTGAGGTTATCTCATTGTAGTTTTGATTTGCATTTCCCTAATGATGAGTGATACTCAGCATCTTTCCATGTGTTAGCCATCTGTATGTCTTCTTTGGAGAAATGTCTGTTCATGTCTTCTACCCATTCTTTAATTGGTTTATTTAGGGTTTTTTATTGTTGAGTTGTATAAGTTCTTTATATATTTTGGATACTAACCCTTTATTTGATATGTCATTTGCAAATATCTTCTCCCAGTCTGTAGGTTGCCGACTTCAATCCTTTTGAATTTGTTGAGACTTGTTTTGTGGCCTAATATGATCTATTCTGGAGAATGTTCCATATGCACTTGAAAAGAATGTGTATTCCACTGTTTTTGGATGGAATGTTCTAAATACATCTTTTAGATCCATCTGGTCTAAAGTGTCATTCAAAGCCACCGTTTCCTTGTTGATTTTCTGTCTGGATAATCTATCCATTGATGTAAGTGGGGTGTTAAAGTCCCCTACTGTTATTGTATTACTATTGATTTCTTCCTTCATATCTATTAATAGTTGCTTTATGTATTTGGGTGCTCCCATGTTAATGCCTAAATATTTACAATTATTTTACTTTCTTGTTGGATTGTTCCTTTTATCATTATGTAATGTCCTTGTTGTCCCTTATTACAGCCTTTGTTTTAAAGTCTATTTTGTCTAAGTATTTCTACCCCAGCTTTTTTTTTTCACTTCCATTTGCATGATAAATGTTTTTCCATACCTTCACTTTAAATCTGCATATATCTTTAGGTCTGGAATGAGTCTCTTGTACACAGCATATAAATAGGTCTTGCTGGGCGCCTAGGTGGCTCAGTCGTTAAGCGTCTGCCTTCGGCTCAGGTCATGATCCCGGGGTCCCGGGATCGAGTCCCACATCGGGCTCCCTGCTCGGCAGGAAGCCTGCTTCTCCCTCTCCCACTCCCCCTGCTTGTGTTCCTGCTCTCGCTATCTCTCTCTGTCAAATAAATAAAATATTTAAAAAATAATAATAATAAAATAAATAGGTCTTGCTTTTGTATCCATTTCATCACTCCATGTCTTTTGATTGAAGTTTTTAGTCCGTTTACATTCAAAGTAATTATTGATAGGTATGCACTTATGACCATTTTCTTACTTGTTTTATGATTGATTTTGTAGTTCTTCTTTGTTCCTTTCTTGCTCTGTTCCTTTGTGGTTTGATGGCCTTCTTCAGTGATATGCTTGAATATCTTTCTCTTTATTTTTTGCATTTCTATTACAGGTTTTTGATTTGTAGTTACCATTAGGTTTATATATAATATCTAATGCGTACAGCAGTCTATATTAGGTTGCTGGTTGCTTAAGTTTGAACCCATTCTAAAAGCACTAAATTTGGGGCAGCTGGGTGGCTCAGTCGTTAAGCGTCTGCCTTTGGCTCAGGTCATGATCTCGGGGTCCTGGGATTGAGCTCCCTGCTCAGCTGGAGTCTGTTTCTCCCTCTGCCTCTGCTACTCCCCTATGCTTGTGCGAGAGCTCGTGCTCTCTCTCTCTCTCTCTGTCTCTCAGATACATAAATAAAATCTTTAAAAAAAAAAACCCAAAAAACAGTCAATACATACTCAGATGGAAATTTGTTCATTGTGTAGAATATCAGAAGACACATTTTACCAACAGCACCATCACCCACAACAATGCACTTTGATTGTCTCCACTTTAAATATTTCAAGTTTGATGGTGACCTCAGCTTCTCTGCCAGGATGCTGGCAGCACTGAGCAGGGTCTCCGGTTGTGTTTTATCTTCTGATGAACAGAAGTTTCGCTTTCTCATGTAGTTGAATTAGTCAGTCTTTTCTTTTATAGTTAGAGTGTTTGGGGGCTTGTTTAAGAAATCCTTGCATACACTAGGGTCATGAAAACCTTTACTATTTTATCTTCTGGGAGTTTTGTTATTTTCCTTTCACATTTAGATCTATAATCCACTCAGAATTGATTTTTCTATATGATACAGAATAAAGGTCACTATTTTGTTTCTTTTTTTTATATTCAGTTAGCAAACATATAGTACATCATTAGTTTTTGATGTAGAGTTCAATGATTCCTTAATTGTGTATAACACCCAGTGCTCATCACAACACGTGCCCTCCTTAATACCCATCACCCAGCTACCCCCTCCCCCCACCCTCCTCCCTTCTGTAACTGTCTGTTTCTAAATGGATATGCAGTACCATTTATTGACAAGATGATCCTTTCCCTACTTTAATGTAAGGCCAACTGAATGTGTTGCATATATCTGGGCTTTTCATTCTTTTTATTCTTTTTCTTTGGTCTATTTGTTGGTCCATAGCTTTAATATGTCTTGGTATCTGGGGCGCCTGGGTGGCTCAGTCGTTAAGTGTCTGCCTTCGGCTCAGGTCATGATCCCAGGGTCCTGGGATGGAGTCCCACATCAGGCTCCGTGCTTGGCAGGAAGCCTGCTTCTCCCTCTCCCACTCCCCCTGCTTGTGTTCCTGCTCTCACTATCTCTCTCTCTCTGTCAAATAAATAAATAAAATCTTTAAAAATATATATATATGTCTTGGTATCTGAAGCGTAAATCCTCCAAATCTGTTTTATTTCCTTAGGCTTCTCTTGGCTATTCTTGGTGATGTCCTTTTTGTCATTAAAAATATGTTATTTGTGCTTTCTCTCCTTTTTTCCTTTGTTGGTCATAATGCAGGCATTTAGCACTTTTGTTAGTCTTCCAAAACCCAACATTGGCTGTATTCATTTTATTTAAAGTTTGTTTTTCACTTCAGTAATTTCTGCTTTTGTCCTTATTATTTTTCTTCTCCTTTTGGGGGGTTTAATTTGCTGTTCTTTTCTGACTTCTGGAGATAGAACCTTGGGTTATTGATCTTTTCATCTTTTCTACTATATGCGTTTAAGGGTGTAAATTTCCCTCTGAGTACACCTTTGCAAGTTTTAATATGTAATATTATTATTGTTACTCAATTCAAAATATATTCTAACTTCCAGTGTGGGTTTTTTTTGACACATAATTTATTTAGAGAGGGATTCTTTAATTTCCAAACTTAGAGGATTTTTCTAGTATCTCTTGCTATTGATTTCTAGCTTAATCTCATACCCTATATTAAACAGTTATTTGTACCAATCATCTTTATTATTCTAATAATTTTTAAATTATATGAACCTTATTCAATTGTGAAATATTATTTTATAGCCATCATTAAGGGAGCATCTCTTTTACCAGTGTTAAAGAAATACTGTTCATTCTCTGTCTGCCAATTGACTGCTTGTTGTTTAGCAGGTATCATTATGCCTTATTTCTCTTTAATAATTTGAAATTATGATATTTAAAAAATGTTATCTTTTTCTACTTCTTTTGTTTTGAAGGAGGAGAAGTTGACTTCAGTGAGCTGGATAATGTCCTGCAAAAAATGGGGATAGATCCCTCACCTAAAGAACACTTGGAGCTAAATAAGTCACTTCCAGTTAATGGTGGGCATTTCAACTATCAGAATAGTCTTCAAGAGAGTTCATATTGCCTTCAAGAGAGTTAATATAGTCATAAAGGGAGTTTTTCAGAATTGCAAGTATCGGGTAGAATCTTCAGGGAATTAGGATTATATCCCTAAATTATTTTATTATCCAATACTCTGCTTATTTCAGATCATTTATAAGTTAGAGTTTAAAAATAGCCATAATTTTAAGGGTGATTATTTTTAATATATAGGAATACATAAATTTCCATTTAAAATATGCAAATCAAGAGGCTCATCAATTATAATTCTTGCCATTTGGAATAAGGAATATTAATATTTTTCATTCCATTGAGATGCCTTTGGTTAAGACCTCTAGGAAACAGGAGGAGGAGGAGGAGAGATGTAGAGCTATAATAGGAGAGGGAAAAAAAGGTGGACTCAGAAAAAATACAACATATGGAAGTGTTTTGCTTTGGCATGATAGGTATTAATAATTGTCTCAGGTGCTAAAGAATTGATAGATTTACCATACATATTAAGAATTTTGTTTACACTTTTTATTATTTCTAGAAGATATTAGGTAAATTTTAGGAGCAAATTATTTTATGCTCTATATTTCTGAACTTGGATATTTGGTATTATTTTAGCATGTCTAGATACTTTCTCTGTGACCTAAATTATGTGTTTCTTCCATCTACAGCTAGTAGAAATGTATATAAAAATAGGTTGCTGACTTGTCCAGAAGATATAATAGGTGAGTGAGATGCAAATTGAGAAGTCAGATTGAAACTCTTGTGTTTTGCTTTTTTCTTATTAAATACTGCTTCCTACCATTCTCACATATATTCCCATAATTAGTTTTAATATATATGTTCATATTGATGAAATAATTTTGTTTTATATTTAAAAGATGTTCTAAATATTTAGGTTTACCTCAATTTTGGATGTGGAGATAATAAAATGTAGGCCTAGCTATAAAAGTTTAAGATAGTATATCTTGAAATACAGTGATCAAATTCAACTTGATTTGTATAGATATTTATATTAAAAACTGTTAGATTTGTTGTTTTGCGACCAAAATTAACCTGAATGGTTTCTCAGCCCTATTTCAATGTATTGTTATGCAAGCTTATCTTCAATATTAGATGTATCGGATATAAATGAATAGATTAATTTTAGTCCATTAATGACTCTCTTTAAACACTTAAATGTCCTTAACCTCTTTTTACAATGAAATTAATAACTACTATACATGGGAATTAATATCATATTTTGACTTTCATTTTAATTTCCTCATGTCTTTCTTTTTTATAGGGTTGCAGGTTGATGACCATGACCTTGACTCTATTCTTGAAAACATGGCAATCAGACTTACAGCTGAGGAACTTAATGATCTTACTCCAACTCTACCAGTTGATGGTGAGTGATTTAGGTATCATTGTACCTTCATGAAAATTTGGGTTGAGGCTGGTATTTTTTATAGGACTTATGTAGCTGAAATAAGAATGATTTTTTCTCTTAATATAATAATCTAAAGTTGGTACTTTTTCACTATTCACTTATTTAGCAAATATTTACTGAGCACTATATATCAGGTGTTATGCTAAGTGCTAGAGATACAATGGTGAATAAAAATAAACATAGTCCTTGACCTAAGGAGCTTAATGTCTAGTATATCACAATTCTTAGTATTCTCGTTGAAGCTTAGAATGTTGCTTTCACAGGAACAAGGGCTACAGGTTTCAGCCAATATGTATGACATTTTTCCTAGTTATATATAGGCCATATCCTTGGACCAGATTTCATGATTCAAGGTCAGAATTATAGGTATTAAAGAAAATATTAATTAGGATTGAAGTGTGGTGAATCACAGAGTAATCCCCACTTTAAATAAACTGAAATAGAATATGTTTAGCTGGGCACAATCCAATGAGATCAAGAAATATCACCTAGAAACATTTTATTGAATACTGCCTCTTACATGTAAATATGTTTTTTTCATATGATTCAAATGCTATTTAGTTATATCTTTGCCATGGGTTTCATACCCTTCTAATAGGGTGAGGTTTTTTTCCAAAAGATATTTTTTATTAAATCATTCCTTAATTTTCTAGTACTATTGTGTACCAATGAAAAACATGTAGTTAGTTTTTTATTTGCTTATTTTCTTTATGCTTTTAAGTTTTATTGGGATATCAGGAAAAGGTAATTAGGTGGAGCTATCAATAATTTCCAGATAAGGTAATTTTTAGCTGTGATCTTACCTAGTTTAGTTAGTTTAGAAACTTACCTGGGGATGTCAGATAAAAAGCAGAGTAAGAGCCACCAAAAAACTCTCTCTTCCATAAAAGCAGTGAGAAAACTGGCAAAAATTATCAAAATTAACATTTTCAGGACTGGACATTAACCAAAGGTTTGCTGCAATCTGGGGAGCATTTTTTAAGAAAAAAAAGACTGAATCTCTGTAAGAATAGTAGGCTCTGTGATGTTTTAACTTGCTCTATTCCCATCCCCTGTCTTACAGCTCCATAATAGTCTTGAAAAATAACATTCTATGTTTGCAGTGAAAACTAGTAGCCTGGAAGCCACTGGAGGGAACAGTGGGGGGGCTGGAGCTCTTTCAAAGCCTTTTTCCCTAAGAATTGTCATTATCTGGTCTGTTTGGTGGTTCCTTGGAGTGAGGCTTTAAATCTGTCTCCCTTCATTTATGAATTAATGAATGGGGAATTAATGAGTGTGGAAGATGAATCAAGAGATGAACTGAAATAAGCAGAAAAGAATAAGAAAAAAATAATTATTTGGAGAAATAAAGAACTAATAGCTATTGCTGCAATGGTAGAGTAATAATTAGTCACCAGCCATTCTGAAAGGGACACTGATTAAAGAGAAGAACAGAAAGTACATTAGTAAAAGATGTGAGATGAGAATTCTGGTCTTTACTTTTTTTTTTTTTTATGTTAATCACCATACATTACATCATTGGTTTTTTGGGGGTTTTTTTTTTAGTGTTTGCTGTAGCTTTATTTTATTTTATTTTTTTTTTTGCATTTTTAAAAAATTTTTTTATTCTTATGTTAATCCCCATACATTACATCATTAGTTTTAGATGTAGTGTTCCATGATTCATTGTTTGTGCATAACACCCAGTGCTCCATGCAGAATGAGCCCTCCTTAATACCCATCACCAGGCTAATCCATCCCCCTCCCCTCTAGAACCCTCAGTTTGTTTTTCAGAGTCCATCATCTCTCATGGTTCGTCTCCCCCTCTGATTTCCCCCCTTCATTCTTCCCTTCCTGCTATCTTCTTCTTTTTTTTAAAAAATATAATGTATTATTTGTTTCAGAGGTACAGGTCTGTGATTCAACAGTCTTACACAATTCACAGCGGTCACATAGCACATACCCTCCCCAATGTCTATCACCCAGGCACCCCATCTCTCCCACCCCCCACCACTTCAGCAACCCTCAATTTATTTCCTGAGATTAGGAATTCCTCATATCAGTGAGGTCATATGATAGATGTCTTTCTCTGATTGACTTATTTCACTCAGCATAACACCCTCCAGTTCATCCATGTCATTGCAAATGGCAAGATTTCATTCTTTTTGGTCTTTACTTCTTTTACTCTTGGTACCTGCATGAGTTTTGTGTCCCTGCCAGAACTGAAAGTTTCCAGGAAAAACATGGACAGCATGAATTGTCCTAAGAGTTTATGAACTAGTGTGGCATCACAAAATGTTTTTCCTATAATCTCAGAGTCCATTTTGCTAATACAGACTGAATCCTAGAAAGCCTGAAATTAAGAATTGAAAATGTACTCAAATTAAATAGTGGAAATACTGGACTCTGCCTGGAGTTTTTTCACAGCATAGGTACTGTATGTTTTTATTCTAAAGCTCTGTCTTTTTCTGGATCCCAACTTAGCCTTTTTTTTTTTTTAACAGCTAATGGGAAGTTTGGTGTCAGTATCTTAACAGATGGAATGGATGGAGTAAAAGCTATTAGAGGTAACATCTTAGAATAACACCTAAGAGTAAGATGCTACTAGAAATCTGAGAACCAAATTATTTTCTTTTTTCTTTTTTTAAATTTTATTATGTTATGTTAGTCATCATACAATATATCATTGGTTTTTGATGTGGTGATCCACGATCCATTGTTTTCATATAACACCCAGTGCTCCATGCAGTACATGCCCTCCTTAATACCCATCACCGGGCTAACCAATCCCCCCTCCCCCCTCCCCTCTAAAACCCTGTTTGTTTCTCAGGAGAACCAAATTTATTTTCACTAAGTTATAATATAATGCTCTTTCCACATCATGATTATATGGACTTTAAAAATCTCTCCCTACACTTCTTTAAAAAAATGTTTATATATAAATGCCTACAGTTAGATAATGGATTATCAGAACTTTTAGCAATAAAACTTCAGTGCTCCTCTTGTTTCCAAAGTCATTATCTAGAGTCTTTGCCAATAATTAGTATATCTTCTTTCATGATGGGAAAGCTAAATTCCAGTTCAACACAGTAAACAGTGAAGGAAAGTTTTGGTAAAGTTAGAGGTAATCTCAAAATAAAGCAATAAAAGTGCTGATAAAACTATTTAGATCAGCAGTCTGTATCATTCTAATTTCCTGCAAAGTTTATACTTGTAATTGCATGTTCTGTTGCCTTGCCTATCATTTGGAGATTATATTAGACTTAACAAGAAAGTTTATCTGAAGGCCCAAAGGCCCATTTGTTAGGTTGGGTCTCTTTTCATCCAGCAGTTGGCTGTAATGCTGCAAAGACAATTTTTTTAATTATATGGAATCATGACATCATTCACAATAATGCCAGAAGTCTTCATTTCTTTTGCTTTGAAGGAAAGGTTGATGTTAATGACTTGAAAAAAGTTCCAGGAAACACGGGGAGAGAACTCAAAGATAAGAAACATGGGGAGTTGGTGAACAATCTGCCAATCAATGGTGAGAATGTCTGTAACAATTCTATTTCCTATCTAAGTAAAAATGAAAGAATGTCCAAAAAAATCTTTTAGAAGGCGTTACTGTTTTATCTTAAGAAGAAATACCAACTGTGTCATCTCATTTTTAGTTTGTGAATCAGTTGGCTCTTGTCAGAAATCCTATGGCCATGGATGAGAAATGCTGGCTATTATTCTTGAATCCATTGTGAGTCCTAAAGTTTAAAATGAGAATTAAGAGAAAAATGGAGGCATTGAAAAGTATTAAATGGAAATAAATGAGAAATCACAAAGAATAAACGAATGGGGAGTGTTCAGCATGCTAGAGGCCCAGCAATAGAGGCCCATAATGAAGAGTGGCCTTATTTTTTCCATTTCACGTATTTTTTAAAATTATTGAGAGTACAGTTGTACTTTAGGGAGATATAAAGTCTGACTCTGAAATGATGGCTTCTCTATTGCCTTGATGAATCTTCATATCATTTTGGCGAGATTTTGATTTGTATCTTTCTTAAAGCTGATAGAAAGATCTATCAGAATAAGCTCATGGATGGCACGAAGGCCTTTTTTTTAGTTTCTTTATTTTTAATTGAAGTATAGTTGACATACAATATTAGTTTCAGGTGTACAACATAGTGATTCAACAATTACATACATTATGAAATACTCACTGTGATAAGTGTAGATGTCATCTGTCATCACACAAAGTTATTACAATATTATTGACTGTATTCCCTATGCTATGCTCTTCATCCCTGTGACTTATTTTCTTTATAACTGGAAGCTTGTACCTCTTAATCTTCTTCACCTATTTCACCTATCCTTCACCCACCTCTACTCTGGCAACCACCAGTTCTCTATATATTTGAGTCTGTTGTTATTTGTTTTGTTTTTTAGATTCCACATGTAAGCAAAATCATATGGTATTTGTATTTCTCTGTCTCACTTATTTCACTTAGTGTAATACCCTCCAGGTCCATCCATGCTGTCATTAATGACAAGATTTCATTCTTTTTTATGGCTCAGTAGTATTCCATCATGTATATATACCTCATCTTCTTCATGCATTCATCTACCAATGGACACTTAGTCTACTTCCATACTTGGCTATTGTACAAAATCTGCAGTAAACATAGTACACATATATCTTTTCAAATTAGTGTTTTCATTTTTTTCTCGTAAATACCCAGAAGTGGAATTACTAGATCATATAGTACTTCTATTTTTAGTTTTTTTATTATGTTGTGTTAATCACCATACATTACATCATTAATTTTTGATGTAGTGTTCCATGATTGATTGTTTGCGTATAATACCCAGTGCTCCATGCAGTACATGCCCTCTTTAATACCCATCACCTGGCTAACCCATCCCCCCACCCCCTCCCCTCTAGAACCCTCAGTTTGTTTCTCAGAGTCCATAGTCTCTCATGGTTCATCTCCCCCTCCAATTTCCCCCCCTTCATTCTTCCCTTCCTGCTATCTTCTTCTTCTTCTTTTTTTAAACATATAATGTATTATTTGTTTCAGAGGTACAGGTCTGTGATTCAACAGTCTTACACAATTCACAGCACTCACCATAGCACATACCCTCCCCAATGTCTATTACCCAGCCATCCCATCCGTCCCACCCCCCACCACTCCAGCAACCCTCAGTTTGTTTCCTGAGATTAGGAATTCCTCATATCAGTGAGGTCATATGATAGATGTCTTTCTCTGATTGACTTATTTCGCTCAGCATAACACCCTCCAGTTCCATCCACGCTGTTGCAAATGGCAAGATTTCATTCCTTTTGATGGCTGCATAATATTCCATTATATATATATACCACATCTTCTTTATTCATTCATCTGTTAATGGACATCTTGGCTCTTTCCACAGTTTGGCTATTGTGGACATTGCTGCTATAAACATCGGGGTACACGTACCCCTTTGGATCCCTAGATTTGTATCTTTGGGGTAAATACCCAGAAGTGCAATTGCTGGATCGTATGGTAGCTCTATGAGGAACCTCCATGCTGTTTTCCAGAGTGGCTGCATCAATTTACATTCCCACCAATAGTACACAATGGTTCCCTTTTCTCCTCATCTTCACCAATACTTATTATTTCTTATCTTTTTGATACTAGCCATTCTGATGGTGTGAAGTAATACCTCATTTTGGTTTTGATTTGCATTTCCCTGACAATGAGTGATGCTGAGCATCTTTTCATGTGTCTGTTGGCCATCTGTATGTGTTTTTTGGAAAAGTGTCTATTCAGGTCCTCTGCCCATTTTTAAATTAGATTATTTGCTTTTTTGGTATTTAGTTGTATGAGTTCTTTATATATTTTGGATTTTAACCCCTTACTAGATACATCATTTACTAATGTCTTCTCCCATTCATTAGGTTGTCTTCACATTTTGTTGATAGTTTCTTTTGCTGTGCAATAAAGGTCTTTAGGAGAAGGAAGGGAAAAATGAAGCGGGGTGGGAATCAGAGGAAGAGATGAACCATGAGAGACGATGGACTCTGAAAAACAAACTGAGGGTTCTAGAGGGGAGGGTGGTGGGGGGATGGGTTAGCCTGGTGATGGGTATTAAAGAGGGCACGTACTGAATGGAGCACTGGGTGTTATATGAAAACAATGAATCGTGGATCACTACATCAAAAACTAATGATGTATGGTGACTAACATAACATAATAAAATTAAATTAAATTTAAAAAATAAAGATAAAAAAAGACATAAGATATTAAATTTTGATACTTGCCACCTTTCAAATATTTTGATAGCACATTTATGCTTCTTTTAATCCATCTGTACTTTTGTGGACAATCTACATTATATCTTGGGAGATGGAGTTCCATAATTTATAGAAGGTTTACAATTTGTGGCAAAAAAGAAAATAAGTCTAGTCTGAAGAGTGTTAATAAACGAAAAATTAGGGTGCCTAGGTGGCTGAGTTGGTTAAGCATCTGCCTTTGGCTCAGGTCATGATCTCAGGGTCCTGGGATTAAGCCCCACATTGGGCTCCCTGCTCAGCTGGGAGTCTGCTTCTCACTCTGCCTCTGCCCCTGCCTGCTCTCGTACTCTCTCTCTCTCTCACTCTGTCTCTCTCAAATAAATAAATAAAATCTTTTTTAAAAAATAAAAAATAAACAAAAAATTAATAATGGTTAAGGAAATTTACTCAGAAAAAGAAAAATTTCCCTGGGTATCATCAACAACAACAAAAAATCACACTTATTAGATGGAAGTATGAAATTTGTTATCTCCACAACTGTATTTCACTGAGCAGTTCATCAATTTCCTTTAACGCTTTCTGCTATATGGATTGATCAAGGGAAGAGATTTTATTCTAACTCTATTATTGAACATCTTTTAAAAATCAAAGAATTTACTTAGCTATTGTCTTTATGCTAAAACTTATAACTATATTATACAGGAATTAATAGTTTGGGTCCCATTTAAGAGTCACTAAATTTTGGTCTTCTTCCTCTCAATTTCCTAAGGAGATGGGGATGATTAATATCAACAAATTGTACACTTTTCTGGAAAACAGATTGAACCTCATAGAAAAGGAATTTAAAAATCTGAGACTGAACATGCAAATTAACACTGAGCATTTAATATAGCATTGAGCCACTCAGGAAGTCTTGGGTTTATGAAGTGATGGAAAGAATCTCTAAAGCTACTAATTTGGCACCAAGAAGACATTTTAAAAACTCACAGAAGAACACATCTCTAAATAGAAATAAATGCTATCCTAAAACCTTATGTTAAAATTTATTATATCAGCAACTTCTTTTACTGTGAATTATAAGCAATGCTGAGGTTTCTAAAGGCTACAAAAGGCCAGAGAAAATTCAGGGAAAAGAAAAAAGCTGGGGACAGGGAGAGTGGAAATAAAATGAAAAAATCTTAAATTGAGAAATCAAATAAATATAGGTCTACACAGCAAACATTGAAGTGAAGGATTAGCAGTTGCTCAGCAGAAATGATCTGGGAATTCAGGCAAATGAGAATTACTACTTGTTCTTGTTTGGAACAATGTGATCTGTGGTCCAACAGCTCTAGGTGCTAAACTATACCTTAGGCACATTTTGCTATCTCCAGTTGTCCTAAGATAAGGTAAAAGGAAATAGGTTCTAGTTTTATCCATCCTGTTAAATTTTTCTGAATAATTTGAAAAGTCAAATGACTCTTGATAGTCCTATTTAAAATGTTAAATGATAATACAAAGATAGGAGTTATATTTTCTCTTTTTTTAAATTATTAACACAGGCTAATTAAATTAATAATACAAAGGGGAATGTATTTTTAATATTTTGGAAACATTCCATTTTTCTCATTTTCCATCCCTATTGCTTTCCTAAGGAGGGAAGGTTAATGCGAGTAACTTGGAGAGCATTCTGGGGGAAATGAGGATTAAGCTCCCAGAAAAGGAACAGGAAAAACTGACAGAAAACCTGCTACTTAATGGTGAATATTTGAGAAAGGACTGTGACTTTGAGGGGAGGAGGGTGGGGGGATGGGTTAGCCCGGTGATGGTATTAAGGAGGGCACATACTGCATGGAGCACTGGGTGTTATACGAAAACAATGAATCACAGAACACTGCATCAAAAACTAATGATGTATTGTATGGTGACTAACATAACATAATAAAATAAATCAAAATAAAAATAAAAAAACAAAAAGAAAATGAAGGGAGCTTATGCTTGTGAACATGCATATAAAAATTTCTAAAACTAGTGACATTCACACTCAGAAGATATTTTGTAGATCTTCAGGAAGGATTAATTCCTAATGTAAAAGTAAGTCCTATTTCTTCATTTTTATAAATCCCAGAGAGCAAAATGAAGTTCTGTCTTTGTTCATTGTTTCATTTAACACTCTCTCTAGAAAAACGTCTTTTCCCCCCACCATCCCTATATTCTGAAAATGTTCAGATTTATATCCTCAGATCAGTTTTCTCACTTAAATATTGAATTGTGTATTCAAATTTCTTATATTCTATGACTGTCCCTCAGACATCATAAATTTTGTCAGAAACTGAGTTCATAGTTTTCATTGCAATATTTGACCAAAGTAGCCACATGGGGCCTTTAGAAATATGTTGGGGGTGTATTTGATTGTCACAAATGGTTGTCACCAAGTGATTGTAAGAGTGGGCACTGTTAGCATTAAATTCCTTGAGTATCAGGGGTACTAACTGCCATGCAATTCGTAAGACTTTTCAACATGATGAATAATTGTTCCTAAAGAAGATGCCAATGACATGTCCAGTAGTTGAGAAACTCTGGCTCCTGTTTTCATACTCTTTCACAATTTTGGTACCATCATCATTACCCTAGTAATAAAAGCTAAAATCCTGAGAGGCAGCCTTTACTCAACTTGCTCTGACTTAACTGGTTGTATTACAAATGAGTTCCCCTCTTCCCTTCTATAAAATGCAAGCTTCTTTTGGCAGAGACTATGCTTGATCCTTCAGTGTGCATCTTTATCCCTCCTCCAACAAAGTATCTTTTACATATTAGGTACATAATAAATATTTAATTAATGAATGGAATAAATGAAAGGAGTTTCTACCCCAAATGAGAGGTAGACTGGCAATGCTGGGTAGTGATAGTACACTATGGACAGATAGATGCCTCAAATATTTGCTGACTTTTGTACTTAATTAAACCCTTCATAGTATATAGTAATCTTATACCAATTGATAGTACCAGATGCTCTCATAGTTATCCCACACGCAATTGTCTTCTGGCGTTACAGGAAGTACTGTTATCTTGTTTGCATTTAGGAACCCATGTTCTGAGGCAAGCCCGTAACCCATGCAGTCTATTCAATTCTCAATGACATGGTAGGAAGACAGTTTCATATACAGTACAGAGATAGACCGAAACTTGTTTTCTTACCTCCTTCCAATTTCTTCTTTGTCCCCATTTTACCCCATGTCCTTCTAGTCTGAGTCACTGGATGTCCCTTTTGGGGTTATAATTTACTTTATTGGGACTAATTACAATATCACTGTAGTTAGTAGAGTTATCAAAGGACTTTGTGAGTACCCAGATCAGCCCAGAAAAAAACCCCATACCCTATATCTCTCACCCTTATATTCTCCCCCACCACCCCACAAGCCCTAGGAAACTACTGATCTATTTTCCGTTTCTATAGACTTGCCTATTCTGGACATTTCATATAAATGGGATAGTATGTGGTCTTTGTGACTAGCTTCTTTCATTTAGTATAATGTTTTCAGGTTTATCCATATTGTAGCATGTATCAGGATTCCATTCTTTTTTATTTTCAATTTATTGTGGTAAAATATACAAAATATAAAATTTATTATCTTAACCATTGTTAAATGTACAGTTCACTGGTATTAAGTACATTCACATTTTTGTGCAACCACTACCACCGTTCATTTCCAGAATTCTTTTCATTTTGTAAAATTACAACTATATATCCATTAAACAAAAACCCATTCTCCCCTACCTCCAGCCCCTGGCAACCATTCTACTTTCTGTCTGGGTGATTTTGACTACTCTAAGTACCTTATATAAGTGGAATCATGTAGTATCTATTTCTATTTCTTTGTGACTAGTTTATTTTACTTAACATAATGTCCTCAAGTTTCATCCGTGTTGTAACATATGTCAAAATAATATTCTACTGTATGTATATACATTCATTCATCCATCAGTGGATACTTGAGTTGCTTCCACATTTTAGTTATTATAAATAATGCTGCTATGAACATGGGTGTACAACTTCATTCCTTTTTGTTGCCAAATAATATATTCTGTTGTATGTGTATATTTTTTTTATCCACTATCAGCTGATGGGCATTTGGTTCTTTCCACCTTTTGGCTATGATGAGCATTTCCAAACATACACAAAAGTACAAAGAGTAATATAACGAACTCACATATACCTATCACCTAGATTCAATAATTACGAAGATTTGTTACACTTGCTTTTTTTTTTTAATTTTTCTGACTGAAATAGTTCAAAGCAAATCCCATTTCATTTTGTCCCGACATATTTCAGTATGCACCCCTTAAAAATATGGACCATTTTTTACATAACTGCAAAACCATTATATAGTTTAATTTTAAATTTCCCTTATTATCTCTAAAATATTTTTTATAGTGCGCTTTTTCAAATAAAAAAACAAACAAGCTTACACACTGCATCTGTTATGACACATGAATCTCACATAATCTACAGCTGTTCCTCTACCCTCTTTTTCTCTAGGCACTGATTTTTTTGAAGAAACTCTTGCCAAATGTCTTGTAGAATTTCCCACATACTAAATTTGTCTGTTTTCTCAACTATCTTATTCCTCTATCGTCTGTATTCCTTATAAACTAGGAGTCAGCTCAAATGGCTTAATTATTTTCAGTTTCAACTTTTTTTTAATTTAAAAATTTTTTTTAGTTTCAACATTTTTTGACAATACTTTGTAAGTAATACCATGTACTTCACATTGCATTCCATCAGGAAATACAGATCTAGTTTACCTTTTTGAAAATGGCTGTACAGTTGTCCAGAATCATTTACTTAAAAGTCTGTCACCACTCCCTTCAATTTGAGACACCATTCTAACTATATACTTGATTTCTATATGCACTTGTCTATTTGGGGAATTTACATTCTATTGGTCTCTTTATTCATGTTCTGAATTGCTTAAATATAACAGCTTTATAATCTTTTAATATTGGTAGGTCTAACCTCACTCCCTAGCACGCTCACACACACACACACACACACACACACAGCTCCTCAGCCCCCACCCTCCTACCCTGGTTCTGACTATTCTTTATGGAAACATCTTTTTTGTGTGATTTTTTAATTGTAGGATATTTGGTTTTTCTTTTTTTTTTTTTTTCCATCTTCCATTTGCTGTGTAACATATTTCCTAGTGAGAAGATTGATTTCTTTGGGTTTAGAAACCACTTAGGTTATCAGACGACTTATCACATGTACATGTTTATTATCGTCCCAAGTTAAAAATCCCAATATAATGAAGAAATATGAAGGCATATAGCACACTATTATTTCTTGTTTTCTTTGGTACAGAAATATTGACTATCCTTTCAAATTTAAATTTAACATAAAAGTCTTCCACGTTATAGAGCCGCATTATTCTGAGTCAAGATTAGACCATGTGGTGAAGTGTCCTCTTGGCTCTAGCTCGGGCCTCCATGGGTGCAGATGATGCCATATATGCTCAGTAGGTGTGCACCAGTAAGAGTACCCCAGAGACATCCTGAGCCGCCCACCAAGAAGCTCAGGAAAGTGAGACAGCACTTGCACTTGCCTGCAGCCCTAGATTCACTAGTGGGTGGAAGATGAATTCCATGTGGTTCAGGATCCCCTTCATGTTCCCATCCAGGTGCTTGTTTCCTTCCTCCCTCCTTCCTCCTCTTTCCCCCTTCTTTTCATTTCTAAATTGTTTTTTTCTTTTTCAGCTATATTGGGTCACTTTTTATTGCTTCCTGTTTCCTGCAGATACTTTCTAGCTTGTTTTCCATTGCTTTAAATATAGTAAGCATAATAGTTTTATAATTTGTGCCTGATAATTTCTAAATCTGAAGTTTTTGTGAGCATGTTGCTGCTGCTTATTATTTTTGCTTATTCTCTCTCTGGTAATTTGTTTCATTCTGTGTTTGATTGTGAGCTATTTTCCCTGGACAATTATTGAAAGAACCCTTTGAGGCTAAGGATGGAAGCACATTCCTAAGGAATACTTGCTTCTGCTGGGCATTTGGACAGAATCACCCACACTCCATGAGGCCATCATTACAGTTCAGATCCAGATGGAACAAATACCATTCAAGCAGAAGCAATAACAGTGTTCTGCTCACCTCCCTAGGTTCCTGCTTTTCATTAGATTTTGCAGTAGTAATTCCTTACTCTCTTATCAGCTTTTCAGTACTTTTGAGGAGATGCTTTTTACATTTTATCCAAGATTTCAGTTTCTGGCAGGAAGGTTGGTCTGAATAACATAGGCCTCCACATAAATGGAAACAGAACCTGATTACAGATTTTTGTCAGGAAGGAGTTGAAACATCTAATCTGGGAGTTCAGAAAAAAAAAACCCTCAGTGTCAACCATATTTTGATTTTACCCTTTGGTGTAAATGATTCAAAAATTGCCCAATCACCTGGAAGATTTCTATTCTAAGTTTGACATCCTTACTGACCCCTTTGATATATATGAATGGACTTTATTGAGTCTTGGTCTTTCTCATGAGGCTGATAATCATAATGCACCATATATAATATCAATGGTCACATTTTGGAGCCAATAAGTTTTTCTCATATTCTTTTCCTTTTCACAGGAGAGATTATTGATGTCAATAAAGCAGATGCTCCTTTGCAAAATATGGGGATGAGCCTTTCAGAAAAGGAAATAAATGATCTGAAACAAGATCTACCAGTTGATGGTGAGTGTTTAAGATATATTTGAATTGGTTAGTATGGGCTTCTATAAAAGAATCTCCGAAAACTTAGTTGGCATTAAGAAGATGGAAACGTTAAAGATAGCTCAGACTGTAAGTACACATGTTTTGCTCCTTGACATTTTCAGCAACTTTATTTCTGCTTGGAGTATGGCTAGGGCCACTATTAGACCTGGACAGAATTAGAGAATTAGTGCTGTGAGGGAATGGGAATGCATAAAATAGAAGAAACTTTAACACAGGAAAATGTTTTAAAAATTATAGAGCATAGCCCAAAGTGGGAAATTATTTTTAAATTTTTTAAAGCAAGCTCTAGTCCCAGTGTGGGCCTTGATCTCACCACCCTGAGATCAAGAGTCACATGCTCTACCAACTGAGTCAGCCAGGCGCCACAAAGTGGTAAATTATTAAAATAGCATTTCTGTCCCCACCCCACCATCTTCAAAGACATTTAAAAAGGCAGAATAAAGAAGGAATGTGAAGTGTAGGCCCTATTTCCTACACCAAATGAACAGGACCAAATCTTCTAGATACCCTGGAAGGGAAAAGGATCATTAAGCACTCAGGCCTGAATGTGTGGAATGCCTGAATGCCCAGCATTACATCCCCACATTCCTGAGCCAGACTCATGGTCCAAAGGCTGTCCAAAAGTTCTAATATTCTGAATGGGGGCTAAAGGAATTCTCAAACTAAATAAGCAAAAGTTAAATATTAGCCTGAGAACATAACAGAAGTATCTGTCTGGAACATTACCTGACTATCTTATAATCTTAGTTGAAACAATACTTGCTCATCCTATTAAGGTGCATTTAATTCCATCATTATGTAAGGTAGACAGTGTTCCCTCAAGTATATTTTTGTTAATCTATTTAATTTATTCTCTAGTTTTTACCACTGTTAGTGTACCAGAAAGAATATGTAAGTGATCTTCATTGTCTTATTTTTTTGCTTGCCATGTATCCATTAAGAAAAGTGAGACTAGATGTGGAACCCCAGTTTTCATAACACAAAATTATTTTTTATGTATCTAGGGTTGATGGAATTTTTAAAATATTGCCAAAATAAGCAGAATTATGGGGGAAATATAATTATTATTTGGGACTATCTTTTAGTATTGCCATTGATTTCTGCTCCTCATTTTAAAATAATAATTTAAAATCAACCAAGACAATGAAAAACATTGTTAGATAAAAAAGTATACATGAAATAAAAGGGACATGTTGAATGATTCATCCTTTTTTCTTTAAATCAGAGTTAGAATTTTTAAATTACTGCTTATTGGCGATCTGGTCACCTGGGAGTTATCATCAGGATTGAGCTTAAAATGAAGTTTTCTGAAAGATTAAGACTCAAGCGTAGAGCCCTAGTTATATCACTGGGGACAGATAGACCTTGAACTTCCCATTTAGGGCAAAGCTTTTCTCAAAATGTGTCTGTCAGGATGGAGATGTGAATTTACTGGAGAGGGCAAGATTTAGTGGAAATGTGACCCAAGGAAGCATATACTCAAATAGTGAGTTTTACACCTAGTAGGTGTTATCATCTTTGTTTCTGAGAATTTCCAGCGGCCCCATAAAACTGACACATATTTTCACGCTTTCCTGACCTAGCTAGCTGGTTTTACTATAGAAATAACTTTTGGAATGTCCTGCCTCAACAGATCCAGAAGAAAAAGAAGAAAGATTCTAGTTAGTCTAGTTTTAGCAATCATGTAAATAACTTATGTATATTTTTCCTGTTCTCTGTTCTAATACTTGTTATATGTATACCTATAAGTGTTAATGGCTTCTACTATAAGTCACTACATACTTCTAATACTTCAGTAAGTATTTGTTATCTAGGACCTTCATTTGTAAATTTTTCTTGGTATAGGGGTTTTTACACACTACATACTGTAATTTATCACTTAAAATTTGACAAAAATCAGGAATTTTTCAACTTACCAACATTGACAATTTTTCACAAAATATGTATCCCCAAAATCATCTATTTGTGAGATAATTCTGTACTTTAATATGTTTCTACATTAAGTCTCTATTTTTTTTAAGATTTTATTTATTTATTTGACAGAGAGAGACAGCGAGAGAGGGAACACAAGCAGGAGGAGTGGGAGAGGGGGAAGCAGGCTTCCCACTGAGCAGGGACCTAGGACCCTGGGATCATGACCTGAGCCGAAGGCAGACACTTAATGACTGAGCCACCCACGCGCCCCTACATTAAGTCTCTCTAAATATTAATTTTTATAAAATTCAGTTGAGTATCTACAACACAAATTATGCAAATCATTAGAGTTGGGAAATTAACCTCAAAATGAATATTTTACTCAAGTAAATCATAAATCATGTAAATCAAGAGTAAACTGGTCTGCCCAAGTCAGTGGACATGAAAGCAAAATAGTAATTAGGATGTCAGTAAAGAAAAAAAATACTTTCACAAATCCAATTGAAACAGTGGTGAATAATAGGTTCTGACTTAAAATTTTGTTTTCTTTGGACTGATCAGAATCATATTTGATTCTCCAATATCTAAAGCTAAAAATAAGTACCTATTAAAACGGTGACTTTGAATCTCACACTTTAGAATTTGTTTTGCTGTTTCAATGGATCAAAGCAGTTGTTAAAACAGGCACTTTTATAATAAGTAGAGTGATTATTTTCCTTGTAGTTGTGCTCATTGGGGAAGGGGTAAGATAAAATTCAGTAGCCAGTGAATGCTACTGTGTTTCCAGTTTGCATTTCCAAGTGAATGTCATGTATGTATTTGATTTACATTTTCTTATAGTTCATGGGAAGGTTGAAATGAAAAAGCATATGGATGGAATAAAACTTTTTACAGGTAAATAAGAGATTACCATTTTTGTGCTTGAAAATGTTTTACTGGGGGTGCCTGGGTGGCTAAGTCTGTTAAGCGTCTGCCTTCAGCTCAGGTCATGGTCCTCGGGTTCTGGGATAGAGCCCCATGTCTGGCTGGGAGCCTGCTTCTCCCTCTCCCTCTGCTTGTTCGCTCTCTTGCTATCTCTCTCTCTCCTTCTCAAATAAATAAATAAAATCTTTAAAAAAAGAAAGAAAGAAAATGTTTTACTGAGAGGGATGTGTGATCAAAAATAGTTTGTGGAGGAGGGTTAAAATGCCACAAAGCTCTCTCACTGTAAGTTGCCTTTTTCTTGATTCAGCTTTCACTTAGTTGATGTAAACCTTTGACTATTTTCCAGAGTTCTGACAAAGTTGATTCTGACAGTTTTTTGTTTGTTCGTTTAGTGTTTCAGTGGAGGGAGAGTTCCATGGAGCAACCTGCTCAGCTGCTTTTGCTGACATCATTCAATCTCTCTATAAGAGAGTACTTTTAAATAGATCTAGAGGATACAGTGCTAAGTGAAATAAGTCAGTCAGAAAAAGACAAATACCATTTGATTTCACTTGTATGTGGAATTTAGGAAACAAAACAAATGAACAAAGAAAAAAAAGACACAAACCAGAAAAACAGACTCCTACCTATAGAGAACCAACAGATGGTTGCCAAAAGGAAGTGGGGGGCAATGGGTGAAAGAGGTGAAGGGGATTAAGAGTACACTTGTTATGATGAGCACTGAGTAATGTATAGAGCTGTTGAATCATTATATTGTACATTGTACAATTATTTACAATTATATCATAAAGAGAAAATCATTCAAATCACAAGATAATAAATACAATAAATGATAGCTGAATATATAAATTTTCCATCTGTTATCTTAATTTGCTTGCCAATTGTAAAATAAATTTGTTCTCTGCAGGGCAGACTTGTTCCCAGAAGTAAGAGACCCCCCTTTTGTAAATATTAAGGGATTATATTCTATTTTGTGATTTCCCCATAATTCTGTGTGGTTAGACAGGTTTCATTTTCCCCTTACATTTCCTCAAATAGGGGGAGATGCATTATAGCAAGAATGAATTTTTTACCATTTCACGAAATGATTATTCTCAGACATTAATGTTCTTGTATTGTCAAAGGAAAAAAGGTTCATGTCAGTGACCTGGAGAAAGTTCTGGGAAGCATGCGGATCGAGCTCACAGATGAGGAACTTAAAAAACTACGGGAAACTCTGCCAATTGATGGTGAGCTACATAGAAGGCACAGAGACTTTCTAGGGAACTTGGTTTTGTGGCCTGTGCAAACAATTTAAAAATTTTACCTGTTTAGGCCCTTCTGATAATTACTGAAAATGATTATTAGGAAAAGGTGTTGTCATTTAGGTTGAGTCTGCAATTTACCAAACGTGTCAGCCATAGCATTGCCATCAGAATATCAGGTAATTCATCAGCCTAAATCCCAAGAAAAAAATGGAAGGAAACTGCAGAAGGCTAGTAAGAGAAATAAAAGGGGTAGTCAGAGGAAAAAGGAAGTTGAGTGATGTTTCACCATAATAGGGTTTCCCTCAGCTGTCAATCTCCTAGTTACCAAAAAATATATATATTTGTCACACTGAGACAGTTTTCCTTTCTGTAACTTCTTTTTAAATTTAATAATGAGATAGAATACATTCCTCACTCAATTATAAATAGTTGTCTTATTGAAGTTATTAAGTGAATATTCATACCATTTCCCTTCTGACATGAATTGTTCCTTTTCCTATAGCTGCTGGAAACGTATTTCAGAGCAGAATGTTGGATAATGTGAAATCCTTTAAAGGTAAGTTAAAAGCCTGACAAGAAAGGCAGAAACATGTGAAATCTTCAAGATTCACATTTATCATTTAGATTTCAAGTCCTGTCTAGCTTCGTACGTATAGATTAGTTACTCTCATCATCATAATATTTTATACTGTAATGTCTCAATACATCTTTCTAGAGAATTCATACTCATAACCCCCAAAATTAATCATGCACAGCAAATTGTAAAGAAAAGGATTACCAAATTTTCAGGGAGTTAAGGAGAGCTTATTATGTAGGAAGATTGTCAAACCCATAGAAACAAGAAGTAGATTAGTGGTTGCCAGGGACTGTGTAGAGAGGGACTACTTAGTTTTTTTGGGCTTTCCTTTGGGGATGAGGAAAATGTTTTGGAACTAGAAGTGATAGTTGTACAACATCATGAATACGTACTAAATGCCACTGAAGTGTTTACTTTAAAATGATTAATTTTATGTGAATTTCACCCCCCAAAAAGTGCTAAGATTCTACTTGTTTTTAAAGTTATCTTATGATCTTCACTCTGTTATGATATAATATCAATAAATTAATTAATGAGGTCCCTAGCATCAAAACTCATTCCTATTCTCTCTAATATTGGTTATAATAAAATCTTGTAGCCTATCCCTTCATAACCTACTTATAGTACAGACTTCCACTCAAGGTTTAAAGGAAGAATTACTAATTCTGATTTTTCTAATGATTATTTAATGCTCTTAGACATGTTAAATGGGAGTTCATACAGAAAAGTAATAATCACATAAGTACATTTTCTCCTTTGTCTTTCTTATAGTAATGGCAAAGCATATATATATTCAGGTAATAATTCACATGCAAAAATATATTTTTAATATTTTAAACTCATTTTTTTTCATGTTTCATTCCTGTATGTTTCCTAAGGAGGAAAGGTTAAGGTGAATAACCTGGACACTGTCCTGGAAAACCTGGGAATCAAGCTCACACAAAAGGAACTTGAAGGTGTAACAGAAAATCTGCCACTTACTGGTTAGTGTTTCAAGTACTACTATATCTTAGAGGAGAGTTTTTGTACTTGTACAGGAAAATATCTACCATTAGTTTTACCTGGTATCAAAATAGCATTTTTCCAGAAGCTTAGAGAAAAAACTAGTCTTAATGTGAGTGCAAATTCTTTCCTTCGTTTCTATAAGCCCCATATCATTAACCTCTTTTCTTTTGGATTATAAACACCACACACAGAACTATTATAATTACTTTCTGACCCAGTAATGAATTTACGGGGAGCAAAATGAACTTTATAGGTTAGGGAATAGAAAGAAAGGGAGAAAAGAAATGACTAATTGCCCTATTATTAGTATCTCTCAAATAGTTGTGTCCTAAGTCCATTAATCATTTTAAAATTTATAATTCTCAGTGGAAAGTATTATCCACACTCATATTTCCAACTGTCATTACATGCTGAAAACTTCTAGGTGTTTATCTGCAGCCCAAATTCCTCCCCAAACATGGTTGGCTGAAACCAGATTCAGATTCCTGTTGGATTCTACCTACCAAATTCATTCTTACTCAGCAAAGCCTCAGATCTTATATCTTAATTCACTATATTTAAAAATATCTACCAAAAACCGTCTCCTAATTATACATACCCTCTCTCAGCTGGGGGCACCATCATGTTTCTTAGTAAAACAAATTTAAAAATTGGCATCATTTTTCACTCCACATTTTTTCTTAGTGCCACATCTCATTGGATACCAAGTCCTACCAATCAGGACTACTATTTCATAGATCTATGATCTGACCCTTGCTTTCCTTTTAGCTTTATCTTGTATTATTTCCTGCCTCCACATTGCCCTCCAACACTGAAGCATCTGAACCATAGTATTGGATATAGGCATGGTTCAAGGTTTTTATACAGGGTGCTCCCCAGCCTGTTGCAAAGCAGTGGCTATAAATGGATGAATTTTAGCAGGAGGGTCTCCTGATTTTATTGTCTGCTCTATGTCAACCCAACTCCTCTACTATAGTGAGTTTATTTGTCCTTCTCACCCCAGAGACTGAGTTGTTCTAAAGCAGAAATTATGTTAAATTTATACTTAAATACATTTTAGTTTTTTTAGTGCCTCATCTGGTACCTGAAATTTAGTAGACAACTTCATAAAATTTTCTTCAACCAATAAATGTAGGGATCTTATTTATTATCTAATGCTTATACCATAGCATCTAATTTGATATCTAACTGTCCTTTTCTACACACTCCCCAACTCTTACAACAAAAATACTTAGGCATATTTCACCAGGCCAATTCTTGTCTATAAAACTAATCTCAGGGGCGCCTGGGTGGCTCAGTTGGTTAAGCGACTGCCTTCGGCTCAGGTCATGATCCTGGAGTCCCGGGATCGAGTCCCACATCAGGCTCCCTGCTCGGCAAGGGGTCTGCTTCTCCCTCTGCCCTCTTCCCTCTCGTGCTCTCTGTCTCTCATTCTCTCTCTCTCAAATAAATAAATAAAATCTTTAAAAAAAAACAAAACAAAACTAATCTCAAAGTTTTCTTTTCCAGAGCTTCCCTGACCCATGGAAGTCACTTTATTTACCCTTCCTCTCAGTTTAAAATTCATCTTATACACACATATATATTTTATATACTTACCATATTGTGTAAAAAAAATGTGTCTTTATATCACTCTTCTTTGTTTATAAACCATGATACTCTCATAGGCAGGAACCATGCCTACATCAATTTATATTTTTGAGGCAATAAATATTGAAGAATGAATGGAGTAATGGAATAATCAGAGAGACTAAACAAAATAAATGAAAACCAGTGAAAAATACAAGTAATGCAAAGGCAGAAAGTCTGTAAGAGGAATCTCAAATATATGCTAGACCTCTAACATTTCAGTTGAGCAGAACATAACCAGAGGGCTCCAGATCATTAGTATAAATGTTATCAAAGCAGAAAGGCTATTTCCTAGTCATCACTCATACAGTTTTCTGCTTTCCAACGAAGTCTTGACAGAAAATATACTCATTTTGAAATGACCAGCAACATCCTGGTCAATTTCAATAGTATACAAGAGGATACTTGTTCATACTTAATACACACATACAGACTTGGCCTTCTCTTAAAATTCGTCCTCAGAACCATCCTAATTCCAATTTATTCCCAATAAGGCATAATATTATTCTTCAGTTGATTTCCTTTTTATGACTCATTACCTTTTTTTTAATATAATTAATAGTGCTACACAAAGACTTCATGAAGTCTTAGGACATAGGAGAATAAGTCTGTATATTTGACTAATCACATAGAATTTTTATTAACCCATTAGCTTTCAGTGAACTGCTGAGTCCCCTTTGTAACTAGTTATTATGTTACCAGAAGTCCTTTCAGTTTGGGGACTATCCGAAATATCTACCCTTCTTTTAGTGTTAAAGAGAAATACATACCTATTTTTATAAACAAGTATGTATAGTGTTAATAGAAGAAACAGATCACTAATTTATGTGATGAGAAAGCCCAAGATAGTTGTGATAGACAAAGAAACTAAAGAAAGATAAGTTAGGAAAATGTAGGAAGATAAGAAAGGTGGTCCCCACAAACTTGTCTGACAATGTGGCTGAACCAAAGCTGAGAAGTTGCTACGCAGCCAGATAAGTCATTGGGACCTTTCACCCTGCCAATAAGATAAAGAGAACAGCCTTCAAATTCAAGAGGCACATTCAAGAGTCCATTTTGTCCAAGTGACAAAGACTCTCCCTTAACTAATATGGAGTTAAGTCTTCATATCTAGGGCTTATATCCTTATAGTTGAGTCAGATAAAGCAGTGGAGCTAATGAAATCTCTTATTTCCCAATTTACCATATTTTTTGTCTGTTTTATATATAACTCTTTAGCATTATTACTTTACTTTGGCTTTCCTTGTAGCTAATGGGAAGGTTGAGCTCAGCACATTGATGGATGCAGTGACCAATGTTACAGGTTAGTAAATAGTTACTGTGAATCTAAATCCTAATTCTTACATTAAATTCTATTTAACATCACTGCCTTTTTACTCTGACATTTTACCATTTTACTGGGGAAGTATTTCTATTAAATTGTTTAGAATATGGATTGGCAATCTTTGACCCTTGGGCCAAATTTGCTTCTGGTCTTGTAAACAGTTTCATTGGAACACATCCACCCCCATTAGTTTATGTATTCTTTATGGCTGCTTTTACAGTACAATGATGGAGCTGAGTAGTTGTGACAGAGATCATATGTCCTACAAGACCTAAAATATTTTTGATTGTTCACTAGCTTGTTTTAGAGAAAAGTTTGCTGACTCATAGCCTAGAGTTTAACTTTAGAATGATCTTACATCCTAGTTTTCTCTAGACAGTTATGGCTTACCACTGAGGTAGGTTAATTTTAACTAATTACTTTTAACACCCTCTTTTACTCTGAGTAGTCCTTGTTTACATGATAAATTATATGCAATTTTAACCTTAGATTATTTACACTATATACTTCAGTGCAATGCCTTGATAGAAAATTCTTTATTCTCTGGGATTTATTCCAAACAATACTTCAATATGCATAATCTGAGTATCATGAAGGGACACTTGCTGCAATTATAGCCTCGAAGTATACTACCAGGCAAGCTAGCCCAGAGTTCACAGGACAGAAAGGTTCAAGGACCCAGTTATAATGTTTGAATCACACAGTTTATTAAATCATTTAAAACACACAGCAAGTAGTGAGGGGGAATTCAGAATAAATTAACAAATTTAGGGTATGGTGAATGGAAGGACCATACTACCTGAATCTAAGATACACAAGGTGCATAGTAAGTTTTGTGTCTCTCTCTGTTCAACAGCATTAGTTTTCTCTGCTGATGATGTGGTGACAAGAACCAGGGTTGAGGTTCAAGCAGATGGGCCCACATATGGAAAGTGCTCTAGCCAGTGATACAGAAAGACACAGGGACAAGTACTTCTAGCTAATAGTTGTAGCTTGCTATTAAGGCCATTGAAGAGCCATAGGTTTTGGGTTCCTTGAGCAGAGGACACATAAGACCTAAATGGGTGTCACCAATAAGTTGCCAAATTAAAGTCATTTGAATAATGAGTCTCATCAATATTTACCATATCTTGAATATTTAGTGCTTCTTTTAGTGTCTCAAGCAATTTTAGAGTATCATAAATATTTAGAGCTTTGGGACGCCTGGGTGGCTCAGTTGGTTAAGCATCTGCCTTTGGCTCAGGTCATGATCCCAGGGTCCTGGGATTGAGTTCCTCATTGGGCTCCTTGCTCAGCGGGGAGCCTGCTTCTCCCTCTGCCTGCCTCTCTCCCTGCTTGTGCTCTGTCTCTCTCTGACAAATAAATAAATAAAATCTTTAAAAATAAATACTTAGAGCTTCTTATATATTTAGTCTAACAGATATATTTAGTGAACAGGTTCTTCATGTATATTTAATGCCTCATGAACATTAGGTATTACTCAGTCCTTCCATTCCTTTGTAACTTCTGTATCCTTTACTTAAAAACTACTCATCTGTACTGCAAACATCTTAAAAGATTTAGCCCATGTTTTATACACTACAAACTTGAACTAATGTACTTACTTAGCTTCTGTAATAGAATTAAATGTTCTCAAAAGCAAATGCACATTACACTGGATTAACATATTAAGTAGTGAAGTAAAATCAGATACAACACTCATAATTAAGGGAATAACAGAGACACTGAATTTTAAATAATATCTGTGATATTTTAAATAACTTGAAATCCCCCAAGCCACTTATATCTTGTTTAAATTTCTTTACTCCGTAATTATAGATACTGAATTTTTTGAGTTAAGGGAAAATTCTGTTTCCATAATAGCTGATGGAGCAAAGGTCTCTTGCTACTTTGTTCATAGCTGTTGAATGATCTACCAAATAGACAAATGATTTCTTTTTTTCATAATTTGGATATTCATATTTCATATTTAGGTCATATTTAAATTTTCCATGTACTTTCATTTCTTTCTTTGAAGGAGGAGAAGTTAATGTCAGCGATATTGAAAGTATTCTGGAAAAAACTGGGATAGAGCTCACAGAGAAGGAGTGCTTGGAACTAAAGAAGTATCTGCCAGTTGATGGTGAGCATTTAAAATAACAATGTAGCCTTTAAGGAACTTAGAGGTGTGTTTATTTTTTGAGAACTTCCAGAGTTATCTCCATTTGATAAAGAGAAAGAGAATTAGAAGGAATCATGCAGTTCTGTCTTAAGAAGTAATCCCAGCTGTGCCACTTTATTTATAGTATCATTGGCCCCTTCAGCACTAACCTGGTATTAAGTTAAGGAAGCGCCTATTCTAACTTCTGATTCCAGTCAGAAGGCATCCTCAAGAGTGAACAGGGACATATGGGAAAGTAAAAAGAATGAGAAAATACTAGGAGGGAAAATGGAGAAAGGAAAGGAAGACATAGGGAATTAAGATGTGTGTGTTTCAGCATAGTAGAGCTCCAGCAGTGACTCCCTCAGGAGCCAGAATTTTCTCTACTTGTTACTGTTTTCTGGTTATTTAAAATTAAATTAGGCCTTTTCTGGGGTAAATTATGATGTCTGTCTTCTAAAATTAAGGCTTTGGTAATGCCTAATTTAATCTCTCATTGATGTGGTCTGATTGGTGTCTTCCTTACAGCTGTTGGAAAGGTGTACCAAAATAGGTTGAAGGATGGTGTGAAAACCCTTAAAGGTGAGTGATAAGTATAATGAAAAAGGAGATGAATCTGAAGCTGAAAGGTAGATGAAGAGACTTTTGCACACTTAATTTAGAATCCTGCCACCGTGTATGTGTGTGTGTGTGTAAAACCATATTCATATTTTTTCCAAAGATCTTTTCTGTATATATTTTACCAAATGGCCTCCTGTACCATTCTTTAACCTTAAGATGGAAGTGAAAACCCACATAAAAGTAGGACTTTGAATAACTTCACCCTTAATGAAATGGCAAACTAGAAAAATGTCTAATCAGCACAAGTAGATAAAAGGAAGTTTATCTGTGTAGTCATGGACTCTTAAGATCATAAAGAAATGTCTTCTTTGAAAATTCATGACAATGGGCCTATGCTCACATTGGTTCCAGTTCATATTTGCACTCTCTGCATGACCCAGAAACTCACAAAAAATTAACAAAAAGCACCAGCATTATAGTAACTCTAGTGTTTAAGAAATACACCCTCATATCATGGTCAGTGAGATTTTCTCCATAAAACCTTTCTTAAAATGAACTTGAAACAGAAAATTACAAAAGATATGAAAAAAATCTATCTCCAATTAATACCAATATATACAATAAAAAGACTGAACCTGGAAGACATCCCATAATACAAACATTTTAGATAGACTATAAAATAAGTATGCTTTAAATGATTAAATTCATAAAAGAAAAATCACAATAATTTTAAAAGAAATAGAAACTACCACAGGAAAAAGTGGATTTGAAAGAAGTCAAAATAAGATTTCCATAAATGAAAAGTCTAGCCTGGAAAATTAAAAACATAATGGTTTCATTAAATGTAACCAAAGAATTAATTAGATAACTAGAATAGAACTCTGAAAAAATTGCCCAAGATTCCAGCATAGAGATACAAAGATTACAAATAGGAAGGAGGAGTAGGAGACATGAGGGTCAGAGTGAGAAATGTGCCAATTTATCCAGCAATAGGACAAAGAGCTAACAGAGAGAAAGAAGGAAAATGCTAATTTGAAAATATAATAGTTGGTAATTTTTTGTGATTGTTGAAAGACATGGATCCTAAAATACAGGACACGTAATGAATCCTAAAATGATACTTAAGAGATCTCTGCTTAATCGTATCATAAGGAAATCACAGAATGCCAAAACAAAACAAAACAAAAACCCCTAAGAACAACCAGGGTGCATTCTGACTACCTACAAACGAGTAACAATTAGACTTATATTGGACTACAGTGAAATGCCACCTCACACCCCATAACATGGCTGCTTTTAAAAAAGGAACAAAATATGACAAGTGTTGGTGAGAATGTGGAGAAATTGGAAGCCTTGTGCACTGGCAGTGGGCATATGAAATGGTATAACCACTATGAAAACCAGTATGGTGGCTCCTCAAAAGCTTAAAAATAAAATTTCTATATGATTCAGCAATTCCACTTCTAGGTATATGTCTTAGTTCATTCAGGCTGCTTTAACAAACTGCCAAAGACTAGATGGCTTATAAACAACAGACAGTCATTTCTCACAGTTCTGGAGGCTGGAAGACTGATTTGGGAAGACAGAAAATTCTGGGGATAGATAGTGGTGATAGTTACAAAACAAGGTGCGTATACATAGGTCTACTTACCTGTACACAGAAAAATGTTAAAATGGTAAATGTATGTTATTCATATTTTACTACATATATATGTATATATAATATATATATTATATATATATATATTAAAAGTAGCAGGAAAGGATACCTGGCTTTAACAGGGTAATAAGGGTATAATATGAATAAGTACATATCAATAAGTTTGGTAACTTAGATGAAATGGTAAGCCACTCTGTCCTAACAGTAAGCAAAAAGCCAAACAAATTTAAAAATCAACAACTCTTCTTAGATCCATATGAGAAATGAGGTCACAGGGAAACTGTGAGCATAAACCTCTCTGGGAACCAGTGGCAGGGCAGGAAAACCTAAACTGTAATTGATGAATTGCTAGAGACTCAGTGTGGACAAGTCTAAGAGACAAAAACTCCAAGAGAACTGGGTCATAGAGGAAGTGTCCACGCCTTTGTGGGTTTTACCGCTAGGAGCTCAACCAGGTTCTCACAGGGAATATTGGAGAAGAATCTCCTCAAGAAGCTTCTGGCAGGGGGAGAGGAAAAGTTACCATTTTGAAATGCACAAGAGCATTCTGTTCTTCATAAAAAGGCTGCCAAAAGGAGAAACTATTTAACTATAGCCTAAACTGCTGAGGTTTTATCAGAGCCTAGCTGACCTGGGGGAAGGAAAACACCCAACTTAAGCACATTCTAGCCGCAGCACAGGTGATGTTCACAATCCAGACCCAAAGGGTCACAAAAAGATTGAGACTTAATCATAGGATTATAGTATGCTTCCCTTCCCTGTACACCTTACCACCAGATCACTAAAGTCCGGTTTATAGCAGTTATTTTTACCCATTCCATTATGCCAAGCTATCAGGAAAAAAATCACAAGCATTGTAAAAGGCAAATAACACAATTGGAAGAGACAGCATGCATTAGAACCAGATTCAAGGGGCACCTGGGTGACTCAGTCATTAAGCGTCTGCCTTCAGCTCTGGTCATGATCCCAGAGTCCTGGGATTGAGGCCCGCATCGGGCTCCCTGCTCAGCGGGAAGCCTGCTTCTCCCTCTCCCGCTCTCCCTGCTTGTGTTCCCTCTCTCACTGTGTCTCTCTCTGTCAAATAAATAAATAAAATCTTAAAAAAAAAAAACCAGATTCAAATTTGGCAGGGATGTCAGAATTCAAAACAATTATGATTAATATGCTAAGGGCTCTCTGGTGGATAAAGTAGATAGCAGGCAAGAACAGATGCACAATGTAAGTAGAGAGGTGGAAATCCTAAGAAAGAACCAAAAAGAAATGCTAGTGATCAAAAACACCATAACAGAAATGAAGAATGCCTTTGATGGGCTTATTAGTAGACTGGACATGGCTGAATACACTTGATTTAAGAAAAGGCCAAAGATTTTCTCTGACTGACAGATTTCACTTAGCATTATACTCTCTAGCTCCATCCATGTCGTTGCAAATGGCAAGATTTCATTCTTTTTTTATGGCTGAATAACAACCTCACCAAAGAAGATACACAGATGGCAATTAAACATATGAAAAGATGCTCTACATCATATGTCATTAGAGAAGTACAAATTAAACCACAATGAGATACCACTACACACTCATTAGAAAGGCCAAAATCCATAAGAACAAGCCAAACAACTACTACTGAAGTAGACAAATATGAGATCAGACATTTGACAAAAGAGGAGATCTCTGTGGGGCCAATCACTTATAAAAAGTACTTCATTACACACATAAATATGGAAGTCTAAGTTAAAACAACAGTAGAATACTAGTTCACGGATCTCAGGTTCACCAAAATTGTTACAGTCAAGCCACACTAAGTTCTGGCAATGATATGGAGCAATGGAGATTCTTGTGCACTGCTAATATTAATATTAATAGTAGCACTTTGGAAAGCAACTGGATAAAATCTCAAGAAATTAAAAATGTATGTATTCCACTCTAGCTATTCCACTCCTGTATATATTATTCAGATTCTTACCCTTGTCAACAGACAGTCACAAGAATGTATGTTGCAATGTTTTTTGTAATGACAAAAAATTGGGTACAACCTAAATGTTATCTATGGGAGAATGGATCAGTATATGATGGCATAACATTATAGTAGAATAATAATATTTAAAATAAATGAGGGAGAGGGGCACCTGGGTGGCTCAGTTGGTTAAGCGACTGCCTTCGGCTCAGGTTATGGTCCTGGAGTCCCGGGATCGAGTCCCACATTGGGCTCCCTGCTCAGCAGGGGGCCTGCTTCTCCCTCTGATCCTCCCCCCCCTCATGTTCTCTCTATCTCATTCTCTCTCTCAAATAAATAAATAAAATCTTTATAAATAAATAAATAAATAAGGGAGATTCCCAGCAAGATGGCAGAGGAGAAGGAGACCTAAATTTCGTCTGGTCCCTGGAATTCAGCTAGATAGGGATCAAACCATTCTGAACACCTATGAACTCAACAGAAGATCGAAAAAAGGAATAACAGCAACTTTCTGAACAGAAAAACGACCACTTTCTAGAAGGTGGGACGTGCGGAGAAGTGAATTCGAGGTGATATTCAGGAAGAAAGACCATGGGGTGAAGGAGCCTCCATCAGCTGGCTCCCGACAAGTAATAGAGCAGCGGAGCACAAAATCGGAACTTTTACAGGTCTGCTCCACTGAGGGACGTCGCTTCAGTGGCTAAGCGGGGGGTGGAACCTTTGATGGGACAGGGTTTCTCAGGACCCTCGGGGTCACAGGAAGACCGGGGGTGCCTGAGTGCAGCAGAGCTCCCAGGTATCAGAGCAGGGAAGCTGGCTGCAGAGATGGAGCCGAGGCATGGGCTCTCAGCTCGGGGTTGCCATAAACCATGATCCGCGGCATAGTTGAGCCACTGCTCTTCCAGCAGGGCCCCAACAAGTGCAGATCAGGCAGATCTGGGGAGATTCCCCTTCCTCCCCCAGGAGGAGCAGTGCAGGAGCGCACCACAGGGATCTGCTGGGTCTGGAGACTGCACACGGGGTCGTGTGCCAGAGATAGAAATGCTCGCTCACAGGCTGGGTGAGCACGGAGTGTGGCTGGAGACCGGGGAGACGGGAGTGACTGCTTTTCTCTGGGGGCTGAGGAGTGGAGCCCTGAGTTCTCAGCTCCTCCGGGGCGGAGCTGGGAGGCCCAAAGCTGTACGGAAAGCTTGCAGGGAACAAAAGCTGCGGAGAGCAAACCTGAGCAGATTACTTAGCCCAGAGGGCAAGGGTGGGGCAATTCTGCCTCAGGCAAAGAAGTTTGGGAACCATGGCAACAGGCCCCTCGCCCAGAAGATCAGCAAGAACAGCCAGCCAAGACCAAGTTTACTGATCAATGACAACGCCAGCATTAGGGAAATACAGCACATACAATTAATGGCTTTTTTCCCCCTGATTCTTTAGTCTTTCAAAGTTAATTTTTTTAATTTTCTTTTTTTTCTTCAAATTTTTCTTTTCACTTTTTCAACCAACATCTTATCAATTCCTTTTTAAAAAAAAATTTTTTTTTTTTTCATTTTTAGAGTCATTGACTATCCCTTCTTGGTAGTTAACCTTATTGTTGGTATATATATAAGTTGTTCTCTCTTTAAAATTTTGGGATACAGTTTCTTCTAACAGACCAAAATATACCCTAAATCTCTAGTGTATGGCTTGGTTCTAATCTCCTGCCTGATCACATTCTCTCCCTTTTTTTTTTTTTTTTAAATTTCTCTTCTTTCTTTTTTCAACCAACTTCCTATCTTATAAATTCCTTTTATAAAATCTTTTATAATTTTCATCTTTACACTCATATTCCATCCCTGCATCATATTTACCCTTATTTTTATACATATATAAACTTTTCTTTCTTTAAAATTTTGGAAGGTAGTTTCTTCTAACAGACCAAAATACGCCCAAAATCTACTGTGTGGCACTGATCTATGCACCAGCCTGATCATATTTGTTCATATTCTTTTTTTTTATCTTTATCTTTTTCTTTTTTTTCTTTTTTCTTTCTTTCCCTTTCTTTTCCCCCAGTTTCAGGTCTCTTCTGATTTGCTTAGTGTATATTTTTCTGGGGTTGTTTTTACCCTGTTAGCATTTTATTCTCTCATTCATCCATTCTCCTCTGGACAAAGTGAGAAGATGGAAAAAATCACCTCAAAAGAAAGAACAAGAGGCAGTACCGACTGCCAGGGACCTAATCAATACAGATATTAGTAAGATGTCGGAACTAGAGTTCAGAATGACGATTTTAAAGATACTAGCTGGGCTTGAGAAAAGCATGGAAGATATTAGAGAAACCCCTTCTGGAGAAATAAAAGAACTAAAATCTCACCAAGTCAAAATCAAAAAGGCTATTAATGAGGTGCAATCAAAAATGGAGGCTCTAACTGCTAGGATAAATGAGGCAGAAGAGAGAATCAGTGATATAGAAGACCAAATGATGGAAAGTAAAGAAGCTGAGAAAAAGAGAGAGAAACAACTACTGGATCACAAGGGCAGAATTCGAGAGATAAGTGATACCATAAGACGAAACAATATTAGAATAATTGGGATCCCAGAAGAAGAAGAAAGAGAGGGGGGCAGAAGGTATATTGGAGCAAATTATAGCAGAGAACTTCCCTAATTTGGGGAAGGAAACAGGCATCAAAATCCAGGAGGCACAGAGAACCCCCCCTCAAGATCAATAAAAATAGGTCAACACCCCAACATCTAATAGTAAAACTTACGAGTCTCAGAGACAAAGAGAAAATCCTGAAAGCAGTTCGGGAGAAGAGATCTGTAACCTACAATGGTAGAAACATTAGACTGGCAACAGGCCTATCAACAGAGACCTGGCAGGCCAGAAAGGACTGGCATGATGTTTTCAGAGCACTAAATGAGAAAAATATGCAGCCAAGAATTTTATATTCAGCTAGGCTGTCATTGAAAATAGAAGGAAAGATAAAAAGCTTCCGGGACAAACAAAAACTAAAGGAATTTGCAAACATAAAACCAGCCCTACAAGAAATATTGAAAGAGGTCCTCTAAGCAAAGAGAAAGCCTAAAAGTAACATAGACCAAAAAGGAACACAGACAATATACAGTAACAGTCACCTTACAGGCAATACAATGGCACTAAATTCATCTCTTTCAATAGTTACCCTGAATGTAAATGGGCTAAATGCCCCAATCAAGAGACACAGAGTATCAGATTATATAAAAAAAAACAAGACCCATCGATATGCTGTCTGCAAGAGACTCATTTTAGACCCAAAGACACCCCCAGATTGAAAGTGAAGGGGTGGAAAACCATTTACCATGCTAATGGACACCAAAAGAAAGCTGGGGTGGCAATCCTTATATCAGACAAATTAGATTTTAAACCAAAGACTATAATAAGAGGTGAGGAAGGACACTATATCCTACTTAAAGGGACCATCCAACAAGAAAATCTAACAATTGTAAATATCTATGCCCCTAACATGGGAGCAGCCAGTTATATAAGCCAATCAATAACAAAAGCAAAGAAACACATTGACAACGATACAATAATAGTGGGGGACTTTAACAACCCCCTCACTGAAATGGACAGATCATCTAAGCAAAAGATCAATAAGGAAATAAAGACTTTAAATGACACACTGGACCAAATGGACTTCACAGACATATTCAGAACATTCCATCCCAAAGCAACAGAATACACATTCTTCTCTAGTGCCCATGGAACATTCTCCAGAATAGATCACATCCTAGGTCACAAATTAGGTCTCAACCAGTACAAAAGATTGGGATCATTCCCTGCATATGTTCAGACCACAATGCTTTGAAACTAGAACTCAATCACAAGAGGAAAGTTGGAAAGAACTCAAATACATGGAGCCTAGAGACCATCCTACAAAAGAATGAATGGGTCAACCAGGCAATTAAAGAAGAATTTAAAAAATTCATGGAAACCAATGAAAATGAAAACCCAACTGTTCAGAATCTTTGGGATGCAGCAAAGGCAGTCCTAAGAGGAAAGTATATAGCAATACAAGCCTTTCTCAAGAAACAAGAAAGGTCTCAAATATACAACCTAACCCTACAGCTAAAGGAGCTGGAGAAAGAACAGCAAATAAAGCCTAAACCCAGCAGGAAGAGAGAAATAATAAAGATCAGAGCAGAAATCAATGAAATAGAAACCAAAAGAACAGTAGAACAGATCAACAAAACTAGGAGCTGGTTCTTTGAAAGAATTAACAAGATTGATAAACCCCTGGCCAGACTTATCAAAAAGAAAAGAGAAACGACCCAAATCAACAAAATCATGAATGAAAGAGGAGAGATCACAACCAAAACTTCATATTGCTAACGAGTGTCAGTGTTATATCTGTGTTTGATTTACATGTGTTTCTTAAGAGATAATGGGAAGGTTAAAATGAAAAAATTAATAGATGCGCTGAATGCTTTTCCTGGTGAGTGGCAAGTTACTGTAAAATTGTACTATCTTATTAAAAAAATGGAAAAAAAAAACCAAACAAACAGAGAGGCAAACCAAGAAACAGACTCTTAACTATAGAGAACACACTGATGGTTACCAGAAGGGAGGTGGGCAGGGGGATAGATAAAATAGGGATGGGGATTAAGGAGTGCACTTGTTGTGATGAGCACCAGGTGTGGTATGGAAGTGTTGAATCACTATATTTGTACCACAGAGTCTAATATTACAGTATATGCTAACTAACTGGAATTAAAATAGAAACATAAAATTGTACTAACTTAAAAATATCTTTTTACCTTACCAAACTCTTCTATTTTGCTTTTATATTGTATTTCATCAAATATTTATTTTCAGAGTCCTATACTGTATTTATTTGCACAATTTGAACTTTTAAAATACAATTAAAACTGTATTTTGATAAGAAATTTGGCAGAAATATTTTTAATTAGGCAATATCATTTATCTCACCAATATTCAATTAACCTCATACCTTGATAGCATATATAAAGAGAGAAATCATATAATTTAGAATCTTCCCACAATTCTAAGTTCCCCTGTCAGAATTATAAATTTCTATTATTTCCATTATTCTAATTTGCTGGCCAATTAAAAGCAGACTTACCTCGACTGCATTAGATGCACACAAATCCAATGCTGAAAGAGTATTCCTTTTTTTTTTTTTTTTTTTTTGAGAACGAGAGTGAGAGAGAATACAAGCAGGGGGAGTGGAAGGGGGAGAGGGAGAAGCAGACTTCCCGCTGAGCGGAGAGACCAGATGCAGGGCTTGACTCCAGAGCCCTGAGATCATGACCTGAACCAAAGGCAGAACCTTAACCAACTGAGCCACCCAGGGGCCCCCAGAGTGTTCCTTTTATGACATTAGGACCTGTGTTCTGTTTGTGGTTTCCCTGTAATTCTGTGTAGTTGTATGTGTCTCATTTTACCTATTCACTACTTCCAAGTTGAAGGTGATAATTTTGTCATTATTTGTCATAATATTTGTCATTATTTGGAATCATTAGATTCCAAATTGCCAAGCACTGATGTTCCTGTCTTTTGAAAGGAAAAAAGATTGATGCCAATGATCTGCTAGAAGTTCTGGGAAACATGGGGATCGAGCTCACTGAGAAAGACTTTGTGAAGCTGAAACAAACTGTACCAATTGACGGTGAGCCTTATAAGTGCCAGGGTAGCCTTTCTGGGGAGCTGGGTTCTGGGGGTCATTGTAGGCAGGTCTACAATATTGTCTCTTGAAAATGATTTTAAGAAAGGTAATTTCACTGACATACAGATTCAATCTAGGAGTCACCAAGCTCTTCCACTGAGAATTTTGCCATCAGAGCTAATGCAGATTGCAATAATGCTACCAGTTCCCACTCCTGAGAGGCCTAAAGGATAGGAAGGGAAAGGAAGGAAACTGAGAGGATTGAGAGACTAGGGGGAAAAAGAAAGGAAAAGGGACACAGAGAACTAGTGATTTTTTTTTTTTGTACAGTAGTCTTCCCATCATTCTTCTTGGTCGCTGAACACTGTATACATTGTTGTCACCAAGACCATTTCTTTTTCCCAAAATAATTTTTATTTGTTGGAGAGATGGAACAGATTTCCCAGGGAAAGAGTAAAAAACTTTCCTACTGGAATTACCCAGTTGCCCAATAACTCTGTGACTGTCCATGTTCTTTTCCTTCAGATATTAACTGTGCCTTTTCTATTTTCTAATAGCTGCTGGAAAGGTGTATCAGAACAGATTGCTGGATGGTGTGAAGTCTATAAAAGGTACTTAAGAACCATGATTAGCAGGAAAGTCTGCTAAATATCAACACAAATACCAACACAGACATCTTTACCAGCAGGTTTTGAATCATGTCTACATTCCTATGTTTAGATCTTTTCTTTCATTACATTCATCACACAGTACTTTTACATAATCACCCATGTTATAGCATTGCAAGGAATCCATTCTCTTTTGAATGGATGTGAAATCTAATTTATACAACAAATAATATAGAGAACATCATAGGCAGTTTTTCTGGGGATTTGCCCAACAACAACAATACAAAGGATTTTGGAGTGGTCTTTAATATCATTTTATTGCATGAATCAAGTTATTTTCTATAAAACGTTCTTACCCAAAGACCAGTTAGCAACAACAAATGTAGAAGAGAAGCATGGTATTGTGGCCAAGATACTTTTTTCACTTCTTCTTCCTATCAGTCCTTAGAAGAAGAGATAAGAAGGGGAAGTAGGAAGGGAAAGAGGAAAGGTTACAGGTTTTGCTGCTTACTATTTGATGAGACAGTCTCCTGCAGGTGGCTGGTCTGTCATCCCAGGCCCTTGGAATAATGGCAGTCAGCAACATTCCTTGCAGAATTTTGTGGTGAATGTGTCGTCCATGACACTCTTCCCTCTAGAGCAAATGAACCCACTTTTATAACCTTTTAATCTTTAATACACTTTTGTGTATTGCAAGAGCAGAACATTGATGATCTGAAACTTGAACTATCACTCTCAGCTGATACCTCGACTTTGTTTTGGGGACAGACATGCGCAGTATTCTCTCTGAATTCCCCATGGGGACAATTCTACCATTGGTATTCTTTTGGCCTCTCTTTTAACAGATGAATATTACCCAATACTGCAAATAATACCTTTAAACACATAATCACTCCCACCACCCAGTAATACTTCAGTGCTTTTAAGTAAGCTCAGTGCCCAATGTGGAACTTGAACTCATGACCCTGAGACCAAAAGTCACATAGTCTATTGACTGAGCCAGCCAGGCCCCCCCCCAGAACATTTTTATCTAAGTTGTTCTTGATCTCATTTTAGGTGATTGCTGAGCTAACCTTATACACCTGTAACTACTATAAATAAGTTGTACGTTTGTTTTTATTTTTTATTAAATTAATGCATGCGAGATAAAAAATTTACATATATATTAATCTTTTTAAATCATGTAATATTTTTTCTTCATGGTTCTTTCCTGTTTGTTTCTTAAGGAGGAATGGTTAAAGTCAATAACCTAGACAATGTTCTAGAAAACCTGGGAATTGAACTCACAGAAAAGGAACGTGAAGGTCTGACAGAATATTTGCCACCTGATGGTGAGGATTGTAGATGATAATGAACCTTAGAGATGAGTTTACATTTATGAGCTGGTGTCAGAGAACCCACATAACTTAGTGATATTGGGTATACAAAAGAAAATAGAAGCATTTTGCAAAGATAGGGATTAACCACTTCTTTTTTTTTTTTTAACTTTTTTTTTTAAGATTTTATTTATTTATTTGACAGAGAGAGACACAGTGAGAGAGGGAACACAAGCAGGGGGAGTGGGAGAGGGAGAAGCAGGCCTCCCACCGAGCAGGGAGCCTGATGTGGGGCTCGATCCCAGGACCCCGGGATCACGACCCGAGCTGAAGGCAGGTGCTCAACGACTGAGCCACCCAGGCGCCCCGGGATTAACCACTTCCAATTTAAGAACAGAGCATGTATTATTTAAGGTAAACTAAATTTTTATTTAAAAACATACTTGAGGGCACCTGGGTGGCTCAGGCGGTTAAGCATCTGCCTTCAGCTCAGGTCATGATCCCAGGGCCCTGGGATGGAGTCCTTCATTGGGCTCACCGCTCAGCAGGGAGTCTGCTTCTCCCTCTCCCTCTGTCTCTCCACCCTGCTCATGCTCTCTCTATCTCTCTTTCTCTCTCTCTCTCACTCTCTCAAATAAATAAAATCTTTTTAAAAATAAAAAATAAATAAAAAAAACCTTGAAAGCATGTTATGGTTAAACACAATAGAAATTTAATTCTCTTCTCCATGAAAGTCCTAGGTGAGAGTATTCTTGGTTGACGGGCAGTGGCTCATCTCCATTCAGTGATACAGGGATGCAGGTTCCTTGCCTCTTGGGTTCCTTCTTAGATTCTTTTCATTGTTTATATCTAATTAATGGAATGGAAAAGAGAGCGTGAAGGAGAGAGATGTAGGACACATCATATCCATAACCATTCTTTGTTGGGAACTAGTCACATGACTACCTCTATATGCAAGGGGGAGGTAGGGTGGGCGGTGGTAGGAATATAATATCTGGCTGAGCATCCACTTCTGCCTATCATTCTACACTATGAGAGGAAATAAGAGTTTTGGTAGATAGCTGGGTTTTTTTGTTTTGTTTTCATTAACAATTGCCTAATATATATGTGTACCATATGCTTTGAGGCCAAGTAGCACTTTCCTAAAAAGCCTCATGTGGCTAGAACTAAAGAAGATAAAATCAAACGAAATCAAAATAAATCAATAAAGGAGGACTGTTTCCCAGTCATCTGCATTGAACTAACAATATGTATCTCCAGGTAACATCCGAAAACCAGATTCAGCAGATAGTTTTGCTTTGTTCATTCTTACGGAGCCTGGCACCAGCCACAATTTAAACAAGCCTTAAATTCCACAGTGGGGAAACTGGCTCATATCCAGATTATTCTGGTATAATCTTAGGCTTCGTTCCTCCTCTTGCATATATTCAGCTTCTCTGTCACCTCCCCATTCCAGTGTCATGCTCTTTGAGTCCTAATCACTATTTACTATATTGTGATTCATTATCTTCTCATTATATTTAAAAACATCATTCAGAAACTTTAAGACGACTTGAGGAACAGGAATTATGGATTATGCAGTTAGCTCTCCTCTTGAGTCTTTTGATTGTTAAATCTGTGGCACTACAGGCCTTCCTTTGATCTTGCTTTTGGTAATAACAGTGCATAACCAGCACAGTTAGCAGGACAGAGCCCTGAGCCAAAAAGAGTGCCATGCATGGGGTTTAATGCTCTGCTTTTGCCGTCATTGAGAGTCTTCATACTTTATCTTTGAATTTGTGTTTCCTAATTGAAATCTGATGGCAAACTAGAACATGGCAGGGTCTTGGCACCCCAGCTCAGACATCTCTTTCTTAATTTACCTCCTTTATCTTCTTATAACATTGCCACATCCTAATTATGATATTTCTTACAGCTAATGGGAAGATTGGTCTCAAAAAATTAATGGAAGCAGTGGAAACTATTACAGGTTAGTTAGAAGTTTCTATAAATCTAATGTCTTAATTCTTTATACTAATTTATATTTTTATATAGACCCATCATTTCTCCATTTCCTTCTTTATCCTACCCATTTTTTTCTATATTGATGAATATCTGTATTCAGTTGCCTAGAATTACACTTTAGAATATCTGCATTTTAGCACTAATTTTTCAGTGCAAAGTTCTAGTAGCAAATTTCTTTGTTTCTGGAATATTTGCCAAGAATAGTCACTATTCTTGATTTTGACTGCCAAATTTAAATCAGCACAGCAAATGATAGAGCAAACTTTCACAAAGATAAAATTCTCTTATCATTAAGAAATTAGGGGAGGAATAATATCCTTACAAAATAAATGGATCTTATGCCTACAGTGTCCTAATTTACATTATGTAAACTGCATTAGTCTGTCTGTTACTTTACTAAGAATAAGGAAGAAATTCTATTTCTACCCCAATTAAAGACAGTGGTGAACAGTTAGCATATTCTTGTGTGTTTGCTCATTCAGTTATTGTAGTTGAAGGTGAAAAGGCATCAACATGTCTTTGGAGGTATTAGACCCTTCTCTATACTAATCTTTGCCCATTTTGTAATGTTGAAGGAGGAGAGGTTGATGTCAGTGATGTGGGAAATGTCCTGGAAAACATAGGAATAACTGTCACAGATAAGGAATGTGGAGAGCTGGTAAAAAATCTGCCAGTTAATGGTAAGCATTTAAAATGTTACTATGGGCTTGAAAGAAGCATACATTTCTTATTTCGTGAGAACTTCTATAAACTTTCTAATATGATAGGATAGGAAAAATACTTCCAACAATTACTTAGAATAAATGATTTCACTAATGTAACTATCCGTCTATCCATCTATCTATCTATATTTAGATAGATAGATAATATAAAGATATATTCTATATTCTAGATTGTTAATGTGAGTTTTCTGGGGGCTTGTGCCTGGACCATAGACTTACAAGGGAAAGTAGAGAAAGGCATTTACACAAAAGAAAAACAAAGACTAGACTAAAAAAGTACAGCCATTATGATATGGTTCAATTTATTCACTTATGTAAACTTATATGTCTAATAGTCTAAATTTTTAAAGACAGTGAATGATCCAGTTTCACCTTAAAAGGATTCTATCAAATGGTAGAACATCAGTAACTGTTTGAGTTGAGTATATAGGAGGATTCATTGTTTCTATTCTGCCTTTGTGTATGGTTGAAATTATTCATAATGAAAATATTTTAAGAGAAGATTTTTAAGAAGGAATTCTATCCATTACAGATTTTTATTTGGAAATCAGCTGCTGCTTTATTCACAACCTGCCATCAAGGTTAAGAAATACCTTTTGTAGCCACGATTCTATAGACAGGGAATTCTAAAAGGTATACTGGGTACTAACTAGATGAAAGAGCAGAAAAGGAATTTTTTTCAAAAGCATGAAAGCTTTGTAGATTGCCAGCATTAACATGCTTAGGTGCCAACAATTGAGTAGAGTGGATACATTGGTGGCCATTTCATTTTTTAAAATTTGAAAGTAATTTGGAAATTTTCTAGAGAAAAGTACAAATCCTCCTTACATTAAATTATGACTTGCTGCCTTGGTGAATCTCCACGTCACTTACTTGTGTATGATCTGATTTATGTTTCCTGTAGCTAATGGGAAAGTCTACAAGAATAGGTTGCTGGATGGTTTGAAGTCTCTTAATGGTAAGTGAGAAGCATAGTCAAAAGCCAGATGAATCTAAGAGGCACATACATACTACTTCCTAGATACCCAATTGTGACTTTCACTAACCTAAACTACTGATGTCATTCCTACCTTCTGATATAGACCTGTCTGTGAGCAAATTATCACCACATTGAATTTTTAAATAATGTTTTGCAGAAAAGAAACTAATATCTGTGTTGGAACAGAGAAACTAAAGGGTAACTATTTGGGGAATTTGGTTAGGAGTTGAGACAACTAATAAAGTAAATAAAAATGAGTCCACTTATGAGTGAGAAGATAAAATTACTTTTTTCACTTGTTTCATTCAAGTCCATTTAAGTTATTTGAATCCAAAAACTGTACAGCATGCTGATTGACTACAATAAAATGCATTCTGGGCAATGAGATTAAGATTTCAGAATTTTTATCCCCAACAGAGGGAAGTTTCTAAGAAGTCCAAACCAAAATTTTAGAAAAAGATCCCTTGCCTGCAAAAGAAAAATATTTCTGACAGAAAATACCCTTTATATTTCCACCTATACTTCAGTCTTGGGGGCCCCTAGGTTGTTTAAATATATAAACTGTATTTTTCTTTCATTTTGTTGTTTCTTGACCATTTTTCATTTCCAAGGAGGGATTGTTAATGTCAATAAACTTGATTCGGTTTTGAAAACCATGGGATGGAAACTCACAGAAGACGAAATTAAGGATCTCAAATGCAACCTGCCCACTGATGGTGAGCATGTAAAATATTTTTAAGTTCTTTGGGAAAATCCTACCATAGTGATTAGAGTCCCAGCCCATTGTTCTTTATGGATCTTGGCTACACCATTGAGGAAATCCTACCTTTTTTCATTTTTCTTCTTCCCACATCAGAAGAAGGCACTGAAGAATATCCCCTTCTTGTGGCTGAAGCAACTTTCTTAGTCTACTTCCTGTTTGTAAAGAGTAGGAGACCCAGTTATGGTCATGAACAGAGTATCTTTTAGTTTTGGTTTTATACTAAAATAGAGTTGACCTTTTATCTGATTGACTATGACTAGCTTTGTGTGGCAGTACTTACATCTACAATTCTTTTTTTTTTTTTTTAAAGAATTTATTTATTTATTTGACAGAGAGAGACACAGCGAGAGAGGGAACACAAGCAGGGAGAGTGGGAGAGGGAGAAGCAGGCTTCCCGCTGAGCAGGGAGCCTGATGCAGGGCTCGATCCCAGGACCCTGGGATTATGACCTGAGCCAAAGGCAGACGTTTAACGACTGAGCCACCCAGGTGCCCCTACAATTCTTTTTGAGACATGCTTCTCATTAGACTTAATTATAGATCCCTTGAGTTTTATCAGATGTCCTTGGAGAGAAGCACAACCTAAGATGCTTATTCCTGAACTGTTTTTTCAAACTTAGAGGATTTACTAGCCAGCCCATTAATCAAATCAGACATTTTAACAAAAGGAATAATGACCACACTTTTCATTTTATCTTTGCCAGAAGCCTTACTTTTATTTATTTATTTATTTATTTAAATTTTATGGTGTTATGTTAGTCACCATACAATACATCATTAGTTTTTGATGTGGTGATCCACGATCCCTTCTTTTCGTATAACACCCAGTGCTCCATGCAGTACGTGCCCTCCTTAATACCCATCACCGGGCTAACCAACCCCCCTCCCCCTCCCCTCTAAAACCCTGTTTGTTTCTCAGAGTCCATAGTCTCTCATGGTTCATCTCTCCCTCCGATTTCCCCCCCTTTATTTTTCCCTTCCTTCTCCTAATGTCCTTCATGTTATTCCTTATGTTCCACAAATAAGTGAAGCCATATGATAATTGACTTTCTCTGCTTGACTTATTTCACTTAGCATAATCTCCTCCAGTCCCATCCATGTTGATGTAAAAGTTAGGTATTCATCCTTTCTGATGGCTGAGTAATATTCCATTGCATATATGGACCACATCTTCTTTATCCATTCATCTGTTGAAGGGCATCTCAGCTCTTTCCACAGTTTGGCTATTGCAGACATTGCTTCTATGAACATTGGGGTGCATATGGCTCTTCTTTTCACTATATCTGTGTCTTTGGGGTAAATACCCAGGAGTGCAATTGCTGGGTCATAGGGTAGCTCTATTTTTAAATTTTTGAGGAACCTCCACACTGTTTTCCAAAGTGGCGGTACCAACTTGCATTCCCACCAACAGTGTAAGAGGGTTCCCCTTTCTCCACAACCTCTCCAACATTTGTTGTTTCTTTCCCTGTCCGTTTTTGCCATTCTAACTGGCATAAGGTGGTATCTCAATGTGGTTTTGATTTGAATTTCCCTGATGGCTAATGATGATGAACATTTTTTCATGTGTCTGTCAGCTCTATATTTGTCTATATATGTCTTCTTCAGAGAAGTGTCTTTTCATATCTTCTGCCCACTTTTTGACCTGATTATTTGTTTTTTGGGTGTTGAGTTTGAGAAGTTCTTTATAGATCTTGAATACCAGCCCTTTATCTGTAGTGTCATATGCAAATATCTTCTCCCATTCTGTGGGTTGCCTCTTTGTTTTGTTGACTGTTTCCTTTGCTGTAGAGAAGCTTTTTATCTTGATGAAATCCCAAAAGTTCATTTTTGCTTTTGTTTCATTAGCCTTTGGAGATGTATCTTGAAAGAAGTTGCTGTGGCCGATGTCAAAGCCTATGTTCTCCTCTAGGATTTTGATGGATTCCTGTCTCACATTGAGGTCTTTCATCCATTTTGAGTTTATCTTTGTATATGGTGTTAGAGAATGGTCAAGTTTCATTCAGAAGCCTTACTTTTAAATGCCCTTGGTCACTGAAAGAAATCCTTGGGGTTATCTTCAATTTTAGAAGATGAGAAATAGTTCATTTTTGTTTACCATGCAGGACCCAGAATTTCCAGATCTCTCTGTTCTCTTTAGTCCCTGCTTTCCAGGCAGTCCTTTGTTTCTGAGTTCATTTCTTTTTCTAGTAACTTCTCCATGGCCGCCAATATCAACCAGATACTCTAGTAACACTGTATTTCCTCGCCTCTTCTTTTAAGGCACAAGCATCTTCAGCACATTATCTGTCTTCTCAGTTGTTGAAATTGATAGACTTGCCAACACCATTGCAAGGCAGGAGTTCATTCATTCCAGCCTCCAGGAACAACTTCCTCACCCACCACTCCCAGCACCAGAGCCAGTACCACATATTTTCATTGTTTTTGCTATTGCTGTTGTTGTTGCTAAGACAGCACCACACTTGTGTTTCTAGTTTCTGTATCAGTTAGCTATGGCGCAGTAGTAACAGACAACCCCCAAATCTCAGTGGCTTATGGCAACAGATTTTTTTACATGTCACTCAAAATTAGATATTGCCCATAGGTTGGCTGTCCCTCTGCTCTCTGTTAATAGGGCACGGGCTGAAGGAGCAGTCCCTGTCTGGGTGATGTCACCTTTGTGACAGGGAAAAACAGAGATGATGCCACCATGTAGTAGTTCTTAATGTTTCTGCTCAGAAGAGACACAAATATTTCATTAGGCAAAGCACCTTACATGATATCATTCGGAACAGAAGTATCATCCTTCCATAAGGACAGGCTTGATAGAAAGGGGCAGAGAATATTTGAACAAACAATATACATCTCTTAAAACAACATATCTGAAAATACAGGGAGAAGCAATTTATGTCAATTTTAGTTCATTTTAAAACTGATTCCATAATTACAGAACATCTATTCAATGAAATATATAGAGTCATCAAAAGAACCAGTCAGCTCTATATTTGTATACAAATATATGCATAGAATATCTCTGAAACAGAATAAAACATCAATGTTTGTTCCTTAGAGGGAAGAGAACTCTGATAGAGGATATGTTTATGAGAGAGATTTATTTTTCACTATATACGCATTGATAACATTTGAAGTTATGTAATTTATGCTTATGTTACCTATTCAGTGAATGAATTTAAAAACATATTACATGAAAAGTATGACCCATAAGGGGAAAAAATGGTTAAGTTAAACCTCATCAAAATGAAAAGCTTTTGCTCTGTGAAAGCAATGTGGAGATGGTGAAAGACAACCTACAGTCTGGGAGAAAATATTTGCAAATGACACATCTGACAAAGGACTAATAGCTCTGATTCAAAGGATCCTCAAAACTCAGCAACATAAAATATAAACAGTCCAATTAGAAAATGGGGAAATTATGTGAAAATATATTTCACCATGGAGGATCTACCAGTATCAAATAAACACATGGAAAGATGCTTGACATCATTAGGCATCAAGGAAATGCAATTTAAAACTACAATGAGCTATCACTGCATACCTATCCGAATAGCTAAAATTAAAAATGGTGACAACACCAAATGTTGATGAGGATGCTAGAGAATCTGGGTCACTCACCCTTGCTGGTGGAAACAAAGTGATATAATCACTAGAGAAAAAAAGTTCCAGTTTTTAGAAAAAAACTAAGCATAAAACTACCATAGGACCCAGTACTTACACCTCTGGGCATTGATCCCAGAGAAATAAAAACTTATGTTTGCACAAAAATCTGTACATGAACATAAGAGCAAAATCTGGAATCAGCCCAGGTACCCTTCAACAGGTAGATGGCTAAACAAACTGTGGTCCATATGTATCATGGAATACTATTCATCAGTAAAAATAAAGTAACTATTTGATTCATGCAACAACTTGGATGAATTTCCAGATAATTATGCAGAGCCAAAGAAAGCCAAGCTCAGAGGTTACACACTGTACAATTCCATTTACATAAGATTTTGCAATAATAAAATTTTAGAAATGGAGGGCAATTAGTGCTTGCCAGGATTTAGGGATAGGGGATTGGTGGAGACAGAGGGAGGTGGGGTGGTTACCAAAGGGTGATTATTTCTATGTATCACAGTCTGTTTCTTTTATTATTTGCATTTCTTCTTACAGTATATGGAAGAGTTGCAATGAAAAAGTTGTTTGATGGATTAAAAGCTTCTACAGGTCAGTGGGAAGTTATATAAAACCAAGATCGGCAAGCTTTATGTAGTAGTAGAGTTTTAAATAATATTTTCTATCATTCTCTTACTGATTTGTAAATTTTAGCTTTCAACCTTTTCTAATAAAACATTTGCTCCTGATGTCCCATAGTTTGCCTTTTTATATAGTGATTAAAATTCTCTAACTTACTAACAACTTCTGAAATTCCTGGAGTTTTTACACTAACAATATTATTCACTTCAATGTTATTAATAGATTCCCAAATTAGGATATATCAAGCAACAAGATAAAGCTTTTTTATTGTATTTTAAGCAAATAACATTTCAGAAAAAATATTTAAAATACATTAATACTCTCTAGTAAGATATATAAATGATATTGATATCTTCATTAACCAGATAATTATATGATCCTTCTTAATTCTGTATAGATGTCTATATCTTATTATATCTTTGAACTTCCACAAATTAGGAAGAAACATGTTTCACATTATTAAATTATTATTTGAAATAATTATTCTATAAAATTCTTGAACGGTCACATTTCATATTTTCAAAGGAAAAAAGATGAATGCGCAACATGTACCAGATTTTGTGAGCAATTTGGGTGTTGAGCTAACAGATAAAGAACAAAAGAGGCTGCTGAAGAAGCTTCCAGTTGATGGTGAGCCATAAAGATACCTTAGTTGCCTTCTAGAGTACTTAGCTTATAGTACACTGAGAGAAGGTTTTAAAGGTTCTCTTTTAGCTTGAAATATATATATATAACATTTAAAGTGATTAGAAAAGGTAGGTCTTAAGTTCTATGGATACCCTTCTGTTCATTTTAACCCAGGCCATCAGGGGCAAAACAAATGTTTTATGTCATGACCTCCAGCCAATGACAAAACTATAAGAAAGAAAATGAAGGAATGTGATCTGGGGAGAGACTTTTAGAAGAATTACACACAAGAGATCAAAGAAGAAAGAAAATGTAGAGTGCCTGTTAACAGTTTTTGTCAGGTCTTTAAAATTGCATATTCTCACTGAAAGTTCTCTCATAATCTCCTTTTTTTTTTTTTAAAGATTTTATTTATTTGAGAGAGAGAGCATGAGAGAGGGCAGGGTCACAGGGAGAAGCAGACTCCCTGCTGAGCAGGGAGCTCGATGCGGGACTCCATCCTGAGACTCCAGGATCATCTGAGCCGAAGGCAGTCACTTAACCAACTGAGCCACCCAGGAGCCCCTAGTCTCCATTTTTTTTTTTAACTGGAGGATGAAATAAGAACATATTTATTCAGTAAATGAAAACTCTTTTTGAATTTATGGAATATATGTAGCATCTTTCTGACCATCGACATAGTATTTTATCTGACAAGGAGTATGCTTTGCATTGTAGCTTCCGGGAAGATCTATCAAAATATGTTGTTGGATAATCTGAAGTCTTCCAAAGGTGAGTTAATGAGCAATTCGAGAGTTAACAATTTAATTTATCTCATTAGAGTTTTAACCAAGCCACCCTTCTATGAATTGATTTTTATTTTAATTTTTTAAAGATTTTATTTATTTATTTGACAGAGAGAGCACAAGCAGAGGGAGTGGCAGGCAGAGAGATAGGGAGAAGCAGGCTTCCCGCTGAGCAGGGAGCCCGATCTGGGGCTCCATCCCAGGACCCTGGGATCATGACCTGAGCCGAAGACAGACACTTAACAGACTGAGCTACCTAGGCGCCCCTAGGAACTGATTTTTAAATGTAGTTACTTTATTTTAAATGTGGTATTTTATGACAAAATTTTTTAAATCTTTGTAGGTCCCACATTTTCTTATATTTTCCAAAACTTAATCTTGAAAGTATAAGTTGAATTCTAGGTAGATACAGCAAAACATGAAAAGGATGATAGGTAGCTAGTCTGAGGATTAGTTAAGCAAGCAAAGAAAACAAAAATAGTTTCTATTCTCAAAAAGATTGGGCATTGTTTCCTGATAGAATCAAAATCAAAATCATAAATAAATGTTCATTATAGTTCCTCTTAAAAGAATGTGTTTTTAGTGAGATTCAGTAAAAAACAAACAAACAAACAAGCAAAAACCTGTAGGCAAAGGCTGTGCCTAGGATTTGTTTTTGTTTTTGTTTTGCTTTCCCTCTTGCCAGTGCTTAATCCAAAAGAAGAGAAGAGCATAAGGAGAATGAAGGAAAGACTTAGAAGCTCTGCCACTTGATCCCTATTGAGGAGTCTCCTGCCACAAGAAGAAAGCCTCTTGGCATTCCTAGGCCATTTAGAAGAGTGGCAGCAGGATTATTTTTTCATTTAATGTGGATTTAACCATGCTGCCCATTTAATAACATCTTGCTGTGTGTCCTTATCAATTAAATCAAGTGTCACCTTAGAAATGGGATGATGATAGCCAGAAACTTGTATTGTCAGTCTCTCTAGTTCTGTTCACCCATGTAGCTATTCTTCTCCAGTCTCTAGGCCTCCTGTTTTACAACTTTAATGGTAAATTTTCCTTTCCATGCACTCCCAGCCTCAGCTCCTGCTTCAATTTCAGAACATTTTTTAAAAATTTTTTTCTTTTTCTTTTCTTTTCTTTTATTATGTTAATCATCATACATTACATCATTAGTTTTTGATGTAGTGTTACATGATTCATTGTTTGCATATAACACCCAGTGCTCCATGCAGAACATTTTTAACTACAGTCCTTTCTGAGACCATGCCAGGGAGTTTAAAAGATAATTACATATTCTTTTATACTAATACAAATAGTTTTCTGTCTTAACAAATTCACCAAAAAATCTGTGTTCATAAACTATTTTCACAGCATGGATTCACCAGGCTTAAGGGAATTGTCAGGTTCCAGTGGAAATCAGTACAAGTTTTCTGGGAACTGAGGCTTTTTTCAAAATCCTTCTCTATTATAAATTCCATGAGTTGTCTTTATCTTCAGTTGCAAAACCCCTTCATAAATTATTTCTTGTGTATAGTTTCATCATGGTAAAGCTTAAGGTTCTTTAACACAATGTTAAAATAAAGTTTGGTACTCATGTTCCAAAGTAATATTAATAGTACTGAAAAATGGATTCTATTTTCCTTACTCCTAGTTTTTTTTTCATTTTAACATTAAAACATTTTTAATACAATAGTAACAGAGCACTGATATATGTCTAGTATTTTTTCTTTATTTTTCTTTATTTATTTTTAGAGTGAGAGAGCACATGGCAGGTGGGGGAGGCATAGGGAAAATGAGAGAGAGAATCTTGAGCAGGCTCCAAGCCCAGCTCAGAGCCCGACACAGGGCTTGATTTCACAACCCTGAGAACATGACTTGAGCCAAAAAAAGAGACACTTAACCAACTTAGCCACCCAGGCACCCCAATATTACTAGTCTTTAATGTGCTTTCATATTTTAATGGTTTTTGTCACTGTTTCTGTCTCTTTCCTAAGGAGGGAAGGTTGAAAGAAGTAAAGTCAATACTGTTCTAGAAAACATGGGAATCGAGCTCACAGGAAAGGAGCTTCAAAGTCTAACAGATAACCTATCAGTTGATGGTGAGCACTGTAGTCATTACTCTGCCTTTCTGCAGAGCTTTACCTGTGAACGTGTACATCAGAATTTTGGAAATAGGATTATTTGTTGCTAAAAAGAAATGCCAGTATCTTAGAGTTGAACCCATTCATAAAGTAAAAAGAAATACTGCCTCATTTTTTAAAATTTAAAGTTAGCAACATATTTTCTTATAGATAACAGAGGAGTCAGGATGTTTGTCTAAGGAATAGTTAGAATGTAGAATAAAAATTTTATGGATTAAAAGTTTAAAAGTAGTCATATGCTTGCTAACTGGTTACTTCATTTCGTAGCTCCTCCAATATTGAAACATTTGCTTTTTTTATTTTACATGCTCTCCCTGAGTGATTTTATGAATTCCCACTTTTAACCATTTATTTGAACCATCAAATTTTTTTAAGATTTCATTTATATATTTGAGAGAGAGCAAGAGACAGAGCACGAGAGCAGAGGGGGAGGGGCAGAGGGAGAAGCAGACTCCCCGCTGAGCAAGGAGCCCAATGTGTGACTCAGTCCCAGGATCATGACCTGAGCCAAAGGCAGATGCTTAACCGACTGAGCCACCCAGGTGCCCCTGAACTATCAGATTTTATATTCTTTCCAGTCTTTTCCCCAATCTTAGAGCTATTTTATTCCAAATCTTGAAAGACATTTATATTTAGTCACCCGAAACAGCTGTTGAAACATAATTTTCTTAATCTTATATATTCCACATCTTCTTAAACTGATCCTTTTTTCTACCTCATTGACCCTACCAGAAACATATCCACTTAAGTACTTTATGCTGCCTATTTAAACCACTAAATATTTCTTTTTTTTATGTTATGTTAATCACCATACATTACATCATTAGTTTTTGATGTAGTGTTCCATGATTCATTATTTGCGTATAACACCCAGTGCTCCATTCAGTACGTGCCCTCTTTAATACCCATCACCAGGCTAACCCATCCCCCCACCCCTCTCCCCTCTAGAACCCTCAGTTTGTTTCTCAGAGTCCATAGTATCTCATGGTTCATCTCCCCCTGCAGTTTCCCCCCTTCATTTTTCCCTTCCTGCTATCTTCTTCTTTTTTTAACATATAATGTATTATTTGTTTCAGAGGTACAGATCTGAGATTCAACAGTCTTACACAATTCACTGTGCTCACCATAGCACATACCCCCCCAATGTCTATCACCCAGTCACCCCATCCCTCCCACCCCCCACCACTCCAGCAACCCTCAGTTTATTTCCTGAGATTAAGAATTCCTCATATCGGGCGCCTGGGTGGCTCAGTTGGTTAAGCGACTGCCTTCGGCTCAGGTCATGATCCTGGAGTCCCTGGATCGAGTCCCGCATCGGGCTCCCTGCTTGGCAGGGAGCCTGCTTCTCCCTCTGACCCTCCCCCCTCTCATGTGCTCTCTCTCATCCTCTCTCTCTCAAATAAATAAATAAAATCTTTAAAAAAAAAAAAAAGAATTCCTCATATCAGTGAGATCATATGATACATGTCTTTCTTTGATTGACTTATTTCACTCAGCATAATACCCTCCAGTTCCATCCACATCGTTTGCAAATGGCAAGAGTTCATTCCTTTTGATGGCTGCATAATATTCCATTGTTTATGTATACCACATCTCCTTTATCCATTCATCTGTTGATGGACATCTTGGCTCTTTCCACAGTTTGGCTATTGTGGACATTGCTGCTATCGGGGTGCATGTACCCCTTCAGATCATGACATTTGTCTCTTTGGGGTAAATACCCAGTAGTGCAATTGCTGGGTCGTAGGGTAGCTCTATTTCCAACTTTTTGAGGAACCTCCATACTGTTTCCAGAGTGGCTGCACCAGCTTGCATTCCCACCAACAGTGTAGGAGGGTTCCCCTTTCTCTTTATCCCTGCCAACATCTGTCATTTCCTGACTTGTTAACATTAGCCATTCTGACTGGTGTGAGGTGGTATCTCATTGAGGTTTTGATTTGGATTTCCCTGATGCTGAGCAATGTTGAGCACTTTTTCATGTGTCTGTTGGCCATTTGGATGTCTTCTTTGCAGAAATGTCTGTTCATGTCTTCTGCCCATTTCTTGATTGGATCATTTGTTCTTTGGGTGTTGAGTTCGATAAGTTCTTTATAGATTTTGGATACTAGCCCTTTATCTGATATGCCATTTGCAAATATCTTCTCCCATTCTGTCAGTTTTCTTAGTTTTGTTGACTGTTTCTTTTGCTGTGCAAATGCTTCTTATCTTGATGAAGTCCCAATAATTCATTTTTGCCCTTGCTTCCCTTGCCTTTGGCAATGTTTCTAGGAAGAAGTTGCAGTGGCTGAGGTCGAAGAAGTTGTTGCCTGTGTTCTCCTTTAGGATTTTGATGGACTCCTGTCTCACATTGAGGTCTTTCGATCATTTTGAGTCTATTTTTGTGTGTGATGTAAGGAAATGGTCCAGTTTCATTCTTCTGCATGTGGCTGTCCAATTTGCCCAACACCATTTGTTGAAGAGACTTTTTCCCATTGGACATTCTTTTCTGCTTTGTCGAAGATTAGTTGACCATAGAGTTGAGGGTCCATTTCTGGGCTCTCTATTCTGTTCCATTGAATCTATGTGTCTGTTTTTGGAAACACCACTGATTTTTGTGTGTTGATTTTGTATCCTATATCTTTACTGAATTCATTGATTAAATCTAACAGGTTTTTTGTTTTTTTTTTTTTGGTTGAGTCTCCAAGATTTTCTGTATATAAAATAATGTCATCTGCAAATAGAGACGATTTTACTCTTCCTTTCTGGTTCTGATGATTTTATTTCTTTTCCTTACCTAATTGTTCTGGCTAAGAATTACAGTACTATGTTGAATAGAAGTGGTGAGCATGAGCACCCTTGTCTTATTCCTGATTTTAGAGAAAAGTGTTTCAACCTTTCACTATTGAGTATGATGTTAGATGTGGGTTTGTCTGCAGATGGACAGAGCCAATGTCTGGGCTCTTCACTCAGGCACTGCTGCAAGAGGGACAGTCTCTGGAATGCTCTCAATAGGCTTCCTGGTCAGGTGGGACAGAGGGCTACCTCAGCAGTAGGCAGGAGCCATGAATTTGTTTCCTCACCTGGGTGAGGTGGCAGAACAGGCACCAAGGCCAGGATGTCTTATTGTCTGGGGACCCAAATCAGGCAGAGTTCCCTGGCAAGAAGGGCCACCAGCTTGGCTGTGCAGATGGGCAAAGCCATTGTCTAGGATATCTACTCAGGCACTGCTGCTAGGAAAAACACAGTCTGCCTAAGATCCAAGTGCTGGTTGCTATAAGCCATGCTCCTTTTCCCCATCTCAGTCTGATCTCCAATGGTCAAGTCCCACGGATTCCTCCCACAATACCTATGGGACAAGACCCAAGTGGGCCTTCCAGGAAGCAACCCACAACTCTGGAGGAGCTAGATGAATGCCTTGGGCTCTCTTTCTCCCACCAGAGAAACTATAGCTCTGGGAAGCCCTCTCAGTGCAGCACTGTATCAGCCTCAGAGAGGGGGAGTACAGTTAGAGTATAGCCAATTCTCTTACCCTTCTAAAGCAGTCCTTCTCAGTCTCTGTAGTTCAAGGAGGTGCTTCAGCCTCACCACCATATTCTGGGATTTTCATAATGGTGTCTTGTCTGTGGATACTGGCAAGATGATCTTTTTGTGAGGGGGACTGAAGTTGGGAACAACCTATGTCACCATCTTGATGACATCACCCTATCTTTATTTCAATACAAATGTAATTTTGTAATAATAAAAGTAATTATAATTTAAAATTAAAGAATGTCAAAATGCAAATTGGTCCATATCATTCCTGAACTTATAACCCCACTATGATTCTATTAGCCCAGTAGATAAAGGCTAAGCTTCATAAAATAGCTTACAAATCCCTCAATAATCTGAGCCCAACCTGCCTCTCTTATATAAACTTTCCTCTTCCAAATCCATACTTCATTCTTCATGCTGAACTGACTATGGTTCTCCATACATTGCTTATCTATACATTGTATATATTGTGCCTAGGTTTTTGGTGGGTTGTTTTGTTTTGTTTACATTTCTCAGACTCTCTTCCATGTAGAAGGCTCTTTCTATGCATTCCCCTTTCCTTTAAGTTAAAGTCTGATATTTTAACTTGCTCATGCACTACATGCTCCAGGATGCAGTCATTTAACACCTTAGTTTGCATTAGTGGTTCCTATATGAGCTGTGGCACTCACGGCTCATGGCAACACCTGAAGGATTACCAGATAGCTAACCAATACCAATGATCCAGAAACACTGGAAAAAGTACCTTTTTCTTTGTGCAAACTCCAATATCCAAGACATCTTTTTGCAAACATGTAGATCAGCTTAAATCCCTGTAGATCAGCTTAAATCCCTGAAATTCAGGGATTTAATGAAAGTTTGGGTAAAATTATGATATTAATGGAACTTATCTGGAATTTTCCATCAACATAAGTCCTTTATATATGTTTTTGGAGCTCATTACATTGATTACATGTCTCAGTTATCCCTTTTCATAGCTAGTGGAAAAGTTGATCTGAGTAAAGTGATGGATGGAGTGAAAGCTGTTACAGGTGAGTGAGAAGTTAATGTAAACATAGGATCCTAATTTTTATGTAACTATTTTTCTTCATGCCTTAATTGCTATGCTAATTCTATCATTTTTACCTCCTATTTGTTTAATGTTTTCATACCCAGTAGCCCAGAATATTTTCTGATGTGTTTTCCACTAATACACTTCATTCTCCTTATTTTAAGACAGCCAAAATCTATAATAAAAGGTGAAATGATCTTTGAAAAAGACCCTGGTAATCACTTAAAGAAGAGATATGTTCTTCATGTCAGTAGAATTATCAGGATACACTGTTTGCAGTTTACTAATTAACAAAAAAGATATATAATACCCATTTCTTGTCATTGTCATTTTGAGTATGTTAGTCCAAGCCTTCCAAGAAACAGGATTAAATGTGAAGGACATTATTACAGGAAATGCCTGCCTAATAGAAAGTAAGGAGGGAAACTGAAAACACTGGGAGGCTGTCAGACTGCAATGCAAATATGACACCAAGTGAAGGAAAGAGGAAGAAAAGTTTGGGTGGAAGCATCCTAGATTGCCATGTAGTCTGAGGAAGGTCTGGCAATACTGCTTTCAAGAATCCTCTGGTCAGGGGCACCAGGGTGGCTCAGTCAGTTAAACATCTGCCTTCGGCTCAGGTCATGATCTCAGGGTCCTGGGATCCAGCCCTGTGTCAGGCTCCCTGCTCGACGGGGTGTCTGCTTCTCCCCCTCCCTTTGCTCCTCCACCCTGCTCATGCTCTTTCTCCCTCTCCCTCAAATAAATAAATAAAATCTGTAAAAAAAAAAAAAAAAATCCTCTGGTTAAAGTCATCATCCCATATCCCCCAGAAAGAGGGCTCCCTTAGGAGCTGCACCCAGCCCTTGACCACTGCCAATGGTAGGTATGGACTTAGTACAAAAAAACACAGATTAATTTCAAAGCAGAAGATGGGGCCCTTGGTTAATTATGTTCTCCATAGGGGCGCCTGGGTGGCTCAGTCGTTAAGCGTCTGCCTTCGGCTCAGGTCGTGATCCCAGGGTCCTGGGATCGAGCCCCGCATCGGGCTCCCTGCTCCACGGGAAGCCTGCTTCTCCCTCTCCCACTCCCCCTGCTCGTGTTCCCTCTCTCGCTGTGTCTCTCTCTGTCAAATAAATAAAATCTTTAAAAAAAAAGATTATGTTCTCCATAGTTGGAAATCCTGCAGGTACCTTATCATGGTTACCAGTGAGATTACCCTCTCTTATTAGCCTTTAGAAAACCAATTATGGGGTGCCTGGGTGGCTCAGTTGGTTAAGCGACTGCCTTCGGCTCAGGTCATGATCCTGGAGTCCCAGGATCGAGTCCCACATCAGGCTCCCTGTTCAGCAGGGGGTCTGCTTCTCCCTCTGACCCTCCTCCTTCTCAGGCTCTCTGTCTCTCATTCTCTCTCTCTCAAATAAATAAATAAAATCCTTAAAAAAAAAAAAAAGAAAACCAATTATGTTTCTGTGAATGACATTACCTCTGTGTATTTGGTCAGAGCTCAGTGACCCTCACTTTCCCCAGCTCATACTCATTTGTATGGGCATGGGCATCATAATTTAGTTTTATTATTTGCAATCATTTGATTGTACTTAAATTCCATGGATGTCATTATTTTAATTTTTTTATTAAGGAGAAAAGTCTGATCTCAACGGTATGAAAACTGTTCTGGAAAACGTGGGGATAGAGCTCAAAGATAAAGAATGCTTGGACATGATGAAACATCTTTCTAAGGGTAAGTGTTTTAAATACTGATGTAACCAAAGAGAGACTTGAGATTTCTGCATCTGTGAGAATCTCTAAAATTATCTCCATTTCCTCAGTTCCAGGAAATAGAGAGTCCATCTCAAAAAAAAATTTTTTTAGAATGTCCATTTATACCTGAAATGAATCCCTATCTACAGTTTTACTTTTAGATTGGGAAACAGCATTTCCATTATGATGAGTGTTATTATCAAACATGAAAAAAAAAGGCTTAATCTGGGATTTGTGGAAAGAGGAAAAGGATTGTTTAGAAGTGAATAAAGCAGAAATGGGGAGAAGAAAAGAGGTGTGTGTGTTGTAGAATGCTTGATGTGCTAAATTTCACCCAATTTTCTCTCAAATTTTATTATAAGAGAAATTTCTAGTGAAAACTCTCGAAAAGCCGTTTATCCTAAGAGTATCCTAGTGATTTTCCACATTTCTCTGTGACTTAAATTCTCCCTTTTCTGACAAGATCTTTCAAAACAGGTTGCTAAAAGTTGTGAAGTCTCTAAAAGGTATGTGAGCAGCATAATGAAAGTGCAGACAAATATGGCATCTTTGCATTTATACTGTTTTCAAGATATTAGTGGATGCTGCTATCTCTCATATACACTTGATTGTAAATTTATGTTCCCACTGAAGATCAAGCTTCACTTTAGCTGCCAACATTTTACTTCATATCTAGGAAGAAAGTCTTGCACTTTCTCAAGATTTTTCCAAACTTTTCAAGAAAACAAATATCAGATTTCAAGCCTGCATAGCAAAATGTAACAGAAAAGATTAGCACTGACTCAGGGAATTTAATCAGCTGCTGATAAATACTAAACTGGGAGTTCGGTCATCAAATTAAATATTGTTTCTACTTTACTTCTGAACAAATAACAAAATATTGTTCAGAAGTAAAACATGTTTCCCTCCAGAACTAGAATTCACTTAGCATTTATTCAGGTGCAGTTTAAAACTTTGTGTTTTATAGTCTGGTCCCCAAGACAAGTCTCAAGAGAAGTGACCTTAATTCTAATGTCATAGTTGAGTTTCTCTATAGACATAACGTCCTTAGTCTCTTGTTCTAAAATTGATGGGTTTTTTTTTCCACACTTTACAACAAGCATTATTAACCCTACTACTGGGGGGGGGGGTCTGTGAATAGGCTTTGAAGAATACATAACCCCCCCTGAAATTATACGCAATCTTTGTGAACACAGACATTTGGTTCATGAAATTCACAACAGGATATGTCTCTCTGAAAGGTTTAAGAACCTCTTTTTTAGAGTTATATAATTTTCTTCATGGACTGTCTCTTTCCTTAGATGGGAAGGTCAATGTCAACGACTTGAATGCTATACTGGATAATATGGGAATCAAGATCTCAGATAAGGAACTTAAGGTTCTGACTAGAAATCTCCCTGCTGATGGTGAGCAAGTTTTCAGATACCATAGTCACATGCTGGGAGAGCTTAAGTATAAGAACCATAGCCAGTGGTCCAAGGGAAAGGGGCCTTAGGAATGGTAATCTACCCTGATAGTAATCAAGAAGCTATAAATATGGGCAAAGCATGTAACCAGCATAAAAGCATGCAGTTACCAAAACCAACATGAAAACATTGCACTTTGTATGTATGTCTTTTATGTTCTTTACCCATATTATGGTCACTAGAAAACAGTCTTCCACATTTTGAATAGAAAAATGCAGGCAACTTAAATGATGGTACTTCTGAATTTCTTCCCATTGCTAACACATAGGGGTTTGAAATATTATAGAACTTTAAGTAAAATTTATATTATTGAGATGGTATATTTTTATATTTAAGCTTTTCTTTCTAATATTAAGGAAGACAATAAAAATTGAATAAATCAATAGCCTAGAAAAAATATTATTCAGTAAGTATTAATTAAGTAAGCATATATAAGGCATTTAAGATAGTGCCTGGCACAAAGTAAATGAAGATTTATTATCTTTACTCCCATGTTGTCTTTCACAGTATTTTGTGAGTCTTTTTTAATCTCAGTGTGAGTTTGATTTTCTCCTACAGTTGATAGGAGGATTTCACTAAAAAGACCAATGAATGAAGTGAAAGTTAATTTTACAGGTAAATGAGAAGTTAAAGTCAATATAGGGTTTCAGTCCTTTATATTAGTTTTTTTTTCAGTGGCATTTCTAGTATCTTATTAAATTCTGATGTTTCATTATTAAATACATGCTTCTAAGGCCCCTTGGATTGGCATTAGGAAGGCTTCTGCAATAGAATACAAGACTATATGTCAATTTTAAATCCTAAGTTTTCTGTGCTTAAATAAGTAATATGCTTCATGTCACAAATGTTTAACTGAACATCACCTAGAAATGTATATGGTGAACCTTAGAAGTGATGGAGATAATGTATTCACTGAAATCATCAATAATTCTCACCAAAACAATCAAATTTTTTGAAGAATAATTTAGATAAGAATCTGCATGATCTTAATTCACTCATCAGATTTTATTCTGGAAGTTGTCTTTCCCAACTTTAGAAAAACTCTTTTTAATTTATATTAAATACGGTATTTTATAAATACCATAAGTCATGCTCAATGGTTCTACAATTTAGAATATCTTTGCCTAACTCTTCCTCTTGAAACTGGGATATCATTAAGCTGCAGAGAGCATATTTTATAACTTGAGATAATATGAGAGTACCTAAAGCTCATACATGTACCATCCCCTCTCTTCAAAGGTGAGAAGATTGATTCTAGTGATCTGAAAAATTTCCTGGAAAGCCTGGGGATTGAGCTCACAGATAAGGAAAAAGAGAAGCTGCTGAAAACACTGCCAGTTAATGGTGAGCTATCATAGAGATGCCATGGTCTCTTGTGGGTCTGTGTAAATATCTCCAACTTCGTTTCTGTTTATTTTCCTCCAAAAGTGCAAAAGAAAAAATATTAAATTAAGTTCTAAGTTATATAGCAACCTGTCTTAGAATTTATAATGGAAGTTAAGTAGCCCTTCAGACAAGAGTTGACATTAACAACTAAACATGTTGTTACCTGTCAAGCCACTAATTTGTTTATATCATGAGAAGAGAAAAAGAGAGAGAGAGAGAGATTGGAGATCCATGAAGAAAAAAATAAAAATAGGAAGCAGAAATAAAAAGAAAGGGGAGTTCTATATGATTTCACTCATGTGGAATTTAAGAAACAAAATAGATGGACATAGGGGAAGGGAAGGAAAAATAAGATAAAAACAGAGGAAGGCAAACCATAAGACACTCTTAACTATAAGAAACAAACTGAGGGTTGCTGGAGAGGCAGTGTGGGGGTGGGGATCAGGTAACTGGGTGATGGGCATTAAGCATTAAGGAGGGCACATGATGTAATGAGCACTGGGTGTTATATGCAACTGATGAATCACTAAATTCTACCCCTGAAACTAATAACACTGTATGTTAACTACATTGAATTTAAATTTTAAAAATTGAAAGAAAAAAAAGGGAAGCTATACTCATGTTTGAACAAGTAGACTCCCTCAGGAATAGGAAGGTTTGTCACCATGAGAGAAGTTTCTACTTCCAAACTTTGCTATATAAGATGAAATAAGCTAAAAATTAGAGACAAGTCTTCTTAAAATGTTATTTCTGAAATTATTTAATTCATGCCATTTTTGTGATTCCATGTTAGTTTCACCATTAAATGAATTATGGATTTTCTTACAGCTGCTGGAAAGGTATATCAAAATGGGTTGCTGAAGGGTATGAAATCTCTCAAAGGTAAGTAAGAAACCCAGTTAAAAGTCATATTGTCTGACATTCCCCAACTTCACAACATTGAATTATGAATCCTGGCTCCTCACTTTGATATCATTCCATATTTATGATTCTTTCAGTCTATCCACATTTTAACCAATAATGGCATATATTTTATCTTGTAGAAAATTCCATATACTCTTGCATTCTTTTTCAACTTTGTACACCTCTACCCCACAAAAATCAATCAAACCTAGGAAACCACAGCATAAGTGAAGTGAAGGGTTAGCTTTATTCAAGGGATCTGGTCAACTCTATGGATAGCTAATACAGAAACTCAGGCAAAAAAATATATTTATAGCCCCTATTTATTGCATACAAGTATTAGATTTGTTGTCTGCAGTTCCAATTGCTTAAACTGCTTAATTTGTTTCGTTATATAGGCTTGTTACTAAGACAAGCTCTAATTTTAACTATTTTCTTGACCTTGTATACTTGGACAAATCTATTTGGGATTTTGGCTCTGTTGAAAGGTAATATACAAAGACACAAAATACATTTTTCTTTTTTGTTGTTTTATTTTAATAGAATTTATGATTATTATATCCATTAGGGCTTGATTAGGGAAGCAAAATCACTATGAGTGACATGGAATAAGAGATTTATTGTAAGGATTAGATTTTATGCAATTGTGAGAGCTGGTGAAGAAACCTGTGAAAGCTGTTGCCCCCGCTTTTGGTTGTGGGCCTAAAGTCCTGCCATCACTGTAGTCAGCAAGGCCAGCACTCAGGAGGAAAAACTGGTGACAGAGTTGGGGAGAACAAGAAAAAATGAGAACCCGTGAGGACAAACTGGAATCTTCTTTCCCCCACCCTTAAGAATGTAAGTGACCTGAGAAAGAAACTGGCATCTGGCTCCAAGGAGATATACATGTGCTTAGCCAAGACTAGCTTCCACCCCATGCCAACAAGGCAGTCCAGAAGATTAAGAACAATATCATGGGCTGTAATGGCACCTGGAACCCAACACTGACCTTTTTTTTTTTTTTTTTTGTAATTTTTTCTTGAGAGAGTAGAGAACGCGTGTGTGAGCTGGAGCAGGGATGGAGGTGTGGGGGGCGGGGGGAGGAGCAGAGGGAGAGGCAGGGAATGTTAGGCTCGATCTCACAACCCTGAGATCATGACCTGAGCTGAAATCAAGAAGTCAGATGCTTAACCAACTAAGCCACCCAGGGACCCCCCTGAAACTGACCTTTAGAGTGTAGGAACAGCTGCTTCACTTGTGTCTTCCAAATCTCATGCAACATTTTCTGGGGCAGGCCAGAACTCTATAGGGAAGGGAAGTCCTAGAAATATAATTCCAGCTTAGGCAGTTTGACACAGTTAACAGTCTACCATCATCTTCACCTTGACATCCATATATACATCTTTTAGTCTCTCTTATATTTCTAATAAAAACAATAACAATTTCTCATATAACCAAAACTATGCTAACTCTCTTCTCAGAAGATGTTACAAAATCTCAGCTATCCCTCTACCCATCTCTAGGTTATGTTTATTTTCTAATTGACTCACATTCTTCCCTGACATCCTATAACTTAAACAAGGATATATAAGGCTAACTACTATTCACAAATTTTATGTAGATGCAGGGAAATGGGGAGGAGATTAAAAGAAAAGAATTGGTTAAAATATTCACAAATATATCTATATCAAAAAATATAGAGGCGCCTAGGTGGCTCAGTCAGTTAAGCATCTGCCTTCGGCTCGGGTCATGGTCCCGGGGTCCTGAGATCAAGCCCCTCTTTGGGCTCCCCACTCCGCGGGAAGCCTGCTTCTCCCTCTCCCACTCCCTCTGCTTGTGTTCCCTCTCTCTCTGTGTCTCTCTCTGTCAAATAAATAAATAAAATATTTTAAAAATATAGAGAGAAATACTCATAACTATTACAATCTTGTGCAGTCCGTTAGCAACTGGTCATGTGGTTGTATCTAGTATTTATCTTTCTTTTCCCACTGCCATTTCATATTGCTTTTTCTCTAACCAAGTACTTCAGCTGCTCCTACCTCCTTACCTGGTAGGTGATCCTAAATTTTGTTCCTGAAGGATAAGGGCCATTATCAGACCTGTCTGTATTGGATTGGATTGTTTAATTTACAATTAACTTTAATCACAAGGCAAGGAGATATCAACAGGTGTCCTAGATTCTAGACATATTGATCTCTATCCCCAATGTCTAGTAGTGGCAGCCCGGTTTCCCCTGATGGTCAGAATAAATCACTCCAACCAGTAAATTCCTTTCTTTACTTGTAGATTCATAGCAACAGGAAGCCAAAGTGGCTCAGATTCAGTTTTTTTTTTTTCTTCCTCAGTCAGTTGGCCATAGGATACATAATTGACATATAATATGTAGGTTTAAAGTATATAGTGTGATGATTTGGTACTCTTAAATATTGAAAATGATTACCACATTCATCACCTCACCTTAAAAAATGCAAAATTTTTAATATGCTTTTTTTCATATTATATTCATAGTCCTACATTATCTTTCCTAAGGGGGGAAGGTTCGTGCAAATGACCTGGACAACACTCTAAAAAAACTGGGAATTGAGCTCACAGAAGAGGAACTTGCAAAGCTGTCAGAAAACCTACAAATTGATGGTGAGCACTACAGATATCTTCAGGGCATCTCTTATTTTGCTTTATAACTGATATGTTTAAAAATAGATTTATTTGACAGATACATGTTAGAAAGTTTGGAGGAGAGCCCAATTTTGTTTTTTTTTAATTTAAGTTTTTTAAATTTTAATTCCAGTATAGTTAACATACATGTTACATGATTTCAGGTGTACAATATAATAATTCAACAATTCTATACATTACTCAGTGCTCGTCATGATAAGTGTACTCTTCAATCCCCATGACAAATTTCACCCATTCTCCCACCCACCTTCCCTCTGGTAACCACCAGTTTGTTCTCTATAATTAAGAGTCTGTTTCCTGGTTTGTCTCTCTCCCTCCTTTTTTTTTCTTCTTTGTTCATTTGTTTTTTTCTTAAATTCCACAGATGAGTGAAATCATATGGTATTTGTCTTTCTCTGAGTGACTTATTTCACTTAGCATTATACTCTGTAGCTCCATCCATTTGTTGCAAATGGCAAGATTTCATCCTTTTTTATGGCTAAAAAATATTCCAGTGTGTGTGTGTCACATCTTCTTTATCCATTCATTTATCAATGGATACTTGGAGGAGAGCCTAATTTTAAAGTCAGAATAAATCTTGGGTCTTCATTATAATTAATCTAAAATAGCATCACCTTTCCCTGTGTATACCAAGAATTGCAGAGGGTACTGTCAGGATTCTAATAGGTCTAGATAATAAGAAAGCAAAATAATAGGGATATGAATATCTATTTATAGAGAAGTCAACAGGCCCATTCTTCTATCTTTCTGTCTACTGAAATCTTCACTCTAAAATGAATTCAAAGATTCTTATCATAGTATATACTATGATAAGAATACCTTCAATCTCCATCTGCCTGTCTGGATATATCTTCTCTCATTTTCCTTCTGTTCAAGCCATGTTGAACTATTTGTAGTTTCATACACACATAGCATGATGCCCCTCTACTTTTCCCTTTTCTTAACTTCTCCATGTGAATTCTTTTCCATTCTTCCATATTTCAGATCAACCACTCTGATACATTAATGAAGTTCATGCATTATCTCCTGTAGGAAGCAATCTTAGAACATACCAAGCTAGATTAATGGTCCCTTCTTCAGCTTTTTGTTGGTACATGAAGTAAAGTTTCCAGAGTACCTGGCCAACTCCAATAGTATCTTCAAGTATGGCTTATAATGGCATCCAAAACACTAGGAAGAACACACTTTTCCTGACCAAGCTTCTAAGCCAAAAGAGACCTTTGTATTAATGGAGATCATTTTAACTCCCTGGAGATCCAGGCATTTAATAAATGGTCTCAGGTAAAACGAAAATACAGGGAATTTTTCATGGAATTGTTTCCACAAAATATATGTCTTAAATTTGTGTTCTGCGCTTATTTGCATTGTGCCGTTTCTTGTAGCTAATGGGATGGCTGGTCTGAAAGAGGTAATGGATGGAGTAAAAGCTACTACAGGTAAGTGAGAAATTATCAATCCAAGACATTTAGTACTTATAGTAGCTATATTTTATCATTATCCCTCAATTTCCATTTAGTTATGACATTTATTTCCTTATTCATTAAATTACTAGCAATTCATTTTCTGGTATATTTTTTATTTATATGTTTTGTTCTTCTTTCTTTTAGAACAGCCAAATTCTATATTAGTAAAATAATATATAAAGTAAAATTTTAGTAAAGACTACAGAAAACTTACAAAAATGAGACTAAATAAGATCTTACCTTATTTGATACAATTATTTGAATAAGTAATTTATAATATTCTAATTGAATAGATAGATACATGATGTAAATTTCACTGGGTTCAGAGTTGCTTTGCCATGGTCAATATGATCGTGACTTCTTTTATTAGCATTTAGAGATCAAATTCTTTTTCTGTGAATGTCATAGTCGGTATACGTGGAGAGGTCTCATTGGCCTTTGTTCTTTATTCTTTACATATTCAAGCTACGTAGCCATAGATTGATTTTTCCCTATTTGGAATCATTAGGTGATCCTTTAAATTCATATATGTAATGATATCTGCCTTTTTTAAGGAGGGGAGGTTGATGCCAAAGACGTGAAAACTATTCTGAAAAACATGGGAATAGAGTTCACAGATAAGGAATGTTTGAAGCTGATGAAAAATCTGCCTTTCAATGGTAAGCATTTCAAATATTGATGTGACCCTAAAGGGTTTTATTAAGCTTTTTAAAAAAATTTTTGTTTAAATTCCAGTTAATATACAGTGTAATATTAGTTTCAGGTGTAGAATTCAGTGATTCAACACTTCCATACATCACCCTGTGCTCATCACAAATGCCCTCCTTAATCCCCATCACCTATTTCACCCATCCCCCCACCTACCTCCCATCTGGTGACCATCAGTTTGTTCTCTATAATTAAGTCTGTTTCTTGGTTTTGTTCTCTTTTTTTCCCCTATGTTCATCTGTCTTGTTTCCTTTTGAGCTTTTTTTAAAACTCAAACTATCCCCATTTGCTGAGATGCAAAAATAAATAAACAAATAATGCCTATCTCAAAATAATTTAAATGTTCACTTATTCCTGAGGGAAATTTCCATCTATGCAGTTTAACTTTCAGTTTTGGAATAAGCATCCCCATCATGTTGACTCATACCATTGAGGGGAATACATTTCTGAGGCTACCCTTACCTTGTAGATAGCTACAGGCAACTGTGGGAAGTAAACAAGGGAAAGAGGGGTGTCAAACTGGGAGGGGATAAAAGGTGAGAGGTGCTATTACCAAAAACGTTGTGCATATTATAGGGTGCCTTGTGTGCTGAATTTTGGATAGATTTACTGTATTATAGACTCGCTAATTTTCTCTCAAAATTTATTTTAATGGGAGAAATTTCTAGAGTAAATCATGAAAATCTCAGTTTTACTGAAATAATTTTAGTGAAAAGCCACATCATTTCTCTATGACCTTATTTGTGCCCTTTCTTATAGATGATAACAAGGTCTTTAAGAACAGATTGCTAGAAGGTGTGAAGTCTCTTAAAGGTGAGTGAGAAACATAATGAGAATGCAAATGAATATGAGATCTTCATTTTATACTGTTTCTTAAATATGAATTTGCTGCCGTCTGTCATATATACATCTTGCAAATGTATACTTTTTTAGAACTCAATCTTTATCTTAGAAGATAATCTCATCTTCTATCTCGGAAGTAAAGCACCACACTTTCTTGTCATTTTCCAAATTTTCAGGAGGAAAAATATCAAATTTCAAGTTTGCATAGCAAAAAAAATATAGAAATGATTAGCAGTGATTCAGGGAATTTAATAAATAGCAGAAAAAACTAAGTTTTTTGTTGTTTAGAACTAAAGAATGTTTACCTCCAGTACCAGAATTCCCTGGGCATTTATTAAACACAATTTATTTTTTTTCCACTAGAATTTTTTTTATTCACTAAGAAAATTGAGGCTAGCAAGAGTGATAGTCCTCAGCTTTCTATCCCCAATCCCTACCTTTACAGGTATCTTTAAGCACACCCATCCTAGTATCAAAGGATGAGTGAGGAGTACCTCTTCCTCTTCAAGGCTTACAAAGATACCCTCGACTCCACCCTCTCCCACATCCATAAGACCTCACCCCTTTCGCCATTTTCAACCTCTTCCTCTACAGACAAGCCTTTCTTTCAGCCCATGCACATGTTCAACATATTCCATCCTATAAAATAAGCAAACTAAAACTCTTCACACCCCTCGTTGGCCACAACTCCATCTCTTTTTTCCCTTTCTCATTCACTTCTTGAGAGACTTGTCCATACTCTGAGCCTCTATTTCTGTACCTTGCTCTCTTTCTCAAACTAATTTCAGAATTGAATGCCCTTTAAAACTTTGTGTTTGTGTAGGCTCGTCCCCAAGACAAGTCTCAAGGGAAGTAGCCTTAATTCTAACTTTGTATTTGAGGACTTAAAATATTTGGCCTCTGTGCTAACATTGTTGAACATTATTTAATTTACTTTTTTCACTTTAGAGCAAATATTCTTCAGGTAAATTTTAGACTTTGAGGGAATCCTTGAATAGGCCTTAGTGAGTATATAACCTGTCTGAAACAGTGTGCAAATTTTATGAGTAATGATCTACTGCTTAACAATTCACAATCAGATATGTGTATCAAAAGAGTATAAGAACTTCTCTTTTGGAGTCATTTAATATTCTTTATGGACTGTTATTTTTCTTAGGTGGGAAGGTCAATATCGACAACCTGGACACCATTCTGAACAACCTGGGGATCAAGCTTGCAGATACGGAACTTAAAGATCTGGCTGAAAACATGCATGTTGGTGGTAAGCATGTTATCAGATACACTGGTTAATCCTGGAGAAAGTTTAATTAAAAGAACCTTTGAGGGAAGAAATGTCCTTTTCCATAAGGGGAAGGGAAGGCCCAAGAGCCATGTGGTGACACACCATAACCAGGACTAAAACACAAAGAATGTCATTTGAGTTGATGAGTATCCAGTTAACAAAGTCAAAATTAAAACAGTTTTTTATATGTGTGATATGTGTGACTTTTATGCTGTCTACAAGTATCATGGTTAATAGTCTTTCCAGTTTTGAATATAAGAATGCAGATTCTTTCAACACACTCAGTTCTGAATAACTTCCTCTTACTAACACAAATAAATTTGAGATGTTATAGGCCAAGTTGCATCATTGCAATTGTATGGTTTTCATGTTTAGAATTTTCTTCTTATTCATGCTTGTCTTAAAATAAAAACTGGAGAGGGGCGCCTGGTGGCTCAGTCATTAAGCGCCTGCCTTCTGCTCAGGTCATGGTCCCAGGGTCCTGGGATTGAGCCCCACATCAGGCTCCCTGCTCGGCGGGAAGCCTGCTTCTCCCTCTCCCACTCCCCCTGCTTGTGTTCCCTCTCTCGTTGTGTCTCTCTCTGTCAAATAAATAAATAAAATCTTTAAAAAAATATATTGGTTAAATAAATATATAAAACAATTAGGATGGGGCCTGACACATAGAAGTGCAACTATTGTAGTTGTTCCTCTGTTTTTCCACAAACTTTGGTATTGTATCTCATAAAATAATATATGCGCTCTATATGATATATGAGATCTATACTATATGATATCTATAATATACTGTGATTTTGATCTTCTCCTATAGTTGATGAGAAAATTCCTCTAGAAACACTGATGGAAAACATCACAGATTTTACAGGTGAGTGAAAAGTTACCATAAAATTAGGATTCCAATTATCTACATTAAATTTTGTTTTTTCCTGGTATTTTCTACTACTCCATCATTGACCTATAAATTCTGGTATTTCTCCATATTTATTAATGAACTATTTGTCTCTAGTGTTTCATGTATTGATATAATCTGTTTTTGTAATGAGATTACCATACTATTTCTTGCTTTCAAATTCTGCAATCTCTGTTGTTTATGTCAATAATATAATTCACTTCACCAGTGATTAATAACCACAATATAGAATGACACAGCAAATAGAAAGTGGAGCCTAAAATTGATTGAGGTAATGTCTTCATTGTATTTATCATATAATTCTTATTTTTTAATTAAAATACTTTTTTCAAAGAAAAATTCATGTAAGCATCTATTTTTTAAATTAATCAAATTTTATTCTGAAAGTAGTCTGCCCCTGATTTTAGAAGAAACTCTCATGTTCATATTAAGGAAATAAATTTGACCTAACACCTACATTGATTTTGTAGTTGAAAATGTTTCATTTTTACTTTATTCTTCAATCTGAAAATGAGGAGATAATATTAATTATCCTAAAGTAATTTTTTCATTAGAAATAATTATTGCTATGTGAAATAAAGATGTATACCAAATTTCCTATTTTCAAAGGTGAGAAGATTGAGTCAAGTGATCTAAAAAATGTTCTGAGAAATCTCGGAATTGAGGTTACAGATAAGGAACTAGAGAAGATGCTGAAAATACTGCCAATTGATGGTGAGTCATACAAGTGTCTGTGAGAGCTTCCAGGGAACTTGGATTTTTGTGGATCTGCATGAAAATTTTAATTTCTTCTGAAACATGATAGAACTTTTTTTAAAGATTTTATTTATTTATTTGACAGAGAGAGACACAGTGAGAGAGGAAACACAAGCAGGGGGAGTGGGAGAGGGAGAAGCAGGCTTCCCGCTGAGCAGGGAGCCCGATGTGGGGCTCGATCCCAGGACCCTGGGATCATGACCTGACTCTAAGGCAGGTGCTTAATGACTAAGCCACCCAGGTGCCCCTAGAACATTTTTTAAAAACTAACATGTAAGCTACATATAAAAGCTGTAAGTGTCATTTAGAGTTTATTTTGGAAGCCAAGCAATTCCTCAGATGTGAGTTGCCATCAGAGCTAACAAATGTCTACTGTTGCCCTTCAGGGCTTATACCATAAGAAGGAAAAAGAAAGAGATAAGAGAGCAGTGGAAGAAATTAAAGATAAAAGTCAGAATTAAAAAGAAAGGGAAGATATATTTATACAGTATAGTAAGCCCACTCAAGGGGACAAATTTATCATATTGAAAAAGGCTTCTCTTCCTTAATTTCATTGTTATATAAAGATGAAAATTTGGGGTAAAACATTTTTAACAGAATTCCTGAGATATCATCCACATGTCATACAATTAACCCAATAAAGTATACAACTCGGTGAATTCTAATGTATTCACAAAATTGTGCATTCATCGCCACAATCAATTTTAGAACATTTTTATTATCCCAGAAAGATACCCCATACCCATTGACCATCACCTCCCAATTTCTCCATTCCCCCTCAGCCCTGAGCAACCACTGATCTATTTTCTATCTCCAGTTTTCCTATTCTGAATGTTGCACATAAATAGAATCATACAATATGTGGTCCTTTGTGACTAGTTTCACTTAGCACAATGTTTTCAAGGCCCATCCCTATCCTGTTATGTATTAGTACAGTTGACCCTTGAACAACACAGGGGTTAGGAGCACTGACTCCCTGTGCAGATGAAAATCCGTGTATAACTTTTGACTCTCCAAAAACTTAACTAATTGCCTACTGTTGACCAGAAGCCTGATAACATAAACAGTCCATTAATATATATTTTGTATGCTATATGTATTATATACTCTTACAATAGGTAAGCTAGAAAAAAGAAAGTATTGTTAAGAAAATCATAAGAAGGGGCGCCTGGGTGGCCCAGTCGTTAATCATCTACCTTTGGCTCAGCTCATGATCCTAGGGTCCTGGAATCAAGCCCCACATTGGGCTCCCTGCTCAGCGGGAAGCCTGCTTCTCCCTCTCCCCCTGCTTGTGTTCCTGCTCTCAATGTCTCTCTGTCAAATAAATAAAATCTTTAAAAAAAAAAAAAAAAGAAAAAAAATCGTAAGGAAGACGGGTGCCTGGGTGGTTCAGTCGGTTAAGCCTCCGACTCTTGATAACAGCTCAGGTCACAATCTCACAGTCCTGGGATGGAGCCTGGTATGCGGCTCCAGGCTCAGCACAGAGTCGGCTTGAGATTCTCTCCCTCTACCTCTGCCCTTTTCCCCTCCCCCTGCTTGCACTCTCTTTCTCTCTCTAAATTGTAAGGAAGAGAAAATACATTTACAGCACTGTAAACACTCCATATTTAAGTGGACCTGCACAGTTCAAACTCCTGTTTTTCAAAGGTCAACCGACACTTTAGCTATTATGAATAATACTCCTCTGAACATTCAAGTTTTTATGTGGATACATATTTTCTTTTGTCTTGGGTATATACCTTAAGAGTGAAATTGTTGGGTCATATGGTAACTCTATGTTAAACCACGCTGTTTTCCAGACAGGCTGCCCTACTTTACATTTCCACCAGCAGTGTACCAGAGTTCCAGTTTCTCCACATCCTAGTCAACACTTGTTATTATCTGTCCTTTGATTATTTTGTAGTGAGTGTGAGGTGGTATCTTACTCTGGTTTTGATTTCCCTGATGGCTGATGATGTTAAGCATCTTTTCATGTGTATATTGGCTAAATGTATATCTCCTTTGGAGAAAAATCTTTTCATATCCTTGTCCATTTTTAAATTTAGTTATCTTTTTATTATTGAATCAAAGTCTGTATATATTCTATATACAAGTCCCTTATATTTTCTAAATACAAGTTCCTTTTCAGATATATGATTGCAAGAGTTTTCTCCTGTTCTGTGAATTATCTTTTTACTTTCTTGATAGTGTTCCTTGATGCACAAAAGTTTTTAATTTTGTTGTCCAGATTATAATTTTTTTCTTTTGTTGCTTGTGCTTTGGGTGTCATATATAAAAAACTATTGCCTAATCTAAGGTTAAGAAAATTTACAGCTGTTTTCTTTTAACATTTTTATAGTTTTAGCCCTTATAGTTAGGTCTTTGATCCATCTTGAGTTAATTTTTATTTATTTATTTATTTATTTATTTATTTATTTATTTATTTATTTATTTATTTATTTTTACAGAGAGAGAGTGTGAGCAGGGGCAGAGGGGGAGGGAGAGAGAGAATCCCAAGCAAGCTCCACACCCAGCACAGAGCCTTATGCGAGGCTTGATCTCATGACCCTGAGATCACAATCCAAACCAAAATCAAGAGCTTAACTTACTGAGCCACCCAGGTGCCCCATATTGAGTTAATTTTTGTATATGGTGTGAGATAGGGATCCAAAAGAATATTCTCTTTGCACATGAATATCCAGTTGTCCCAGCACCATTTGTTGAAGAGACTATTCTTTCTTCATTAAATGGTGCTGGTACCCTTGTCAAAAATCAATTGACCATAAATTGGAAGGCTTATTTCTGGATTCTAAATTCCATTCCATTGATCTATATATCTACTTTTATGCCAGTACCCCACTGTCTTGATTACTGTAGTTTTGTAGTTTTTAAAATGAAAAGTGTATGGGGTGCCTAGATGGCTCATTCGGTTAAGTGTCCAAGTATTGGTTTCAGCTCAGGTCATGATCTCATGGGTTGTGGGATTGAGCCCAATATGGGGCTCTGTGCTCAGCAGGGAGCCTGCCTGAGAATCTCTCCCTCTGCCCCTGCCTGACCCCCATGCACACTTGCAAGTGAGCATGCTCTCTCTCTCAAATAAATAAATAAATAAATAAATATTTAAAAAGAAAAGTGTGAGTCCCCCACTTCTGTTTCCTTTTCAAGATTATTTTTGCTATTTGGGGCCCCAGCTTTACCATATGAATATTAGGATCAGCTCATCAATTTCTGCAAACAAACCAGCTAGAAATTTCTATAAGATTGCTTTGAATCCATGGATCAATTTGGGGAGTATTGCCATATTCACAATATTAAGTCTTCCAATCCACAAACATAGGATGTCTTTTCATTTACTTAGGTCTTCTTTAATTTCTTTCTACAATGTTTTATAGTTTCCAGAGTATAAATTTTGTACTCCTTTTGTTAAATTTATTCTTAAGTATTTTATTCTTTCTGACGCTCTTGTAAATGGAATTGCTTTCTTAGTTTCCTTTTGGGTTTGCTCATTACAACAGTATAGAAATACAGTTGTGGGCTCCTGGGTGGCTCAGTTGGTTAAGCGTCTGCCTTTGGCTCAGGTCATGATCTCAAGGTCCTGGGATCGAGTCCCACATCAGACTCCCGGCTCAGCAGGGAGCCTGCTTCTCCCTCTGACTCTCTCCCCTCTCATGCTGTTCTCTCTCTCTCTCTCTCTCTCTCTCTCTCTCTGTGTTAAATAAATAAATAAATAAAATCTTTAAAAAAAAAACACAGTTGATTTTATATATTGATAAAAGACTAGATTTTCTATTTCCAAAATTATTCTATTCATGCTGTTTTTGTGAATCTCATATTCATTTTGCCATTACATGAATTATGACTTTTCTTTCAGCTAATGGAAAGTTATATCGTAATAGATTACTGAAGGCTATGAAGTCTCTCAATGGTAAGTAAGAAACAAAATTATAAGGCATATTATCTAGGTTCTCCAGATATATCATCCAAGCATGAATCTTGGTCCTATATAAGTTTTTACTTAGGATTCTTTCAGCATAACTACATTCCATCTGCTGTTAATATACACTTTTTCTTGGCAGGAAGTCCAGTATCTTCTTAGATTTTTTTCGACTCTTTCTCAAAAAGAAAAATCAATTCTACTGAATACAAACAAAAAACCCTGGTCATTATTGAAGAGAATGGTCAGCTACAATGATAACTAATATGTTGAGTCAGTAAACAAAAATAACCCTACTTTTTGTGCCAAGTAATTAAGTTAGTGGTCTGCAGTTCTATTTGTTCAAGCCCCTTAACCCTGTTTTATTATGTAAGCTTGTCAACAAGAATAGACTAAAGGAAATATAATTCTAATTCTGACTCTCTTGACTTTCTCCTTGGGTCTTCAAGTGGACCAGTCTATTTGGGGTTTTAGTCTTGTTGAAATGTAACGATAACAAAGGCATGAAATATATTTTATGTTTTGTCTCTTTTGTTTTAATAATATGTGGTCATTAAAGTTAACAGTTTTACTAAAAAATTTTTTTAATTTTGCTATATATAACTTTTTTTTTCCAATATTGCTTCACTGTCTCTTTCCTAAGATGGGAAGATGAAAAAGAATAAACTCCATACTAATTTGGAAAATATGGGAATGAGACTCACAGAAGAGGAATTTGCTGAATTGTCAGGACAACTACAAGTTGATGGTGAGCACTAGAGATGGCACTAGGGCATCTGTTGATCTTCTGTTTAAAGGTGTATCAATTAAAACTGGGATGTAAGTCAAATTCAGCTGGACTTTATTATACTAAATAAATAATTTGTATCTTTTTCTAAGCTCATGTCATTGATTATATGTCTCTTTTGGGCTTATGTAGCGAATGGGAATGTTGATCTGCCTAACTTGATGGAAGCAGTGAAAGCTATTACAGGTGAGTACAAAGTCACTATAAACCTAGAATTCTTATTGGAACAGAACTATATTTTACTATTAACCTTAATTGCCATGTTGATTCTGTTACTGTACTCCTTATTGTAAATACTTGTCTAGAGTTGGACTTTGTGGTATCCATGTTTTGGTAATAAAATTTTAGTCTCATGTCTTGGTAGAAAGACCCATTTTCTCTAGAAAATTTTAAACTTAAAAATAACATTTTTAGAGTCACTAAATTTTCCTCACAGGCCTTTCTCTTTCTGATTAAGGGAAGGTTGACATCAAGAACCTGGAAACCGTTCTAGGCAACATGGGAATCAAGCTCACTGACAAGGAACTTGAAGATCTGAAACAAAACCTGCCTGTCAGTGGTGAGCATATGAGATATCATTAGATTTTGAGCTTTAGGTTTTATGTACCTTTAGCAATGAGAGGAATAGAACAAGGGAACTTTTTGTGCAGAAGATGTCAAGATTGGAGATGAGACAACTTCTTTGTCAGTTGGGAATGTAGTATTTGGACACAGGTGGCACGGTCACTAGAAGAGTCTCCTCAATTCTGAGAACAAGAAAGCCACTTTGAATTCCATCTTTTCATCATCAAATTCATGAGTTGATATTTTATGAAATGGAAAGTCAAATTTACATTTTTGAAATAAGTATATTTTTAATATTTAAAATTTTTTCTTCTACTCCAGGCTCATAACATATTCTGAGTAAATATTTATTGAATGACTGTTTAAAATGCTTAATAAGATGCCCAGGACACTTAAGTGCTGTTACAATCTGAAGGGGAGGAGAGTGTTCTTTTGCTATTTTACATCATTTTATGAGCTTCAAGTTATGGTTTTTTGTTACAGTTGATAATAAAGTTGCTCTGAAAACTTTGAAGGATGAAGTGAAAGCTTTTACAGGTAAGATATAAATGATTTGGAATAAATCACAATTTACACTAAAAATTTTAATAGCGTGTTCTCAAAATTGTATTAGTGGCTTATAAATTCACATATTTTCAGTATTCATTTTGATAAATATTTGCATCTACTGATCAACAGCTTAATCTAACATTATCTGGGTTTATAAGTAAAACAAAAGGATAATTTCTTCATAATAAGTCTTATATTCTTTGATGCTTTTTTTCAAAGAAAGTATCTGGCTGGTACTTATAGACCCAAAAACTAGATGGACATAGTAAAAGCAGGGCAGAGCATTAAAAATAGTAAGTCCATTGCCAATAGCTAATCACATAACTTTAAGAAAATAAAGTAAAATATGTCATAGTTTGTTAATTGTGTATTGTATTAACCATATCTTGACTTTATTTCTGGATAATTATATGACCAGATTTGCTTCTGCACAATGTGATATTATTCTCAGTATTAGGAATACATCTTATTTACTATTTTTTTAAAGATTTTATTTATTTGAGAGAGAGAGAGAAAGAGCACAAACGGGGGAGGGGCAGAAGGAGAGAGAGAAGCAGACTCCCTGCTGAGCCCCTTGGGGCTCAATCCCAAGACCCTGGGATCATGACCTGAGCTGAAGACAGACGCTTAATTGACTGACCCACCCAGGTGTCCCTTCCTGTTTACTATTAAGGGACAAATTCTATTTTTTATTTACCATTTGACTCTTTTTATCAGGAAATCTTTCACTCTTCCTTTTCTTTTCATCCTGGTATTAGAGAAAAGACTAGAGCAGCAAAAGTATATATTTAGATGATCTTAAATAATTAGATTATCCTATCATATTTTAACCTATTACTATTCCATCTTCTCAAAGGAGAAAAGATTGATTCCAGTGACCTACAAAATATTCTGAAAGACATGGGGATTGAGCTTACAGATATGGAGCACAAGCATCTACTGAAAACACTGCCCATTGATGGTAAATAAATGCCAACATGCCTTCCAGGGAACTTGATTTTATGGGTCAATGTGAGCCATTCTCAATCTTTTAATAGTACAGTTTTGTCTTAAAAATGCCATAAATTAATAGAAAGTCACTTCTGACTTGAAAAGAAATTCTATCATTTCCTCTTCGAACACATTGGAGAGTCATCACTACATTGCCATACAGTTGTCCAAGTGACTAATACTACCCCCTCAGATCAGCAATAGTTTTGCAATAAGAGCAATGAAAAGTAATGAAGGAGAAATAGGACATCAGTGGAATAAAAAAAAGAAATATTTAATGTATCTTTTAGAATTGCACCATGAGAGAGTTTAATAAATGTTTCCTATTCCAAAGAATGGGTAAGTTTGTCACTGTGCAAAACACTTATATTTTTAAATGTCCATATTGTATAACTATAAAATAGATTAATTTTTAAAGCAAATCATTGAAATGTATCTTTCTACAATCATAGAATTTATGTTTTGGTGACTCTTCATATCAATTTTGTAGAGGTCTGAACTGTACCTTTTCTTACAGCTCATGAAAAGGTGTTTCAAAACAGGTTGCTGAAGGATGTGAGATATAATAAAAGTGAGTAAGAAGCACAAAGAGGAAGCATATGAAATATCCTTAAGCATTCAATTTTTAAAATTTTATTTAAATTCAAGTTAGTTAACATATAGTATAGTATTGGTTTCAGGAATAGAATTTAGTGATTCATCACTTACATATAACACCCAGTGCTCATCCCAACAAGTGCCCTCCTTAATACCCATCACCCGTCAAGCCCATTCCCCCACCCACCTCCCTCCAGCAGCCCTCAGTTTGTTCTCTATAGTTAAGAGTCTCTTATGGTTTGCCTCCTCGTCTGTTTTTATCTTATTTTATTTTTCCTACCCTTCCCCTATGCTCATCTGTTTTCTTTCTTCATTTCACACATGAGTAAAATCATGTGGTACTTGTCTTTCTATGACTGACTTATTTCACTTAGCATAATACACTCTAGTTCCATCCACATCGTTGCAAATGGCAAGATTTCCTTCTTTTTGATGCTGAGTAATATTCCAGTGTGTGTGTGTGTGTGTGTGTGTGTGTGTGTACCACATCTTTATCCATTCATCAGTTGAAGGACATTTGGGGTCTCTCCATAGTTAACATTAAATTTATATCAATAGATTATAACACGTTATTTTGCTGCTTGTATCACATCTGTGTTTTTCCTGGTAATAACCCCTACTTTATCTTAGATGAAATTCTCTGCTGGATTGGGTTTTTCAAGCTTTCTCTGAAGAAACATGAGCAGAAATAAAGATGGAAGGAAAGAAAGGAGGGAAGAAAGGAAGCAAGGAAGGAAGGGGGGAGGAAGGAGGAAGGTGGGAAGGAGAGAGGAAGGTTTAGCATTTATTCCAAAATGTGAGCAGGAGCAGAGAAAACAATCTGAGAGTAAGAGTTTAGGAAACAAATACAATCTCTCTTTCTTTGTGGAGATTATTGATTAGTGCTCTTCAGCTACAATTACATAGCCCTGTCCCACCTAACTTTTTCCTGGGCCCATATGTTTAACATTTGAGGAAGCATGTTCTAATTCTAACTTTTAACTCTTCAAATTGTAACTCTGCTTGTAAAGAGCTGTGCAAATCTATTGTAGTTTTGTTCTTTGCTTGAAAATTTTAGCAGTTATACTAGATTGTGAAGTCATTCTTTTTTAGCAGTGTATATTCATGTAACAGTAACAACTGTCTTAAAGAGATATTTGCACCCCCATGTTCATTGCAGCATTATTTACAGTACCCAAGACACAGAAACAATGTGTCTATGGACAGATGAATGAAAAAAAAAAGATAGGAGATATATACACACACACATACACACAAACACACACATACATACATATGTAATAGTATATTATTATATAATATACTATATAACATACTGTAAAAAAGAAGGAAATCCTGCCATTTACAACAACATGGATGAATCTTGAGGACATTATGCTAAGTGAAATAAGTCAGACAGAAAAAAACAATATGACATGATACTATATGATATCACTTATATGTGGAATCTAAAAAAAAACAAACTCATAGAAACAGAACTGATGGGTAGTTGCCAGAGGCAGGAGGATGGGGAAGGGAACGGTGAATGTGATCAAAGGATACAAACTTCCAGCTGTAAGAGGAGTAAGTTCTGGGGAGATATAATGTACAACATGGTGACTATAGTTGACAATACTGATGAGGGATGTGTTAACTAACCTTATTGTGGTAATCATTTTGCAGTATACATATATTAAATCATTACATTGTACACCTTAAACTTATACAATGTTATATGCAATTATATCTCAATAAAGCTGGGGAAAAACAATAATGCCTGTTAGTTGAAGATAATATGTTTTTATGAATTTTTCTAAATATTTTATAATCATTCCATTTTTTTCCTTTTCCTTTCATGTTTTCAAGGAGGGAAGGTTGATGTAAATAACCTGGATCCTGTTTTAGAAGCCATGGAGGTCAAGCTTACAGAACAGGAACTCAGTCTGATAAAGGATCTTCTGAGTGGTGAGCACTGTGGAAAACACTGTGATTTTAAACAGATGTTGAGCTTGCAGGGTTAACTGCGACTGTTTCAAGGGCTTAAATTATTTGTTGCCCGAAGCCATTTGAATAGTTTTCAGAAGAACTCAAGGGATAAAAAGGCTGTTCATTTTTTGTTGCTTTAAAACCTGTAATCTATTTCTTTATGCATCTTAGGGTAGGGACAGGTGCTAGTGAGAAGGGGAGGGATTATTGTTGTCTGGTTTTACAAAAATAGGATCTGCGATGTGTTTTTTCTCACTGATCCATGTATCACTGACCTCAACCCAGGGCATAAACCAATCCATTCACTCATTCCTCATTTCTCTGTTCATGGATTTTGAAAAGAAAGATGGCTTTCTTTTGTGGTCACTATAACAAGTTAACAGAATAATATGTATAGTATTATTAATTTTTAAAAGTATATATAGTATTCCTTTACAAACATAAGAACAGCCTGGAAGGATATACACAAACTGTTAGTAATGGTGAGGAGTAGTCATGAAGCTGAGGAGAGGTAAAAGAAGGGACATTTACCTTTTCTTCATATGCTTGTATGTTTTTTAATTTGTTACACAAAATATGTTTTAAATTCTAACTTTTTAAACTCAATTTATTTTGTTTTTAAGATGAATGCAAATGCTGTGGTAAAATGATAGGATTTGGGCTGTGTTCTCATCCACCAGTTAAGTTTAGGGAATCCCTAAAATTGACCACTCACGGATTAACTCCTCTCTAACATCTCTCACGGCTTAACACAGCAATGCCCTTGGCATCAACACGTGGTAACACAAGATAATACTCCTTACGAATGTTGAGAAACATGCATCATTTCAAGAAGTAAGCGAGGTTGAAGGACTTCCCAAATCACACAACGCCACTAACAAATGTGGACCTGGCAGAGTTAGAACATTTGATAATTGAAGAAAAAAAAATCTATATGAATAATAATGAGATAGGACATTCAAGATACAACAATATGGATTTCAAAAGATGTAAAGGAACCCTTGGGAAAAAGTCAATCATTTTTTTTTTTTAAAGATTTTATTTATTTGAGAAAGAGAGAATGAGAGAGAGCACATGAGATGGGGGAGGGTCAGAGGGAGAAGCAGGCTCCCCGCCGAGCAGGGAGCCCGATGCAGGACTTGATCCAGGGACTCCAGGATCATGACCTGAGCCGAAGGCAGCCGCTTAACCAACTGAGCCACCCAGGCGCCCAAAAGTCAATCATTTTTGTAAAGGTTATTGTTATACATCTTGTTTCAAAGTTCAGAAGGATGCTGCAGTGTACAATAACCTCACTTTCTCGGAAAAAAACATTTCAACACACTTGAAAAGCCAATGTTGCTTCATTGCTTCTCCTAAGAATTATTCTATATCCTATAGAATAACTATTGGAATAGTTATAATTACAACCTGAATTTTCTTAAATATTAGATAAGATAAACTTATTTTTATAATTTTCATTTTTATTATTTAATACAATCTTTTAAGATCACTTTCATTCATTATTTACTATTGAATCTTGGTCCTCATTGTAAATGAATTTATTTTCCTTGGTCATCTTCTGGAACAATAAATCTTAGATAAAAAGGACTTCTTGTCCTGTGTATCTTTTTTCTGAGTCCATGTTATTGTTTTTCTCTGATTAAACTTTGTCTTACAGGCTATAAGAAAGTTGATCTGAAAAACCTGATGGATAAGGTAGAAGCTGTTACAGGTGAGGAAGAAGTTACCAAATACAGATGATTCTGATTCTTTATACCTATTTTATATTCTTTCCTGTTATTCCCTTTAAATTATGCTATTTTTAATAAACTGATTGTAGTTTGATTTCCTAAAGTTTAACTTCGGTTTGTCAATGTTTCAATAATAAAACATAGTGCCACATTTTGTTAGGCCCTATGATCTCATTTTTTCCAGATTAAGATATTTACTAAAAAGATGTTAGTGTAATAAAAAGAGACTAAAGTTTTATTACCTACTAGTAATCTCCCACAACAAAAAATTATGAAATGCATTATTATGTACTCTGTTATATTGCCTCTATTATTACTAAAGTTGTGGAAATAAACACTTCACTATTCTGCCATAACCATACTCAAACAGGACTCATTTAACTTTATTATGCATTGAGTAGTTGGGGTTAATACTTAAACAGTAATAGATTTCATCATTATTTAGAATAATTAGATGGTTCTTTAAAATCACACATTACCATTTCTGTCCTTTTGAAGGGGAGGAAGTTGATATCAACGACTTGGGAACAGTTCTAAGAAACATGGGAATAGAACTCACAGATAAAGAACTCTCACAACTGGTGAAAAATCTGCCAGTTGATAGTGAGTATTTTGAATAAAAATATAGTCATCCAGGGGAGCATATTGTTAAATTGCAAAAACTTCTAAAATTGTCTCTATTTTACTGCTTGTCAGAAATAATCTTAATAATCTGGGTGGCTTAGTCATTGAACGTCTGCTTCGGCTCAGGTCATGATCTTAGGGTCCTGGGATTGAGCCCCACATCAGGCTCCCTGCTCGCAGGGAGCCTGCTTCCCCTTCTCCCACTCCCCCTGCTTGTGTTCCCTCTCTCCTGTCTCTCTCTCTCTGTCAAAAAAATAAATGAAATCTTTCAAAGAAAGAAAAAAAGAAATAATCTTATGATCCATATTGCATACTGTAAAATGACTCTATTGTACCTTAAAATGTTATAGCTGGGGCGCCTGGGTGGCTCAGTTGGTTAAGCGACTGCCTTCGGCTCAGGTCACGATCCTGGAGTCCCAGGATCGAGTCCCGCATCAGGCTCCCTGCTCGGCGGGGAGTCTGCCTCTCCCTCTGACCCTCCCCCTTCTCATGTGCTCTCTCTCTCTCTCAAATAAATAAATAAAATCTTTAAAAAAAATAAAAAATAAAAAATAAATGTTATAGCTGCCATTTAATCTTTAGTTTGAGAATCAACCATTGTGTCATCATGACTCTTATCATCAGGGTTCACATTATCTTTTATATAATTATATCTTTTATAACTTTTGATTATATAAAGAGATCTGAAATTTAAGCCAGAATTAATGAGAAAAAAGAAAGTGATCTAATAGGGGGAAATGAAAATATCATAAAAGAAAAAGATATGTTTCAGAATGGTAGAGTGTCAGTATCCCCCTGCCCTATAATTTCATTATTTGCCACTAAATCAAAAAATTTCTAAGGCAGTTCATAAAATATATCTTACTGAAATTGCTGGATTCTTACTCTCTATGAAGCTCCACATTGTCAGTTTCTGTGATCTGAACAGTGTTTTCCTTACAGATGGAAAGGTCTACCAGAGAAGGTTGCTGGATGGTATAAAGTTTCTTAAAGGTGAGGAAGAAGCTTAATAAAACACAATCAATCTGAGATCATCATGTTTGGCATTTCTACTGATTCCTTGTGATTAAATTGTGAACCCTGACACCTAACACATTATTACATACTTTTGTTTCTTTTATAGATCAATGTGTTCTTTAGATCATTTCTTATGATGTACATTGGAAAGAACTCCCATGCTCTCTTGGGATTTCTCAAATTTGACAGAAGAAATTATCAGAGCCCAGGCTGCACAGCAAAAGTAAAGGGAAAATTAACACCTCTTCAGTTAGTTTATTCAGCAGCAAGAGACTACTAGTCTGACATTTAGACCAAAAGAGAGAGAGAGAGAGAGAAGAAGGGAGCTCTAGAAAGCCTTCAAGATATTGAAGGAACATAGGACTGAATAGACAGGCAGGAAGCAGACCAGGAGGAAGGTCATGTCTAGGCAAGGTTCCCAATACCAGCTTCATGATATCTGCCAAATCCACACAGTATTTGTACTATTATTAATATTTTCATTTAAATTGATTTACTTTTAACTTGAATTTAAAAATTTTTTAAATGGCAACAGAGAACCAGCATCCCTTAACATAACTAGAAGTTAACTGTAAAAGCAAACACAGTGAAAGTGAGACAGTAGCCATTCGAAACACAGGAATTATTATCACCCTACTAGAATTCTCTGAGCAGTCATTACATCACCTTTCAGTTTTTATACTGGATATGCTTATATGAAGATTAAATTTAAAACAATAAGCTCTAACTCTTATTATTGACTCTGTCCTCTTGTAAAGATCTCATCAGGCTTTGGTCCTTTGGATGAACATAATAACCATAATCCTCAGGAAGGTGAGGGTTTATCCCACATTTTAGGGACATTAACTTCTGCTTGTATAACTATCTCTCTTTCCATAGGAGGGAAGATTGACTCCAGTAAAGTGGATGCAGTTTTGGGAAACATGGGCATGGACCTCACTGAAAAGGAGCTTAAAGACATAACACAAAACCTGCAGGTTGATGGTGAGCATTTTAGATACCACTGAACACTACAGAAAAACTACTTTTATGAGCCTATTTATAACAGTCATTAAAAATGCTTGTTTGTCCAAATGGCCAACAGACACATCACTCAGCATCAGGGAAATCCAAATCAAAACCTCAATGAGATACCACCTCACACCAGTCAGAATGGCTAAAATTAACAAGTCAGGAAACAACAGATATTGGCAAGGATGTGGAGAGAGGGGAACCCTCCTACACTGTTGGTGGGAATGCAAGCTGGTGCAGCCACTCTGGAAAACAGCATGGAAGTTCCTCAAAAAGTTGAAAATAGAGCTACCATATGATCCAGCAATTGCACTACTGGGTATTTACCCCAAAGATACAAAAGTAGGGATCCGAAAGGGTACGTGCACCCCAATGTTTATAGCAGCAATGTCCACAATAGCCAAACTGTGGAGAGAGCCAAGATGTCCATCGACAGAGGAATGGATAAAGAAGATGTGGTATATATATATATATATATACATATATATATGCCCTGAGTCTGGGCAGGGTCTTGTGATTGCTTCAATAACAGCATTTGGTGGAAATGGTGCTCTGTGACTTAATCCTAGTTACAGATTCAGAGAAGAACTGTTCTAAATTGTCTGTAATAGACTTTTCTTTTTTTTTTTTAAGATTTATTTATTTTTATTTATATATATATATATAGACACACATATACACAATGGAATATTATGCAGCCATCAAAAAAGTGAAATATTGCCATTTGCAATGATGTGGATAGAACTGTAGGGTATTATGCTAAGCAAAATAAGTCAATCAGAGAAAGACAAGTATCATATGATCTCACTGATATGAGGAATTCTTAATCTCAGGAAACAAACTGAGGGTTGCTGCAGTGGGGGGTGGGGTGGGAGGGATGGGGTGGCTGGGTGATAGACATTGGGGAGGGTATGTGCTATGGTGAATGCTGTGAATTGTGAGACTGATGAATCACAGACCTGTACCTCTGAAACAAATAATACATTATATGTTAAAAAAAAAAAGAAAAAGAAGATAGTAGGAAGGGTAAAATGAAGGGGGGGATATTGGAGGGGGAGGTGAACCATGAGAGATTATGGACTCTGAGAAACAAACTGAGGGTTTTAGAGGGGAGGGGGGTGGGAGATGGGTTAGCGCAGTGATGGGTATTAAGGAGGGCACGTATTGAATGGAGCACTGGGTGTTATAGACAAACAATGAATCATGGAACACTACATCAAAAACTAATGATATAATGAATGGTGACTAGCATAACAAAATAAAATTTAAAAAAATAAATTAAAATTAAAATTAAAATTAAAATTAAATTTAAAAAAAAGCTTGTTTGGCATCAAGAGGGCATTCTGAAAAGCTTAGGGAAAAAACTCAGGTCCAAAGAAAGAACACATCCTGTCTCTCGCTGGTTTTATATTCAAAGTAGAGAAGGATTTCAAGATACCTGTTTTTTCACTAGCCTTACCTTTTTTTCCCTATGGAATAGGGAGAATTGATAAGTATTGTGCAAATTCCACTTAAACTCCTTGGCCACATTTGCTAATACGTGACATCAGTATTTATAAAAAGGATGCTTATTATAGGTATGGTGATCTTTAATGTTCTTTCTATTTTAATGTGGCTAGAGTATACCTGCTCTATGTGGCTGACATTCAATATTTGTCTGTCTGTCTCTCACTTTCACCTGGGTCCTATGGAGAAAAGTCTATTGCAGGGCGCCTGGGTGGCTCAGTCTGTTGAGCTGCTACCTTCAGCTCAGGTCATGATCTCAGGGTCCTGGGATGGAGTCCCGCGTCAGGCTCCCTGCTCAGCGGGAAGCCTGCTTCTCCCTCTCCCACTCCCCCTGCTTGTGTTCCCTCTCTCGCTGTGTCTCTCTCTGTCAAATAAATAAATAAATAAATCTTAAAAAAAAAAAAAAAAGAAAAGTCTATTACAGACAATTTAGAACAGTTCTTCTCTGAATCTGTAACTAGGATTAAGTCACAGAACACCATTTCCACCAAATGCTGTTATTGAAGCAATCACAAGACCCTGCCCAGACTCAGTCTAAGCTCTTGGTGGAAGTTGTATCAGTCACATTGTAATAAGGTCATGTGGGATGGGAAATATATAGCTCAGCCATCCTTGAAAAATATGTTTATCACTTCTACTATTATTGGGCCTATGCTTTTTCTAGCTTTTCACTATCATGAATAAAACTGCTATGAACATTCTTGTATGAGACTTTTTTTGTCTGAGATATTTTTGAACATGTGTTTACTATTCTTTTGGGTAGAAATGCTGCATCCTAGGGTAAATATGTCTTTAGTTTTATAAGAATCTGTTAGATACTTTTCCAAAGTGAATGTACCATCTTATACTCCCACCAGCAATGTCTGAAGGTTCTCTTAGCTCAGCTCCTCACCAACATTTGTTATTATCGTTATTTTTAATTTTAGTCCTTCTGGTTAGTGTGTGTTGCTATCTCAATATGGCCTTGATTTACATTTCCCTGATGACTAATGATATTGAGTACTTTTTCAAGTGCTTATTAGCCATTTATACTTCTTTAATAAAGTATTTGTTCAAATTGTTTGCCCACTTTTTATCTGACTGTTTGTCCAACCACTTGGAGAATGATTGTTTCTCTTTCATACCTGCCTGCTAGGAGTACTTAAGTTTCTTTTTGTCTTTCTGCTTCATTATTAAATGAAGGAGTTTAAGGCCATACATTTTCTTCTGAGTGCAGCTTCACTACGTCCTTTTGGTTTCGATATGAAGAGTTTTCCTGATCATTACTTTCTACCAACTTATAATTGATACAAAGATTATCTAGTATCTATAAGTATATCTCTTACTTTCTTTTTAAGTCTTTTAAGTTTTTATTATATATAAACTTTGGAGTTCTATCAGATAATGTGGCCACTGAGATGTTAAAAAGAATCTCTATTTTGTTAAAATTTTCATTATGGCCATGTACTTTACTAATTTTTGTAAATCTGTAGGCATATAAAAATAATTTATAGTCTCTAGAGAGGGCACATAGACTTCTCTCTATATATATTATGAAATCAAGTTTATCAGTAGTATTATTCAATTCCTTTGTGTCTTTACCTCTATTTTGTCTACAAAATAGATCTTCTATTAAGAGGGTTAAGATCTCCTACTTTAATTGAATTTTTATAAGATTCTTCTTGGGGCACCTGGGCGGTCCAGTCGGTTGGGTGTCTGACTCTTGATTTCAGCTCAGGTCATGTTCTCAGGGTCCTGGGATCAAGCCCCACCTCAGGCTCCGTGCTCAGCAGGGAGTCTGCTTGAGATTCTCTCTCCCTCTGCCCCTCCCCCCCACTCTCTCAAATAAATAAATGAATCTTAAAAAAATTTTCTTAAATGACTAATAGTTTTGCTTTATAGGTTTATGACTGTTAAATATTCATAAACTATACCTTTTGATGTCCCTCTTTATCTACATCTCTTTGTTGATTTGACTCTTAAGTTTTACTTTGATACTAACAATTGCCAGTACTGGTTTCTTTTTGCTTGTATATGCCTCATATATCTTTGCCCACTCCTTTATTTTCAATCTTCTTTATCATTTGGTGGGAAATATATTTTGTGAAATCATCATATAGCTGGGTTTTTAAGGAACCCATCTGATAATCTTTCTTCTTTTAATGAGAAATTTCAGTTTGTTCAGATTTGGTGTAATACTGGACATATGCATTTATTTTATCTCATTTTATATTTATTATTCATTTTCTACTATTGTTTTCTCTTTTTTTCTTGTGCTTATTATTACTGGTTTAAGTTGTCATTCATTATATTTGTTTTCTTCCTAGGAGGGTCACATTTCATTAATTCTTGCATTTCTTTTCTTCTCATTCATTGTCATACTTACCTATAACTTAATTATTACTGGTAACAAAATACTGCTTTATTCTCCATCAAGATACTTTTACCCATCAGATATTTCAATTCAGCTTTATCCCTTCCTCCCACTCCCTACCCCCACAATCTCAATAAGCAGAAACTTTTAGAATACTCTTATTCCTCCCACCATTTCCCCTACTCCCCACCATGAGATCTTTGGAATGTCTTTACTTCCTCAACTATACATTTTCAATTCTCACAAACAACTCCTAAAATTTCTCTTACATAATTTCCCTTCTATTTCAAGATTCTTTATTTAGCACTTAATATTACATATTCCATAACATAACAGATCGTTTTCAAGCTTACAGAAAAGAAGGTAGCATCTGTTCTGGCATCTCTGTATTTTAACCGCCTCAGGAAAATAAATGTTTCTGCCCACCTGTTTTATTCCTTCTTGGTCTTTTAGGAGTGAGAGGAATTGGAATGCCCCATACTGGCCTTAATTGAGCTTCATCAGGGTCTTCAGGATTCTAAATGCCAAGCATTTCCCATGATCTGCTGCTTTCCAGTTCTGTTCCTGTGCTCTGACACCTCTCTGGTGCTTCCCTCGTTGAGGGCGGAAAGAACCCCATGCCCATTCTTGGGCTCCAGGACACAACCAGAGCCCAAGTGTTGACATAGCCCCAGCAGCCTAGAAAAACCATCAAATTTGAATTTCAAAAGGGAAACAGCTTTGAGATGGTAGTAAAAGGGACTGGAGCCATGCTCCAGTCTCCATGTTCACAAAAGCCTTTCTAAATGTTTATTAAAGTAAATGCAAAAGAGTAAGAATAACATTATAAGTAAAGGAAAATGATCAACTTTGGTTTAAACAAATTTCCCTTGTCACACAGATGTCTTAATTCCTACTAGTAGATTCCTCCTCAGCTGAGATGAACTTGGAATATTTTAATGAAAGAGAACTCACCCCAGTTAGATGGCCTATGGCAGAGAGCCCTTTCATCTTGGGTCAGAATGATGTGATTCATATATGCAACGGAATATTACTCAGCCATCAGAAAGGATGAATACCCACCATTTGCATCAACATGGAGCTGGAGGGGATTATGCTAAGTGAAATAAGTCAAGCAGAGAAAGACAATTACCATACATTTGGTTTCACTCATATGTGGAACATAAGGAATAGTGAGGAGGAGGACCACAGGGGAAGGGAGGGAGAACTGAATGGGAAGAAATCAGAGAAGGAGACAAACCATGAAAGACTTTGGAATCTGGGAACCAAACTGAGGGTTACAGAAGGGAGGGAGGGGGTGGGGGGATGGGGTAACCAGGTGATGGGTATTAAGGAGGGCACGTGTGGTGTTATACGCAACTAACAAATCACTGAACACTACATCAAAAACTATATTTTGGCCAACTGAACATAATAAAAAAAATGGGAACTACAAAAAAAAAAAAAAAAAAGAATTTTCCCAGGAATAAACCAGATGGACAAAGAAGAGTATGAACAGACAACCATAGTGACCCATGTACAAAGACAGGCCTAAAAATTCTAATCCCCTCCAAGGATCCCATCTCTTTTTCATGATAGACTTGGTTAACTAAAATAGTCCAGGTAAACCAACACACATTTTCCATTTTGCCCTGACCTGTAGTTGGTATCGAAGTTATTAGTGGCCAGGAATACTTTAATAGACAAAGAATAAGGAAATTCTCACCACAGAATTAGCAACATTATTGGTAATTGATACACTTTTCTGGCCATTCTGCTGGTACTCAAAAACAAGTGTGTTGAATTTATGATTAACTACATTTTATACCATGTTTCCTAGGTTATAGCTAGATTTTTCTCATCAACATGGGAGTATTATTTTGCTGTGGGAGAAAAAGCACTTCTGTTTTCAGAAAGTAAATGATAAGAATTAGCCACTTTTCTTCCCTGAGCACAATACATTGGAAATGCTGGAATATTAATTGTGTTCAGGAAATAATTATGCTTATTATCATTCAAGCTGTCATCCTTCTTCTACCTTCTTATGAAGGATGTAGCAAAAGGTTAAGTTTTCGTATGTGTGTGTGTGTGTAGTATGAAACCAGCTTCTCTTTTGTATACTGAGGTATAACTTTTTATATTGAGGTTATAATTGACATGGAACATTATATTCAGATATATAACATAAATGATTCAGTATTTATATATACTGCAATATATATGTATATATATGTCTCTCAAAATGATCACCACAGTTAACACCCATCACTATACACAGTTACACTGTGATGAGAACCTTTAAGATCTACTCTCTTTAGCAACTTTCAAATATTATTAATATTAACTGTAGTCATCATACTGTATATTACATCCCCATGACTTACTTTATAACTGAAAGTATGTACCTGCAAAAGGTTAAATTTTTTAGAGCAAATAAATACTACTAAGTTTTTCTGCTCAATGCAACATACTTTCTTGGTCTCATTGTCATGTTTCTATCCAATTTATTCCTTGTCTTACAGTTAAAGGTAAAGCTGATCTAGAAAAGCTGATGAATGAAGTAAAATCTTTTTCGGGTAAGACATTACTAAGACATTTTGAATTAAATTCTAACCCTATGTTAAATCTTGCATAGTGTTTTCCTGATATTATATCATAAATTTATTAATGTTGATATTTTACATATTTTTAATGAAATATTTATATTCAACTTTACTTCTTCCTTTGATTTTGAATTATCTAGGATTTGGCTATAAAAATCAGTAGTGAAGGGTGCCTGGGTGGCTCAGTCAGTTGAGCATCTGCCTTTAGCTCAGGTCATGATCCCGGGGTCCTGGGATGGAGCACCACATTGGGCTCCCTGCTCGGCAGGGAGTCTGCTTCTTCCTCTCCCTCTGCCCCTCCTCCCCACTCGTGCTCTCTCTCTCTTACACACACTCTCTCTCTCAAGTAAATAAATAAAATCTTCAAAAAATAAGTAAATAAGTGGTGATGCTTAAGTAATAAATTATATTTTCTGTAGTTTCTGCCAGTATTATACTGATCTTAACCAGTGTTTAAATCAGAGCTTTAACAAATTGGCCACCCATGAATTGAGTCCAACCTGCAGTCAAGTTTTGTAAAATCTGGCAACACTGGCCCTATATTCCCTCACGACAGTAACTGGTGTATTTTCTCTTTGGACAAGGCATGTGCTGTCTAGTTCACCACAGCTAGTTTCACTCATTTCTTCTACCTCCAGGTTCCTACAAGCTTGAGTTAATAACTGCTGGCTTAAATAACCAAATGTAGGTAGGCAAAGAATATAGGAAGAGGAATATTTTTAGAAAATTAAGTTGATAGGATTGCTTTAAATAATAATCACATGATTCAGTATTAAAAAGTAAAAAAGACTAGATATCCTAAATTACTGGCCAATTATATATAACCTGATTTTCTTCTATGGTATCTTGCCATTAGTCTTAGGAGACCACTCTTTATGAAGAATCAAGGAATAGGTTCTGCCTCATTATCCTTAAACATTATTGGAATATGTGAGAGTATGAAAGTTAGGATGGCATTCTTTAAACCAGATTTTTCATTATTTTGGATCATTATAATGTCCTAAAATTGCCATGTGTCAATAATTCATTTTTCTTTCAAAGGAGGTAAAGTTGATGCTAATAAACTTGAAAGTATTTTGGAAAACTTGGGGATTGAGCTCACACCTAATGAACGTTTGAATTTAGTGAAGACACTGCCACTTAATGGTAAGTCTCATGGGTGCTATAAGCCTAGTTCTGTGAAACTATTTCCACATGTGAAAAATTACAAACTAGTTGCATTTTAACACCCAGTGCTCATTACGAGTGCCCTCCTTAATACCCATCTAATGGTGAGCGCTGTGAATTGTGTAAGACTGTTGAATCACAGACCTGTACCTCTGAAACAAATAATACATTATATGTTAAAAAAAAAAGAAGAAGATAGCAGGAGGGGAAGAATGAAGGGGGGGACATCGGAGGGAGAGACGAACCATGAGAGACGATGGACTCTGAGAAACAAACTGAGGGTTCTAGAGGGGAGGGGGTGGGGGATGGGTTAGCCTGGTGATGGATATTAAAGAGGGTACATTCTGCATGGAGCACTGGGTGTTATACGCAAACAATGAATCATGAATCATGGAACACTACATCAAAAACTAATGATGTAATGTATGGTGATTAACATAACATAATAAAAAAAATCTAAGATTCTAAAGGATTAAACAAAAAATACCCATCTAATGAATCATTGAACACTACATCAATAACTAATGATGTACTATATGCTGGCTAACTGAACATAAAAAAAAAAGATACAAACATCAAAAATAAATGAAAAAATTGCAATCTTACATAAAACAACCCAATGTAAAAAAATAATTGCCAAGACTCATGTCAAGAAGCTATGTTTTCGGGGCACCTGGGTGGCTCAGTAGGATGCTCAACCAACGGTGCTACCCACACACCGTGAATTCAGCATTTTTAGATTCCATATGTAAGTGATATCATGCAGTATTAGTCTTTCTCTCTCCAACTTATTTCACTTAGCATAATGCCCTGGTTTTAAATAAAACCAAAAAAATTATTAAAAATTCCTTTTAATCCCATAATCCAAAGATAGCCATTATTAGTATTTTGGTACACTTCCTTCTAGTGCTCAGCAGATGATAGATTGATAGATAATATTTATGTGTATATTAATTTACTTATAATTCTTATCTCTTCACAGTGTTAACATGCATATTTATCATAGAAACCTTGATAATGCAAATAAGTGAAAATAAAACTATATTCCCAATGTAAAGCAATAACTACTATGAGAATTTTGATGTATATTTTTCTAGTTCTCCATGTATGAATATATATCCTTTTTTATTTGGCAACCTTGTGGATAAATCTTTGCAAATATTCTAAAATTTTTTGAGATTAAATTCCTTTAAGTAGAGTTGTAAAATGGAAGATATTTTGTTTGTTTTCTCACATTTTCTTCCAGAATATTGTAATTTGAACTCCCACAAACAGTATTTGAGGATGTTATTTTCTCTACATTCTCAATACAGAAAAAAAAAGAGCATCTCATGATTATGATTTGCAATTCACTCCTTTACCACTGAGAGAGAACAATTTCATATATTTATCTATTTGCATTAGAAATGTTCCTGATGCAAAGATTTCTAAATTCTTTCTTTCTGAAATTAAAAGATGCGTACTACCTTTCTGACTCCATTTTAAATATCTATTTTTATTTTTATTTTTATAGCTGATGGAAAAGTGTATCAAAAAAGGTTGATGAAGGGCATAAAGTCTCTCAAACGTGAGTAAGAAGCACAGTGAAAAGACTGAATCCAAAACCTTTATTTGTGTTGTTAAAATATGAATCATCCTTTCCTATGTAATTGTATTTATTTATGCTTTCTTAAGTAGATCTGCATTTTACCAAGTAAACCAAGTAGTTTCCTGCACTAAAATTTGGCAGAAAGTGTTAAACTTTCTCGGATTTTCCTAACTCAGCCCCAAAGAAACAAAATAAAAACACAAAGCAAAAGGTAAAGAATGAACATTGTCAGATAAAGGTTTCAGTCAAAAGCGGAGGCAAATAATTTGAAAGTACAGACAATAAAAACAACTCCTGTGTTATAGAATATTATGTCAGTCATCTCTAGCTCTCACCTTTCCAAATCCTAACATAAAATTGAGAGGAATTTTTATTCTCTTATGAACTGAACAAAACTGGGTTTTTGGTATTCGTCTTGAAAATCTTAATACTAAGAAATATGTTTTTTTATTGTAATATAATACATGCTTGATAAAGAGGAATAATAACACAGCAGAGTGAATTCATGGTCCAGTTTTAGAAACATTCAATTTTACTATATTCCTTTCCTGCTCCTTACTTAGAAGGCAATGTTGATGTCAACAAGCTGGACACTCTTTTAGAAAACATGGGAATCAGCATCAAAGAAAAAGAATTCATGGATCTGATAGAAAGACTGCCAGATGCTGGTAAGCATATAATCACCCTTGTACTTTTTAAGGGGTACTTATTGTTTTCATCTTTCCTGAGATATGATTGACATATAACATTGTGTAAGTTTAAGGCATACAACTGTTGATTTGATAAACTTGTATATTGCAAAATGATTACCGCCATAGCTAACACCTCTGTGACATCACATAATTATCTTTTTTTTTTATAGTGAAAACATTTAAGATCTACTCTTAGGAACTTTCAAGTATATAATACAGTGTTGTTAACCATAATCACCATTCTGTATTATATTCTCAGAATTTATTCACATTAGAAATCGGAGTTTATACCCTTTACCTAACATCTCTCTATTTCCCCACCTCCTCCCTCAGCCCCTGATAATGACAGTTCTGCTCTGTTTCTATGAGCTCAACATTTTTGTTTTTGTTCTTTTTTTAAAGTTTTATTTATTTGAGAGCAGGGAAGTGCAGAAAGGGAAGTAGAGAGAGTCTTAAGCAGACCCCACACTGAGCTCGATCCCATGACCCTAAGATCATGACCTGAGCCAAAATCAAGTATCGGATGTTCAACCTACAGTGCTACCCACACACCCTGAGTTCAGCACTTTTAGATTCCACATATAAGTGATATCATACAGTATTAGTCTTTCTCTGTCCAATTTATTTCACTTAGCATAACGCCCTCAAAGTTTATCCATGTTGTCACAAATGGCAAGATTTCCTTCTTTCTTGGGGCTGAGTAATTTTCTATTGTATATAATATACCACATCTTCTTTACCCAGTCATCCACTGACAGACATCTATCTTGGCTATTGTGATTAATGTTCCAATGAACATGGGAGTGCAGATATCTTTCTGAAATCCTATTTCAAAGTGGGATTTTGAATTAGGTGCTATGATGTGGGATTAATGGATCATATGGTAGTTCTATTTTTAATTTCTTAAGGAACCTCTATTCTGTTTTCTACAATGACTGTACCAACTTATATTCCCACCAACAGTGAGCAAGGGTTTTCTCTTCTCCACGTCCCCACCAGCATCTGTTATCTCTTATCTTTTTGATGATAACTATTCTAACAAGTGTGAGGTGATATCTCATTGTGGTTTTAATTTGCATTTCCCTGATGATGAGTGATATTGAACACCTTTTCATGTACCTGTTGGCCACTTGTGTATGCTGTTTGGAAAGATGGCTATTCAGTTCCTCTGCCCATGTTTTAGTTGGATTTTGGGGGGTTTTGCTATTGAGTGTATGAGGTCCTTATATATTTTGAATATTAGTCCCTTATCAGATACATGGTTTGCAAATATTTTCTTCCATTCTGTAAGTTGCCCTTTCATTTTGTTGATTGTTTCTACTGCTTTGCAGAAGCCTTTTAGTTTGGTGTAGTCCCACTTAATTTTTTCTTTTGTTGCTTGTGCTTTTGGTGTCATAACTAAAAAAATAATTGCCAAGACTCATGTCAAGAAGCTATGTTTTCAGGGCACCTGGGTGGCTCAGTCATTAAGCGTCTGCCTTTGGCTCAGGTCATGATCCCAGGGTCCTGGGATCAAGGCCCACGTCGGGCTCTCTGTTCTGCGGGAAGCCTGCTTCTCCCTCTCCTGCTCCCTCTGCTTGTGTTCCCTCTCTTGCTGTGTCTCTCTCTGTCAAATAAATAAATAAAATCTTAAAAAAAAAAAAAAAGCTATGTTTTCTTCTGGAAGTTTTATTGTTTTGGGTCCTACATTTAAGTCTTTAATTCATTTCAAGTGTATGTTTTTGAGTGGTATAAGATAGTGGTACAATTTAATTATTTTGCCTATGGTTATCCAGTTTTCCCAACACCATTTATTGAAGAGATTGTCCTTTCCCTATTGAGTATTCTTGGCTGCCTTGTTGATAGTTGACTGTATATGTGAGGTTTTATTTCTGGGCTCTTGATTCTGTTCTGTTGGTCCATGTATCTATTTTTATGCTGTGCCATACTGTTAGATTAGCTTTGTAGTACAGTTTGAGGGGGAGGAGTTAAGATGGTAGAGGATTAGGGAGGCCCTAAGCATGTCTCATCCCTCAAATACAGCTAGATAGTTATCAGATCATTCTGAACATCCAAGAAATCAATCGGAGGTCTAAGAGAACAAAAACTACAAGTCTACAAGCAGAAAAGTGACCACCTTTGGAAGATTCTTTAACAAGCAGACCAAAACACATGCAGGATCTAGTTTTGTTGCTGTTGTTGTTGTTATTGTTGGACTTTTTATTTTGTCTTTTTCTTTCTTCTTTTCTTTTCTGGATAAAATGATGAGATGGAGAAATTCACCCCACAAGAAAGAAGAGGAGATAGTACAACCAGGGATTTAATCAATATAGATATAAGTAAGATGTCTGAGCCAGAATTTAAAACAACAATTATAAGGATATTAGCTGGGCTTGAAAAAAGCATAGAAGACACTAGATAAACCCTTACTGCAGAGATAAAAGAACTAAAATCTAGTCAGACTGAAATTAAAAATGCTATAACCAAGATGCAATCCCAAGTGGAGGTCGTAAAAATGAGGATGGACAAAGCAGCGGGGCAAATCAGTAATATAGAAGATAAAATTATAGGGAAAAATGAAGCTGAAAAGAGGAGGGGAAAAAAAGTAATGGACCACAAAGGTAGACTTCAGGAACTCAGTGACTTATTAAATGTAATGACATTCGTATCATAAGAGTCCCAGAAGATGAAGAGAGAGAAAAAGGGACAGAAGGTTTATTTGAACAAATTATCGCTGAAAAGTTCCCTAATCTGGGGAGGGACACAGACATCAAAATCCAAGAAGCACAGAGAACTCCCATTAAATTCAACAAAAGCCAGCCATCATCAAGACATATCATAGTCAAATTCTCAAAATACACAGATAAGGAAAGACTTCTGAAAGCAGCAAGGGAAAAATGTCTTTAACCTACAAAGGAAGGCAGAACTGGTTTGCAGCAAATCTGTCCACTGAAACCTGGCAGGCCAGAAAGGAGTGGAAGGAAATGTTCAACGTGCTGAATGGGGAAAATATGCAGCCAAGAATTCTTTATCCAGCAGGACTGTCATTCAGAATAGAAAGAGAGAGAAAGAGAGTTTCCCAGACAAACAAAAACTAAAGGAGTTTGTGACCACTAAACCAGCCCTGCAAGCAATTTTAAGGGAGACTCTTTGGGTGGTGGAAAAAAAAAAAAGACCAAAAGCAACAAAGACTAGAAAGGACCAGAGAACATCTCCAGAAACACCAACTCTGCGGGTAACACAATGGCACTGAATTCATATCTTTCAATAATCTCTCTGTAGTATCGTTTGAAATCAAGAAGGCTAATGCCTCCAGCTTTGTTCTTTCTCAGTATTGCTTTGGCTATTCAGGGTCTTTTGTGGTTCCGTATAAATTTAAGGATTTTTTTTCTATGTCTGTGAAAAAATACCATTGGAATTTTTATAGGAACTGGATTGAATCTATAGATGACTTTTGGTAGTACAGACATTTTAACAATACTAATTTTTCTGACCCATGAATGTGAGCTATATTTCCATTTGTTTTTGTCTTTTTCAATTGCTTTCATCATGGTTTTGTAGTTTTCATTGTATAGATCTTTCACCTTCTTATTTAAATTTATTTCCAAGTATTTTGTTGTTTTTTATGCTATTGTTAGTGGTATTGTTTTCTTTATGTCTTTTTCAGTTATAAAATATATGGAAATGCAACTGATTTCTGTATGTTGAGTTTGTATACTGCAACTTTACTGAATTCATTGATTAGTTCTGACAGTTTTTTGGTGGAGTCTTTAGGATTTTCTATATATAAGGTCATATCTGCAAACAAAGACAATTATGCTTCTTCCTTTCCTATTTGGATGCCCTTTTTTTCTTGCCTGATTGCTCTGGCTTAGACTTCTGGTACTATGTTGAATAAGAGTGGTAAGAAGGGGCACTCTTGGGGCGCCTGGGTGGCTCAGTTGGTTAAGCTACTGCCTTCAACTCAGGTCATGATCCTGGAGTCCCGGGATCGAGTCCCACATCGGGCTCCTGCTCAGCAGGGGGTCTGCTTCTCCCTCTGCCCTCTTCCCTCTCGTGCTCTCTGTCTCTCATTCTCTCTCTCTCAAATAAATAAATAAAATCTTAAAAAAAAAAAAAAGAAGGGGCACTCTTGTCTTGTTCGTAAGGCTCATTTTCTTATAGGCTTTTCTTTCTCCCTTCAAACTAGTGGGTTAAGTGAATATTTTTTAATGAAACACTAAAGCTAAATATTGTTTCATGAGACTTCATGATCAATTTGTGTGTGTGTGTTTAGAGTTCTTAGTGTGGCTTACAATAAAAAAGTTTTGAAAATAACTGGCTTAAATGATAGTAATATAACAGTTCTATTTTCAGTCTATTGTTCTTTCCACACTCTTCCTGGCTGATTCCATTTAACCATATATATTTAAGATTTCAAATCTTTTATCTCAAACCTATACTTTTTTCATGCATTTCAGTCTAGGACAGTGAGGTCCTTTTATGTAGCATGATGGGGGCAAGTATTTGATTAGATACTCTAAAAATCCAGTTAGAGTAAGGAATAATAAAAATGATGTGTATGTACCATACATATTTTATTTCCATAAAAAAAAGGGACTACATTTTAATTTTTTTATGTTATGTTAATCCCCATACATTACATCATTAGTTTTTTTTTTTTTTTAAGATTTTATTTATTTATTTTACAGAGAGAGACACAGCGAGAGAGGGAACACAAGCAGGGGGAGTGGGAGAGGGAGAAGCAGGCTTCCCGCTGAGCAGGGAGCCCGATGCGGGGCTCGATCCCAGGATCCTGGGATCGTGACGTGAGCAGAAGGCAGATGCTTAACAACTGAGCCACCCAGGTGCCCCTACATCATTAGTTTTTGATGTAGTGTTCCATGATTCATTGTTTGCATATAACACCCAGTGCTCCACGCAGAACGTGCCCTCTTTAATACCTATCACCAGGCTAACCCATCCTCCCACCCCCTCCCCTCTAGAACCCTCAGTTTGTTTTTCAGAGTCCATAGTCTCTCATGGTTCGTCTTCCCTTCTGATTTCCCCCTCTTCATTCTTTCCCTCCTGCTATCTTCTTCTTCTTCTTCTTCTTTTTTTAACATATAATGTATTATTTGCTTCAGAGGTACAGATCTGTGAGACTACATTTTAATTTAATGTAGCCATACTCTTTGGAGATTTTCTTGTGCAAAATACCCATTTATCATCTATACTCCCATTTTCAGTTTCTCTTAAGTGGAGCAAAGTGCTTTTTTTAAAAGTTGAGCAGAAATTTCCATCAGAATCCATCTAGATTTTAATTCCTTCCCCAATCTTTTTACAGTTATTTATCTACACCAAATTCAGCTTTACATAAACTCCCCAAAACATTCAAATTTGTTTTTATGGTAATAACTCCCTTTTCCATTTATAGTTTATCAGTTTATATAATGATTAAGTTATCAATTTAATAATAAGTACAACTCTTTATAAACAAACCTGGAAACAAACTCAACAACTCAACCCATAGGAACACAAATGTGCTGGCTTACTAAAAGTGTAGCTTACTAGATGTAAAATTTAACATGCCATCGACATCAGTATGAATTTTTTTTTTTTAAAGATTTTATTTATTTATTTGAGACAGAGAGGATGAGAGAGACAGAGAGCACATGAGAGGGGGGAGGGTCAGAGGGAGAAGCAGGCTCCCCGCCGAGCAGGGAGCCTGATGCAGGACTCGATCCCGGGACTCCAGGATCATGACCTGAGCCGAAGGCAGTCGCTTAACCAACTGAGCCACCCAGGCGCCCCAGTATGAATGTTTTACAGTAGGAATGATGAATCTAATTCAGGCCATCAGGGTAGTTAAATGGAGGTCAGTTAAGGGATATCCTATATCAACAAATCTCTTTTGAGATGTAGATTTCCCAGTGGAAATCCAAATTCAACATATAAAAAGTAAACTATTTTCCCTGTTAAATTCAGTCCTAATTTTTTTTTAATTTCTCTGCCACTATCGTCCACCCACAACTACCCCTGAAATAACCCATGAATTATCTTTGACTTCTCATGTTCCTTCATTTTTTTCCTCTTAAAAATATCCCCAATCTCTCTCTATCTTTGCTACCCTACTCTTAATTCAAATCCTCATTATCCTTTGCTTACACTACTACAGAAGGCTCCTGACTAGTATAACAGCCGCTGGTCCCATTGCCTTCAATTCATTCTACACCCACTCACCAGATGACTTAACTAGAGTGAAAATCTGACCTTGTAATTCTTCCAATTAAAACCTTTCAATGACCTTCATAGCTTATATGCATTGAGTCTTACAATATGCCAGACACAGTGCTAAACATTTTATGACAAATTAACTTACTCATTCATGTAACAATACCTATTGAACACCTAACACCTAGCAGTTTCTGTTTTGGCCTTAGGAATACAGCCATAAATAAAACAAATTAATGTAAATTTTGTGGAGCCAGGATTTTTGTCTTCTTCTTTCACTGCTCTATTCCCAACTCCAGACAGTCCAATGTCAAAGTCTAAACCGTTAGCTCCAACCAATCTCTTTCAACTCATCTTTCCAACTCCCTATATGGCATTTTTCCCTCAAGCAAAATTTAAAAGCTTTAGTTTATCAGACACTGTGCTCTTCATTGCTCCTTTTCCCAGGATTCTTTGTCTTTCTCCAATGATAGAAAATAGCATAATACCATAAACAATGGTTTTAAATGTATATCAATCATGTGTTATCAGCCATTCCTAGAGAAACATGGAGTTAGAAATAGAATGAATCCAAAAGACTTGAGAGAACATTTTTCCTAAGATAGACTTTACGGTTCAAAGAATGATAGTGCCCCTGGCAGATAATGGAGCTATCCATTAAAATCCAAGAATTATAAATTTAAAAAGGACAAGATATAGTGAATAGCTTTCATCTAGGTTCTACTTCATAATTTAAGTATTTTATGCTTTATGCTTTTTTCCTGAGTTTGGATTACCAGTGTCTAAATTTTGTCTTGACTTACAGATAAAGGGAAGATCAAACTAAATACATTGATGGAAGAATTGAGTACTGCTTTAGGTAAGTGAAAAATAACTTAATTCTTTATACAGTTTTAATGATACATTCTACCATCCCTTTAGTCCCTTGTTAATTTCACCATTTTAACTCTTCATTAATTAAACATTTTCATTAATTAACATTAATTAAACATTTCTGCCTGCTTTGATAACCTATGATTTACTAGGTCTTTGCAATAAGACAAAAAATTTCAAAATTTAGATTATAACTGAGATACTATATATAGACATAATTACTTGAATAAGTCATCAACAATATAATTTCTTGGACAATTATATTAACCTTATTATATGTAATATTTTCCTCTAACATTATGAAGACATGCCTTTTATTATAAATAAGGGACAATGTTATATTTTTAAGTCTGATATTAACTCTGTATAATATAGCAGGTGACCTTAGGTCTTTGTTGTTCATCTAGCAATAGAAGATGGTACTGTACAAACACATTTTGTTTTGTTTTTCATAATTTATATTCATTTGATAATGTCTATTATAGCCATGGCAACAGCCTTTTCTTAATAATGTGGGAATGTTTTTATTCCTAATTCCACCTTTTGATCCTCACTCAACCAAAAGCACAGGAGAGATCATCAAGAACTGTCCAGACCTTCACTATTGTAGATTTTCCTTGAGGACCTGACATCTGAATGTCAAGATAATTTCATCCTGGTTTTGTCTTTGAATCATTTGTTTAATTATTTGTTCATACAGTGGCTACACAGAAGCATTTAAGACTCTGAAAAGCAGACTTCAAACAGCTGTGAGACAAATAAAACTAGCTGAAGGTATTATAAGAAGGAAAGGGAAGCACTCTAGAATCATGGTCCAATATTTCTCAGGCCTGAAAGAAAACTAGTTCCAATAATAATTATGCCTTAAGTCTACTTTACATACCCAAGTTGTCTTTTCTTTTCTTAGATAAATTAGATCTGTAGTGTGAATCCAAGTACAATATGCATTATTAACAATGGTGCATATCCCCCTATAGTTGGGCAAAAGAAAATTCAAAGCAATTCTATCATTTATCTAGGAAATTTTAACTGGTTTAGTGTACTGAATGATAGGGCATGAACTATATTATATGCTAAGTCAGTCACAAATTTTTTTATTACTATGGATCGAATACATTATACTTAGGAATCTCTTCCACCAGATATTATTTATTTCCCCAGAAAAGTTTTTATCCCCTTGGACTAAGAAGACAAGATCCACTGAGACCGCTGGAAAGTCATGCACAATTCATACACATAAATTTTCAGTTAGCCCTACAGTAATTCTTTAAGTTGGTTTGGTCGTAAAAGGCTGAATTACAGAGTTAGGACTGTCCTAACTCTAGCAAAGTGGTTGTCTCTAGTAAAACTTAAACCTCAATAAGTTATTGGTAGAAGCAAGGGAGATCATGATAGCCTAAGTCAGAAGTGTATAATACTAAATAATAAAAAGAAAAGATATGACAAAAATAATGAATAAAAATATGTGAAAAATACACAAAGCACTGACAAAATCAGTGTTTTCTTATTCTCATGGTCTTGGATGGAAGCTCTGTACTTCATGCAGTTTTCCACTTGATCTGAGGATCTTGGATCTTGGGTCAGTAGGTGACTTATACGAACCACCTGCATCTTGGATACTCTAGAGAACCTCAATTTAAGTCTCTAATATAATTTTGCAATTCTGATAATGTCTCTTCCATTTTTCCAGAAGTTTTGGTGTTCAAAACACAGTGAAGTTTCTAAATAATAGACAAAACCTCTTGTATAATCATGAATAATTACCAAAATAAAGCATATTGCCCTATAATTGAATATATAAGATGGAATGCTCTAAGTAGGTAGCAGGATATCCAGAAGTTTGCTGGCTAGTATGAGTGCTATGGATTTTTGATGAGAGAGTGTTTCAACCCATCCAGAAAATAAACATAATATTATTAGTACATATTCATAACTCAGAGAGAAGCAAATATATAAAATCCATTTGGATATGCTCAAAAAGTTCCTTAAGATGTGGTTCTAATCCAGGGCTCAAAATTACAGATTTTTCATATTTATTTTTATTTCAGATGAGGCATGAATTGGTGATATTCTCTAATATAATACAAAATATCCTAATCAGTGTTTAATAATGTGGAGGATTTGTTCTTATAGTGATGGGTTGTTTTATGTAAGATTTTGGCAAATGTCAATTTGAAATATTATCTGATGCAACTAGGTAGCAGTCCTGGCTTTGCCAAATCTTATCCTCATGGATATTATAACCTAACCATTCCAATTATTTCTTTACAAAATTGAGGTCGAATTTTGTGCTTCTATAATGGAATCTTTGAATCTGATCCTACACATGTTTTTTGTTTGTTTTTTTGTTTGGGGTTTTTTTTTAAGATTTTACTTATTTGTCAGAGAGAGAGAGGAAGAAAGCACAAGCAGGGAGAGTGGCAGGCAGAGGGAGAAGCAGCCTCCCCGCTGACCATGGAGCCCGATGAGGGACTTGATCCCAGGACCCTGGGATCATGACCCGAGCTGAAGGAAGATGTTTAACTGACTGAGCCACCCAGGTGTCCCTCTACACTTGTTTTTCTTATCTATAAGAGGTCCTTCAAAAAGAACTTTAATTTTTAAAAAAATGAAAAGATGAACCACAAACTGACAGGAAATATTTGCAAAACACATATCTGATAAGGGACTTATATCCAAAATATTCAAAGAATGCTTAAAACTCAACAGTAAGGAAACAACCTAATTAAAAAGTGAACAGAAGATCTGAATATTAATCTCACTAAAGAAGATTTACAGATGGCAAATAAGGATATGAAAAGATGCTCAACATCATATGTCATTAGGGAATTGCAAATTAAAATATACACCTATTAGAATGGCAAGAAGAATGCAAAATGGTATAGTCACTTTGGAAGACAGTTTGGCAGTTTCTTACGAAGCTGAACTTAATCTTATCATAAGATCCAATAATCACAAATTAGGTATTTACCCAAATGAGTTGAAAACATGTGAACACAAAGACTTGCACACAAATGTTTATAGCAGCTTTATTTATAATTGCCAAAACTTGCAAGCAAATAAGATGTCCTTGAATAGAAGAATGGATAAACAAACTGTGATACACCCATATAATGAAATATTATTCAATGATAAAAAGAAATGGGCTATCAATCTATGGAAAAACATGGAAAGATCAGTGGTTGCCAGGAGTTTAGAAGGGTGGCATAGGGAGGAGAGATGAATATAAGGGCCACAAGAGAACTTTAGGTCAGTGAAGCTCTGTATGTTACTGTAATGGTGAATACATGACATATTGCATTTGTCAAAATCCATAGTACTGTATGATACAAAGAGTGAACACCAAGGATATAATCTGGATCAGTAAGAAAAAAAGATATAGGAAGCTTCTAGAAGAATCCATGTGCAGGCTTCCTATGCACTCCTTCTTATGAGGGGTTATACATAACATACCTTTCTTCCAGCAGCAAAAATGTAGTTACACATGTGTGCCCAGAGAAACCCATTAGAGACTCAGTGCCCAAGATTTTTTATTTGGGGCTACTCACTTAGGTGCCCTCTGCCTATCAACCGTCAGTATCCCAGACTCCCAGAAGAAAAACAAGTATTCACCATAAATCACATTGTTTGCACAAGTTTAGGCACAGTGAACTAGCCTTTTCAATTCGTATTGGAGGGAACATTCTGAAATCCAGGTTCCCAGATGCCAGCCAAGTACCAATAGCAAGCAGGCTCTTCTAAAGATAACAGCCTCAGGCCTGCTATGTTAACTTTTTTCTGCACAGTCTATTTAGTAAGATCTGCTAATGCATTTTTTTCTAGTCTTTATACCATCTGTTTTTACTGTGGGCTTTTCTACCTTTAAGATAGCAATTTCTTTGAGCAACATCAAAACACTAAGTAATAATTACTATAAAAGTATATCGCCTATTATTTAGTTTTACCAATTTGAAATCTCTAGAAAAGGCCAATGTTCAGTTACTTGAACTAATCTTGTATCTGTTAAGGACTTAGATCTTTCAAGAGAAACTAAACTAATTATTGCATCTTTAACCTACTATGATCTCTTTTCACTATTAAGACAAGACCCATCAACAAATAATATTAAGTCAGAGTGTGGTACTGAAATACCCAAAAGATCTGTTTAGGACATGGACACTTACTAAACTACAGAAATACAATTACGGAAATTATAATTACAGAATTAGAAAACTTCTTCATGGGGTAAAGGTAATAGAGTCACTGGATTGAGAGTGTTATACCAATGGATAGTAATATGGGGAGAGAGTAGCAATATTCCATAATTAGTAACCAACTAGTCAAAAAATATTGGATATTTTCAGTTAGCAATAAAGATTATAATTGCATATAGTACCATCAGATTTAAATATGATCTTAATATGAGATCGAAGATGCTTTGACTAGCAATTTAGAAACTCCAATTGCTCTGAAGCAAGAAGGATATAGTCAAGGTTACTGAATTAAGGGATAAGCTATAATAAGCAATGGGTCTTTTAGTGTACACTATTGATGTACTGTGTTAATGCTCCTGAAGCGTGGCCTAACCTCGTGCACTGATAATCTAGACTTAATCATTCTGACTCTCGTCTTGAAGGATACTCTTCTTCTCAGAACAAAGAATTACACATAAAGAGCAGTTCATAGTTTAAAATTATTAAATATACAAGGAAATGAGACACTATGAGTAAGATACCCATCATGAACAGCATTTAGCAGAATCAGATCAGCAAAGATTTTAGATTTTGGAATTATCAGGCCAAAAATTATTAAATAAGCATGCTTAATATAATTTAATAATGAAAAGAGAGGCTTGAGTACATTTGAGTAAAGAGCAAGCAGATTTGATAAAGAACCAAATAGACTTTTGAGAAATTAAAATAGTAAAAATTTAAAACATTTGAAGATTTTAACAGTAATTTATAAACGGCTGAAGAAACAACTAAGCAACTTAACAAATTACAAGATATATAGCACAAAAAGACAAAGAAATGAGAAATATGAAAGAGAGGTTAAGAGACACAGAGGATAGATAAGAAAATCTAACATATATCTAATTGGAATTCCAGGAAGAAAAGATAAAGAGAACAGGACAGAGGCAATATTTGAAAAGAACTTTCCAGAACAGATAAATAGTGCCAACCTAAAGAAGCCAAGTGACTTCTAAGCAGAATAAATAAAAAGAAATATCCATACTAGACATATACATTTGAAATATGCAACATATCTAATTTACTGATTAAAAGTTTAGGATTCTAGACAGTAAGCTTTCAGAGATTCACTTTCCACTGATTTAAACCAAAAGACTTAATTAAACCAAAATTGTTTTTCCTTTCTAAAGTTACAAAGTATAAAACTATTTACAATAATCAAAAGATTATTTACCATAAAAATAGTACAAAACAAAAATTATTGGGGAAGCCTGAGGCCCTCTTTTTGAAACATACTTTCTAATAAGCATCAACTATGTGCATTTTATGTAAGCATATAATCTAGAAATCCTTTCTAGATTTATGTGCCTAACATTATACTGCTCCTAACATAATTATAATTTCAAACTATCAGGAAAACTACTTACATTTCTATTTTGTGTAGGAAAGACCCAAATTATTATTTGTTTTATTTTTTACATGTTTATATAATTAGTCAAGGTGGTAATAAATTTTAATTTTTTGTTTGTTATAGAATACATGATTTTTAACTACCCATGAAATTATCTTAATGAAACATGAGTGAAAATATTGCTAGTTAACAGCATTTGATTGTAATAACTCACTAATTTTGTGTTCTTCCCAAATTATTCTTTGTCACAATTTCTGTCTTTTCTAGGAGAGCAGATAGATGTCAGTGATGTATATGATGCTCTGAAAGACATGAAAATTGAGGTCACAGACAAAGAATACTTTAATTTAGTAAAAACTCTACCACTTGATGGTAAGGATTTAAAATATATATGTATAATTCATGGAGCTTTAGAGTGCTTGACTGTAGCATTTTCTTCTTTTTTTTAATTTTTTAAATTAACATTATGTATTATTTGTTTCAGGGGTACAGGTCTGATTCATCAGTCTTACACAATTCACAGTGCTCACCATAGCACATACCCTCCCCAATGTTCATCACCCAGCCACCCCATCCCTCCCACCCCGCTCCACTCCAGCAACCCTCAGTTTGTTTCCTGAGATTAAGAGTCTCTTATGGTTTATCTCCCCCTCTGGTTTCGTCTTGTTTCATTTTTCCCTCCCTTCCCCTATGATCTGTAGGATTTTCTTCTAAAATGATACCAGACTGTTACCAGGTTGTTTTGTTTAGTCATTTTTGAAAAAAATTTTTTTTAGAATGCAACTTTCTTTTTAATTATTTGATTTTTGCCAAAGAAAATTTGGGTCATTTAGTTTTTAGTATGGTAGGCAATAGCTATTTCACTTAATCCTGCCAATAACGTGTGTGTTTTGTTGTCCTTGGTTCCATTAATATTCCTGAGAGTAAGTGGAAAGATGTAAAAATGGAAGAATAAAGAGTGTAAGGAAAGAAATCAGAGATAAAAGTAAATCAAATGAGACATATGTTTTATAAGTTTTAAGCCATAATCCTTGCCTTTCATGCAAGAGTGAATAAATTTGCCTCATTAAAATCTTTCTCCAAACAAACTTTGTTATTATTTGAGAACAAATCAGGTAAATTTCAGAAAAATCATTAAAAAGTCTATCTTTTTGAAATTATGGAATTAGGGGAAGAATTGTAGAATATTTATTGTTTAAGTGAATCTCCCTTATTATTTTTCTCTCACCCGAATTATGCCTTTTCTTACAGCTGAAGGAAAGGTGTATCAAAAAAGGTTGCTGGATGGTGTGAAGACTCTTAAAAGTGAGTGAGAAGTATAATGAGAAAGCAGATAAATCTGAGATATTCTCTTATTTTTCATATACACTAGTTTATTTTTATTACATTAAAAATTTCATATATGTATTTTCCAATATTTATGGATATGTTATATATGCCATAAATCCCTGGAAAATTACCCAGCCCTTTTAGAACTTGCATTATGTTGATAATGAACAAAAGATATAGTCAAACAATGAGACTCTATATCTAGTTTTAAAGTTGACCCTGCTTGTATACTTGACTAGGTCTTACTGGACCTGAATGTCTTCATGAGTAAAGTGAGAACCGTAATATACATGAATTAATAAGGAATTTTCCACATCTTGGTTGTTTTTATGATACTTTGTCTCTCCTAAGGAGGAAAGGTTGATATGAATAACCTGGACACATTTCTGGAAAATATGGGGATTAAGCTCTCACATAAAGAACTTGAAGATTTTTCACAAAACCTACCAGTTGATGGTGAGCATTGTACATAAAAATGTATTCCCTTTAGGACAGCTTGGGTTTGAAAGTATCGATAGACCAGTGATAGTGTTTATTTAGTATCAACAGGACATTTTTTTAAAGATTTTATTTATTTATTTGAGAGAGAGCACAAGCTGGGTGGGGAGGGGCAGCAGGAAGGGAAGAAGCGGGCTCCCTGCTTGCAGAGCCCGAGGCAGGCAGGGCTGGATCCCAGGACCCTGGGATCATGACCTGAGCCGAAGGCAGCCGCTTAACTGACTGAGCCACCCAGACGCCCCTCAACAGAACATATTTAAAAGCACGTACTGAATGGAGCACTGGGTGTTATATGCAAACAATGAATCATGGAACACTACATCAAAAACTAATGATATATGGTGATTAACGTAACATAATAAAAATTTTTAAAAAACATGTAGCTGAATGCAGGTCTCAAATGAAAGCACATCCTGACTCTTCATTAACAGAGTGTTCTATGAATAATAAAAATTAGTGAGAGTTCTGACAAACCATTCTTAGGTCAAAGCATGAAGAAGAAAAGGAAAATAGAATGTGAAACATTTAAAAGAAACATTAAAGAGGTAAGTAAGAGAACAGTCTATGATGAGGAATCGTTAAATTTGCCTGTTCAGATATAGTCAGAAAGACTGGAAAGGGATAGAGAGAAACACGCTAAGAATTTTAAAAGAGATATAACTGTGTATATCGAGCATAATAATACTATTACAGTAAAGTATTATGTATAACATGAGATTAAGATGTTAAATATATTAAAAAATTAACATTTTTCCAAAGTAAAAGAAATAAATTACCAATATTGATCAAAGAAGTGAAAAATATAGATAGACTAATAATGATAGTTGAAAAAAACTATCAAATAATTACATCTGTCAACTTTCCACCACCACCCATCTAACAAAAGGTGACAGGCCCAGAGAGTTTTAAGAGTAAGTTCTTTCAAATCTTCAAGGAACTGTTTATTTTAATGCTTACCGATCCAGAGGACTCCAGTTTAAGATGATAAACCAAAATCTGTCTAGTTTTTCTTTCCTCCAATACCTAACAAAATGAACAATAAGAACATAAAAGTAAAAAAATCAGCAAAGGAAATTCAGCACCAATCAAATAATAAAAGGAGGCCAACCTAATGCCATAAATGTTTAACGAGGACAACCAAGGAGATAAAAGATTTTTTGAGTAGAAACAGTACAGCACAACTAGACTCCTCTTAGCCTTTCTCCTCCCTCAGAAATTAAACTGGTGAAATCCTGAGATTTCTCACTAAAATGCCCAGATCTGGAGTGAAGCAAATTGGATAGATAACTTCCCCCCCCACCATTCCACTTACTAGGAAGGAATAGCTGGGGAAAAATCAATAAAACAGGAGAAATGAACAATAGGAATCACTCATTAATGAAAGTAAAAGCTTCAGAGCCAGAAATGGAGGTTTGACGTGAAGCCCGAGAACACCATCCCATGCACAGATCCGTGGTTTGTTTAAATGTCTTTACCAGGGTTCATTCTACCTAATTAGAGCAATGAACCCTGTTGGGACATTTGACCAAACCTCAGATATGAGAGCAGGACTCAAGTATAACAAAGGCCATGTAACACCTCATCACACCCTCAGATTACAATAGAAGTGGGTAGAACAGTTTTCCTCAAATGCATCTCACCGAAGAAAGCAAACTGGTCTCAGATGCTATAGAAAGAGCAACTAAAGGTTACATTAAATCTTGAGAATAAAATGAAGATCTGAACAGAGCTGTTGAAGCATATGCAAAATGAAAAGAAAGGACACGGCGACAATTCTACATTAACACAGCAAAGAAAAATAGTAAAAGGAAAATAAGAAAGAAAGAAGATAGAATGGAAGGAAGAGAACATGCGAAAAACAAATACCCCAGTCTAATAGTAGTATAATCAGTATAGCCTAAGGAACAGCCAAAAAGAAATGCTTGACAATTAATTCTTATTACAGAGCAACTTTAATGGATTCAATAAAACTAGATCTCAAAAATGAGATGGTTGGGCGCCTGGGTGGCTCAGTTGGTTAAGCGACTGCCTTCAGCTCAGGTCATGATCCCAGGGTCCTGGGATCGAGTCCCGCATCGGGCTCCCTGCTCTGTGGGGAGCCTGCTTCTCCCTCTCCCACTCCCCCTGCTTGTGTTCCCTCTCTCGCTGTGTCTCTCTCTGTCAAATAAATAAATAAAATCTTTAAAAAAAAAATGAGATGGTAACATAACATGATGATATTAAAAGGGAAATTGCCTAACTAAAAAAAAAACAAAGTGAGTACCAATCATTATAGAATTACTAAATAAATTATAAACATCAAAGTAAAAAATAGATATGGCTGAAAATCTTATTGACAGAGTAAGAGAACTTAAGATACCCACAGTAAACACAGGGGCACCTGAGTGGCTCAGTCAGTTAAGCATCTGCCTTTGGCTGGAGTCATAATCTCAGGGTCCTGGATCAAGCCCTGCATTGGGCACCCTGCTCAGAGGGGAGTCTGCTTCTCCCTCACCCTCTTCCTCTGCCCCTCCCCCCCACTCATGCTCTCTCTCTCAAATACATAAAATCTTTTTTTAAAAAAAGATACAGTAAATGCAGAGAAAAGATTAATGCTATCTGGAATTTAAATCAAAACTTAAAAAAAGATTAATGCTATCAAATATCTAGTAGATATGGATGATTCACAAAGTAACATAAAAATATCAAATATCTTTAGAGAATATAGCAAGTAAAAAATTTTAAATCAAATCTAGTTTAAGGAAAAAAAGAAAAGTTTTCTAAAATGAAGGAGTGAATGCAGATCAAAAACACCACACCAGTTCCAGAAAATGTTGATCCAGAATATTCTGCAGTGAAATATTTCCTAGTTTACTTATTGAGATAAAATGGGAATTCTTCAGATATAGAAATGTTAGAAAGCGCATAATAGATGGGGAGGAGAAGCAATAGGTCACCAAAGCAACATTCAGTTCCAGAAAAGAATGGAGGAATGTCTACAAAATTGAAAAAGAAAGTGTGGCAAAGAAAATTATACACAGCTAAGATGTCATTCAAATATAAAGACAAGGGGCACCTGGGTGGCTCAGTCAGTTAAGCGTCTGACTCTTGGTTTGGCTCAGGTCATGATCTCAGGGTCGTGGGACCGAGCCCTACGAGGGGCTCTCTGCTCAGTGGGGAACCTCTTTCTCCCTCTCCCTCTGCCTGCCCCTCCCCCTGGTTGTGATCTCTCTCTCCCTCCCTATCTCTCTCTCTCTCTCTCTGTTAAATAGATAAATAAAAAATAAAAAAACTTATTCTTATATCTAAGTAAATATGAAAAATTAGTAGTCTAGAACTAAAATTTAAGATGAGGGGCACCTGGGTGGCTCAGTCAGTTGAGCTGCTACCTTCGGCTCAGGTCATGATCCCAGGGTCCTGGGATCGAGCCCCGCATCGGGCTCCCTGCTCTGTGGGAAGCCTGCTTCTCCCTCTCCCTCTCTGCCAGCTTGTATTCCCTCTCTCGCTGTGTCTCTCTCTGTCAAATAAATAAAATCTTTAAAAATAAAATAAAATTCAAGATGATACCAACATTCTAGTTGAGGGACAGGTATCATAGGTAGAGAAAGCAGAAGGAACAGTCTCATTTTTGGTCTGTGACTGCTCTTTGTCTTACAGTTGATGGGAAGGTTGATCTGGAAAATGTGACACTGAAAATGAAAGATTTTACAGGTGAGTTTCTATAACACTGAAACCCCAATGCTTTATAGTAAATTATATTTGAATGTTATCCCAGCAGTCTATTGTTCATATTAATTTTGCCATCTTACCCAATTATTGTAAAATATTTCTGCCTGATAAAATCCATTTGATCTTGGATTAAGATCAAATGGAAATAAACTACATCTTGGAAATAAACTACTGGACTTGTTTTTGATAACAAGTCCTATATACTGTAGAGATGTTTTTCTCATATATGTATATATGTCTTTTCCTACATGCAAACAGCTAAATTTTAGGTAAGCATATGAATAAATAAGGTAAAGTTTTGTAAAGCTCAAGATAATGTGGATTTTGTGAACAATCAATTACATAAGTCATATAAGATCTCCTGCCATAATTCTTTCTTTTGGTGATTCATTATCCAGTTTGGTAACTAGATTTTATTCTGCACATTATCCACCAAATTAAGAGAGATTTTCTTATATCAATAATTTAGGAACAAGTTTGCTTTGACTTCTAATGACACACTATTTCTACATCCCATTTTACCTTTGCTCTTTAATCCTAAATTGGGAATGATGCTGTATAAGCTATTTTAAGTATATTTTAAAATACATATCATATAGGTCAATAACATATTCTTATGAACTTTTTGAACCTCCATAATATTGCATTATTAATTTCTAAAATTTTCACCTATAAACACTCTATATTTTCAAAGGAGAAAAGATTGATGCCACTAATCTGAAAAATATTCTTGGAGACATGGGGATAGAAGTCAATGATAAGGAATGTCTTGATCTACAAAAATCACTACCAATTGATGGTGAGCTGCGTCTGCAACCTCCAGAGAGTTCAGTTTTCTGGTTCTACTTGTGATATTTATATTTTAAAGTGACACATGTTCAGGTGTTACCTGCACCCATCCTTCAGCTCTTGATTTTGTATGAACAGTCTATTACTCTATGCCAATTCAAGTACAGAATTCAACTGTCAAAAGAATCCTTTTCCACAAAATCAGTGTTGAGGAAAGATGTTACTGATGATTTTGAAAGGGGGAGGAGAAAGGGATGTACATCTTGTCTCTCTCAGTAACATTGCAGAAGTCCTTGTAAATTCCTGTTCCCTCCCAGAGTCACTTTTCCTTACATTGCCCCTGGAGATTCCCTTTTCCTAATCCTTATCCCTTCCAGAGCTAAACCCTGAAAACTCCTCCCTCTGTTAAGCTCAATTTCTTTTTTTTTTATTAAGTTTTTATTTTAATTCCAGTGCAGCTAACATACAGTGTTATATTAGTTTCAGGTATACAATATAGTCATTCAACAATTCCATACATCACCCAGTGTACTTTTTTTTTTTTAAGATTTTATTTATTTGAGAGAGAGAGAGAGCATAAGCAGGGAGAGGAGCAGAGGGAAAAGGACAAGCAAACTCCTTGCTGAGTAGGGAGCCCAACACAGGGCTCAATCCCAGGACTCCAAGATCATGACCTGAGCCTAAGTCAGATGCTTAACTGACTGAACCACCCAGGCGCCCACAAGTGTACGTCTTAATCCCCATCACCTATTTCACCCATCACCCCACCTACAGCAGTTTGTTCTCTATAGTTAAGAGTCTGTTTCGGGGCACCTTGGTGGCTCAGTTAGTTAAGCGACTGCGTTCGGCTCAGGTCATGATCCTGGAGTCCCAGGATCAAGTCTGGTGTCAGGCTCCCTGCTCAGCGGGGAGTCTGCTTCTTCCTCTGACCCTCCCCCCTCTCATGCTCTCTCTCTCTCTCTCTCTCTCATTCTCTCTCAAATAAATAAATAAATACATACATAAAATCTTTATTAAAAAAAGAGTCTTGTTTCTTGGTTTGTCTCTCTCTTTTTTTTTCCCTTTGCTTGTTTGTTTTGGTTCTTAAATTCCACACATGAGTGAGATCATATGGTATTTGTCTTTCTCTGACTGACTTATTTCACTTAGTATAATACTTCTAGCTCCATCCATGTCATTGCAAATGGCAACATTTCATTCTTTTTTTATGGCTGAATAATATTCTGTTATATATATAATATGGTATCTATATGTATAATATGGTATACATACATACCACATCTTTATCCATTTATCTATCAATACAAACTTGGGCTGCTTCCATAATTTGGCTATTATAAATAATGCTGCTATAAACATAGTGGTGCATTATCCCTTTGAATTAGTGTTTTTGTATTTGGTGGTGGGGGGAGGTAGATACCCAGTAGTGTGATCAGTGGATCGATTACTGGATCTAGAAAAAATTACAGCTAACGTTTGTTGAGCCCTAATGATGTGCCAAGTTCTGTTCTCACCACACATAATGAGGACATCTTATGCCCATTTTACAGTGGAGGAAACTGTGGTACAGAAAGGCCACAGTTTGTTGCTTAAGGCCACAAAGCTAGGCAGCAGCAGAACAAGAATTTGAACCCAGGCTCTTTACCTCTACACCATATATCACACTATACCATAGTGAGAACTTTTTCATTGCTTAACTTCATCATGATTTGAAGGTGAAAGTGGATAGATTTCTAAAGTTAGTCATGCAAAGGAAACTCTGACCCTTATATTCTGTTTGTGACTCATTCTCTGTCCTGAACTGTGCCTTTCTTTCCAGATGATCAGAAAGTTTTTCGGAATAGATTGCTATCAACTTTGAAGTCTTTCAAAGGTGGGTAAGAAATATAATGAGAAAGTATATAAAATTGAGATTTTTAATCTCTGTATTTGTATTTTTTTTCCTAGTTATTAGGTCATGATTCCTCTGCCATTCTTTCTATATATTAATCTTAAAGTCTTTTTTTTTTTTTTTTTTGGTGCTGTACAGGCTTGATCCCCAGGGTCAGACTCAAAGGAATCAGTCCTAAGAATCTCCACAGTTGTTTTTCTATGTACTTTTGGATAGGTCTAATTAGACTATTAGCCTTCACAGTGCTGAAAATAAGCATCATAATGCTCAGCTGTGAATTGTTAGTTTTCTTGTATTTTTCTTTTCTTTTTTTTTTTTTTTTTTTAGAGAGAGAGCCAGGGGGAGGGGCAGAAGGAGAGAGAGAGACAGAGAGAATCTTAAGCAGGCTCCATGCCCAGGATGGAGCCCAATGAGGGGCTCAATCTCATCACCCTGGGATCATGACCTGAGCAGAAATCAAGAGTCAGACGCTTAACCGACTGAGCCATCCAGGTGCCCCTCTTCTATTTTTTCAATATAAAAGTTGCCATATGCCTACTAAATATAAATTAAAGAAAAAATAATCATCCATAGTCCTACTATCCAATCATTACCATTCTTAATATTTTGAAGCTTAAACTAGCAATAATCTCATCAAGTTAAACTAGCAATAATCTCATCAAGTCAAAAGTGCTCTGAAATTCCATTGGAAGACTCTATAAAAGACACCAGCATACTAGTCTTGATAAATCAAACATAGTCACTTTTTCTTGCAGTGGTGGAATACATTGTTATCCCTATAGTTAAGCAATTAGATAAAGTAGTTGGCTTACCTAACAGCCATAATATTAAAACTGCCTCCAAAACTAGAATCACACGGACTTAAGACAGTTACAGTATGATAGGTTTAGGGGAAATGAATCCATGTGATGGAATAATAAATTGATGTTGTCCATCTGAGATTCACTCTATTTATGTGCTTGCTGACTGCAGAATGTCAGAGAGAATCACATGCATTATTTACATTGTTCATTTTATGTATATTTTTACTGGGCATACAATTTTAAAGTTTTTTTTTTAAGCTTTTATTTATTTATTTGACAGAGAGAACAAGCAGGGGCAGCAGCCAGCAGCAGAAGAGGGAGAGGGAGAAGCAGGCTCCCCGCTGAGCAGGGAGCCCAATGCGGGGCTCGATCCCAGGACCATGGGATACAATTTTAATTCATATATGTTAAATGACTGCATGATACAACTTCACCCTATAAAATAACATTTTTTTCCTTGGCAATCAACAGCTGCGGCTATGTAGTTTTCTGTGGAATGAAGATATAATGGTTCACTTACCAATACCCTATCATTAGAAATTTAAGTTGTGGGTTCTTTTTTCTTTCTTTCTTTCTTTCTTTCTTTTCCTTCCTTCTTTCCTTCCTTCCTTCCTTCCTTCCTTCCTTCCTTCCTTCCTTCCTTCCTTCCTTCCTTATTACAAGGAAGATTATAATGAAAATTTCCCTCTCCCCTTTGGCATAGCTTTTTCTGCATTCCCAAAAGTGGAATTAGTGGGCTAAGAGTTATGAACATTTTAAAGAATCATGATAGTTGTTGCCAAACCACTTTCCAATAAGGTAATTCCAGTTAACACTCTAACCAGCATCCAGGCCTATTGAGAGTTGAATTAACTCATCAGCACAAGAAATTTTTTTCATATTGTATCTTTTTTGTTTTTTTCCTCAAACCTTTCTAAGGAGGAAAGATTGATGTCAATAACCTGAACACAGTTCTGGGGAACATGGGGATCAAGCTCAAAAATAAGGAACTTAAAAGTGTGATACAAAATCAACCTATGGATGGTGAGCATTGTAAACAACTGTTTTGCCTTTTGGGGGAGAGCTTAGAATCTTGGGATCATATGTAAGAATTTCTAAAACTAGATGGATTTAAGGAGTTTAAGATATTTTTAAGAATCATGGAGAAGAACTTGGTCTTAAAGTAAAAAGAAATCCTGTATTTTTTCACCTCAATTCATCTGAAATTATCACCCTAGTCAACAATGATTACTGCTGAGAGGATATTCACAGCTGATATCATGCCAGAGAATGGTAGAGAGAAACAAACATGGGAGCAGTGGGGGAAATGAATGAATGCCTAACCAAGAGAGCCTGAAATAATTGAGAGAAAAATATCCATAATAGGAACTAGTAGAACATCATTAATATTTCCTCAAATATCCAATAAGCCCATGTCACCACCATTTTGAGATAGAAACAGGAGTTGAAACACTTGAGAAGAGCTTATTGCGAATAGATGGAAGATGTGAAGCCCCTTGCTTAGTGTCTGTGCTAGATGTAAGGTTCACCAAAAAAAAACAAAACAAAATGAATTGACCTTTATGGATGATATCTTTTGCCATGCTTATAAGAAAGTGCTAAAGACCTAAGAACTGGAGATAATACGTTTGTCATAGTCAGACCCTGGGTTCAAGGGACATGGGCCAAATGCCACTGTCCTTCTTACTAATAAAGAATCAAGCACTCAAACCAGGAAATATAGATTTAAGGTGAACACAAATTATTTAATAGAATATATGGACTTTCATTGGGCCCTACGTCACAACTTTCCTGTCTTGTGTCATTGTCTGAATTTTTTATGTTTTGTCTTACAGCTGATGGAAATGTTTCTCTGCAAAAAGTGATGAGTGACGTGACAGCAGTTACAGGCAAGTTAAAAGTTATCAGTAAGATTAAAATTCTAATTCTTTTTTTTTCTCTGATTTTTTATTTTTTTATTTTTTATTCTTATATTAATCCCCATACATTACATCATTAGTTTTAGATGAAGTGTTCCATGATTCATTGTTTGTGCATAACACCCAGTGCTCCATGCAGAATGTGCCTTCCTCAATACCCACCACCAGGCTAACGCATCCTCCCACCCCCCTACCCTCTAGAACCCTGTTTGTTTTTCAGAGTCCATCGTCTCTCATGGTTCGTCTACCCCTCCGATTTCCCCCCCTTCATTCTTCCCCTCCTGCTACCTTCTTCTTTTTTTTTCTTAACATATATTGCATTATTTGTTTCAGTGGTACAGATCTGAGATTCAACAGTCTTGCACAATTCACAGCGCTTACCAGAGCACATACCCTCCCCAGTGTCTATCACCCAGTCACCCCATCCCTCCCACCCCACCCCCCACTCCAGCAACCCTCAGTTTGTTTCCTGCAATTAAGAATTCCTCATATCAGTGAGATCATATGATACATGTCTTTCTCTGTTTGACTTATTTCACTCAACATAATACCCTCCAGTTCCATCCACGTCGTTGCAAATGGCAAGATCTCATTCCTTTTGATGGCTGCATAATATTCCATTGTGTATATATACCACATCTTCTTTATCCATTCATCTGTTGATGGACATCTTGGCTCTTTCCACAGTTTGGCTATTGTGGACATTGCTGCTATAAACATTGGGGTGCATGTACCCCTTCGGATCCCTACTTTTGTATCTTTGGGGTAAATACCCAGTAGTGCAATTTAAAATTCTAATTCATAAATGACATTTTCCCATCTTGTCTTTTCAGTGAACACATAAATCCATAAGCATAGTACTAATTTCCATGACTCCCCCTCAACAAAATAACTAGAATATTTCCAATATCATTGCATCAATACATGGTTGCTTCCCTATCCCTTTACCATACCTCCCCACTTTTTGAGATAACACTCTCCTGAATTTTATATTGCCTATTCTTCTTCTAAAAAATTGTAATTCTAATCTGAAAAAAAAATTGTAATTCTATTACCTGTGTAACAGCATAATCTTTCATTTTGTTTCATTTGCCTCTATAAAAATGCTTTTGTAAGTGATGTGCAGTGTTCCCTAACCCTAATAGTGTGAGAAATATATTTAAAAAAGCAAGAAATCATTGTCCAAAAAGTCAGGATCATGATAACCTTCTAGAGAAAGATTGTGGATAGGGATTGGAAAATACTATGAGAGACCCCCAGAGTGTTATCAGTGTTCTATTTCTCACCTAGATGTTGGTTACAAGGGTGTTGTTACAAGTGCCTGTGTCCAATTATCCAGAGTCAGTCTTTGGGTTACCCATATTAAAATTTTTTTCTCATTTCTCCATAGCAAGTCCTAGATCCTCTAAAATACTTATCAATAATAATGCTTCTGATCTTCACCACTGAAAAAACTGAAAATCTGTATCAAGGATAAATAAACTACTGGCCACACACTAAATCTAGTCCTCTGCCCCTTTTAAAAAATAAAATTTTATTGGAACACAATCATATTCTTCATTTATGTATTATTAACGGCTTCTTTTGTGCTGTAATAGCAGAGTTGAGTAGCTGCAACAGAGGATCTATATCCTGCAAATTCTAAAATATTTACTACCTGGCTCTTTACAGAAAAAGTTTGCTAATCCTTGATCCAGATTACCACAATAATAGTTGAAGTAAAAATTAGGATATTGGCCAAATAATCTAATAATTTTAGGAAAAGCAGAGAGCGATATTAGGTTAATCTTTACATTCTAATTTACAAGACAATTGCCTAAATCCACAGTTTACTGAGAATTATGCTTTCTTAGCCCCAATGTTATGAAAGTGCATCTTTCCCTAGGGTCAAGGGAATAAGTTCTAATTCTCGTCTGCCCTTTACTCCACTGGGCAGGTCTTACTGTACCTTTGTCTTGTATCTAGCAGCCAGGGATGGTGATGTATAAATGTGGACAATTTTATTTCATATTTTTGAATACTTAGATAATTAGAATACTTGAATACTTAATAATACTTAGATACTTAAATAATATTATCAACTTTACTTGCCATTTCTCTTTTTTAAAGGAGAAAAAGTTAATGTCAAAGATCTGAAAAATATTTTGAAAGACATTGGGATAGAATTCACACCTAAAGAATACCTGGAACTGGTAAAAAATCTTCAAGTTGATAGTAAGCATTTCAAATACTATTAGAGCTTTCAAGGGAGGTTGGTCCTGTGTTTTTAAGACAACTTAAAAAAAAAAGCTGTATTTATTACATATGCTAATTTTAAAACAACAACAAAAAGAATGTCTAAGAAATTTTAGCATGGCCTTGTTCTTCCTTTGGAAAGTGTAATTTGGTTCTTTCTTTGGGAATCAGCAACTATTTTCTTGAATCCTGCCTTTGGATATAAAATTTTCAGCTATATTGTTGTTGCCTTCAAAACTAGAAGTTAAGCTGAGAGATGTAAGAAAAAAGTAAGGGTGGGAGGAGTACAAAGGAGTGGGAGAAAGAAGGAAAAGTCAAAGAAAGTGAAAGAAAGATGTGTTCATATTCCATTATGTCATTTGCCACCAATTACTGGTTTTGCACTTGGCCAGACACAGCACTCTGAGGGTTTTCTCCATTCTGTGGTTTCAGATTCATTGGAGGGTAAAAATCAAAGTTATCTCTAAGACAAATCATTTAAAAGTATCTTTATGAAACTTTACACTTGTTCTGTCTCTTTAAATATCTATATCACTGTATCTGAGATGTCAATTTTGCCTTTTCTTACAGATTATGGAAATGTATATAAAAATAGATTGCTAGATGGTGTGAAATCTTTCAATCGTAAGTAACATGATGAAAAGAAAGATAAATAAGATTCTCCTGCCTCATATTTGTAGTATCATTTAGCTGTTCTCTTGTGGATCTTACCACCTCTTATCTGAACTGATGTTGCTATTTTGAATATAGCTGCCTTGTTCAAAATCTTTCATTTTGCTGCTTAGTAAGTTTGGTTTTTCTCAAATTTAGTTTAAGAGCAGATTTAAATCTGGGTCTACATAGAAGATGTGAGGTAAAGAATTGGCAGTTGTTCAGGGCATTTCAGTGACTTGAAGAATTAAACTGAGCATTTATGCCCCACCTACCAGAAAGAAATTTTCAGTTTGTATCTCTACCATTGAAATTCATTGGAGAATGAATTTGTACTTTGTAGGATTGTCCTCAAGACCAAGGAAGAGGTTACAATTCTAATTTCATTTTGTCCACCTTCATGGACACTTGAATGTGTTGTGTCATTGATATTTTTGCTGCTAGTCATGGTGCATGGGGATTCATTGAAATTTTCTCCTTCAGGAAAGTCATTAAATTTCTCTTGTTGCCTGATTCTTTCTTTAGGTGGGAAGGTTGATGTCAGTAACCTGGAAGACATTTTAGAAAACATGAAAATCAAGCTCCCAAATGAGAAGCTTAAAGATTTGTCACAAAACCTACCAACTGATGGTGAGCATCATAGATATTAGAGACCTTTTAAAGGAGATTTAGATTTATAAGCTTATATCTGAGAATTCCTGGAACTAGATCTGTTTGGATGCTAATATGACTTCTTAAGTCTTTTTAACTCTTTAAACATAAAAGAGTATTTTGATTCAGTGTATTTTCATTAATCTCAGGGTGCATGGTACATGTGCTAGAGTGAGTTATAGGTGATAAATATTTACTTGAAAGAAGCTGAAAGAGGGCATATTGCCTGCAGAGAACAGGTTGCTAATTTCAGATTAACTACATGATTTAAATCTTTTAAAAGTCTTGTCACCCAAATACCATATGATTTTACATATATGGAATTTAAGGAACAAAACAGATGAACATGGAGGAAAAAAAGAGAGGCAAACCATAAAACAGACTCTTAACTATAGAAAACAAACTGAGGGTTGATGGAGGGAAATGAACAGGAGGATGGGTTAAATGGGTGATGGGTATGAAGGAGGGCACTTGTTGTGATGAGCACTGGATGTTGTATTAAGGTAATGAATCACTAAATTCTATACCTGAAACTAGTATTATACAGTATGGTAGCTAACTGGAATTTAAATAAAAACTTGAAAAAGATTAAAAAAAAAAAAAAGTCTTGTCACCCAACTATACATTCCTGTTGGGAGGAGGTAATCAAAAGGGTGTGACTACTGGTTGACCCTAGAGCCGGACCCAGGCAGCCAGAGGCTCCTCACTTCCTCCCCTGTCCCTGGAATATATGCTCTCCCCACCATTCTTACAGTGGGAGCCATGTTCAAGGATGCAGTCTTGAGGGAACAATGCATTTTGAAGCTATCTGGACAGTATACAAGACTGAATCCAGTTAAGGCCTCTATAACTTTTAAGATTCAGGAGGGTAGATGCAGAGATCTACTCTTCGGCCGGCCACCCAGGAGAAGCTTTGTATGTAAGTTCCCTTGCTTCTTAAATCTGCCATCTACCAATCTGGAGTGCTCTGCCTCATTCTTTAGTCTCTCTCTGCCCTCTGTTTATGGGGCCAGTTTTAGAGTGCATCCAGGAAGCTTTCAAGGTTGTGAACCAACAGTTCCTCTATACGTTTGTGATATTCCAACTTCCTGTGTTTTGGCACTGGCTTACGTTATTCCTTCCTGGTCTACCTTAGGAACTTTTAAACAGCAATGTTTTACCTTCTTTTTAAAATAGCCTTCTAGGGGCACCTGGGTGGCTCAGTCATTAAGCGTCTGCCTTCGGCTCGGGTCATGATCCTGGAGTCCTGGGATCGAGCCCCGCATTGGGCTCCCTGCTCGGCGGGAAGCCTGCTTCTCCCTCTCCCACTCCCCCTGCTTGTGTTCCCTCTCTCTGTGTGTCTCTCTCTGTCAAATAAATAAAATCTTTTAAAAAATAATAATAAAATAAAAATAATAAATAAAATAGCCTTCTAGGAGGGGCACCTGGGTGGCTCAGATGATTAAGCGTCTGCCTTCTGCTCAGGTCATGATCTCCAGGTCCTGAGGTCTAGCCCCACATCTGGCTCCCTGCTCAGCAGGGAGTCTGCCTCTCCCTCTCCCTCTGCCTTTCCCCTTGCTCGTGCTGGCTCGCTCTGTCTCAAATGAATAAATAAAATCTTATATAAATAAATAAATAAATAGATAGATAGATAGATAGAAAGATAGATAGCTAGCTAGCTAGCTAGCTAGCTTTCTAGGAGTACCTGGCTGGCTCAGTCAAATGAACATGCAATTCTTGATATCAGGGTTGTGAGTTTGAGCCCCACATTGGGTGTAGAGATTACATAACATATATTAAAAAATAGCCTTCTAGGGGTGCCTGGGTGCCTCAGCCAGTTAAGCATCTGACTCTTGGTTTTGGCTCAGGTCATGATCTCAAAGTCCTGGGATGGAGCCGCACATTGGAATCTGCACTGGGCACAGAGTATGCTTGTCCCTCTCCCTCCCCCTGCTTGAACTCTCTTTCTTTCTCTCTCTCTCAAGTAAATAAATAAGAACTTTTTAAAAAATAGCAATTCTAATTTTCTTACTCTAATTACCAAGACATATACTCCTCATATTCATCAAAAATACCAGTCCCTGCATTTCTACATTTTCTTTCCATACATAACTGTCTTTTAACTTTACTTCTTTCACTGTCCAACTACTCTCTCTGCCATACCTACTCTATAAAACTCCCAACATTTGATCATCTGAGTCATTCAGATCTTCACTTCTATTGCTGAGCCTTGCTAAAGAAAATCATATAATCTTGCAGATTGGTGCCCCTCTAAATTCATTTTCTCCTGGATTGTACAAGGACTTAAGAACATATTAACTCCAGGGGCACCTGGGTGGTTCAGTGGGTTAAGCGTCTGACTTCAGCTCAGGTCATGATCTCGGGGTCCTGGGTTTGAGCCCCGTGTGGGCTCCCTGCTCAGTGGGGAGTCTGCTTGTCCCTCTCTCTCTGCCCCTCCCCAACTCATGCACATGCGCTCTCTCTCTCAAATAAATAAAATCTTTTTTTTAAAAAAAAGAACATTTTAACTCCATTTTCCCCTTCCCTACATTAATGTTGCTTCATATCTTTTAATACTATCTTGTATTCTTTTACCTCAGCAAAATATTATTAGAGGAATATTTTATAAAGCCAATATTCATTCAGATTTACCCACTTTTGCCTTTTCTTTGCTATTCATTCTTTCTTCTACTTCAGACCTTTCATTTGGGATAGTTTTTCTTCTGCTTGAAGTAATTTCCTTTATTTAGGATCTGCTAGTGACAAATAATGATTTCTGAGGGGTTTCTGGCATAAACAAATTTTTTTTATTTTACCCTTATTTTTGAAAGATATTTTCTCTGGGTTTAAAATTCTAGGTGGAGGTGGCACCTGGGTGGCTCAGTCATTAAGCGTCTGCCTTCAGCTCAGGTCATGATCCCAGGGTCCTGGGATCAAGCCCCGCATCGGGCTCCCTGCTCCACGGGAGATCTGCTTCTCCTTCTGCTGCTCCCCTTGCTTGTGTTCCCTCTCTCCCTGCCTCTCTCTCTGTCAAATAAATAAATAAAATCTTTAAATAAATAAATAAATTAGTTAATTAATTAATTAATTAAAATTCTAGGTGGATAGTTATTTTTGTTCAGCTCATTAAAGTTATCATTCCACTATTTTCTTCTTTATAATGTTGCTGATGAGAAGTCAGCTGTGAATCTATTGGTCTTTGGAGAATAATCTTTCTTTTCTTTTAAAACATTTCTCTTTAGTTCTGAAGTTTCACTATAATGTGGAAAATAGGAATGGACTTCTTTCCACTTATTCTCCCTGGGGTTCTTTGGGACTCTTGAGTCTGAGACTTGGACTCTTTCATCAGATCTGGAAAATTCTCAGCTGCTGTCTCTTCCAATATTGTCTCTATCCCATAGTCTTTTTTTTTCTGTAGACTTCCAATTAAATGTATATTAAACCTTTTTCCTCCATCCTCTGTGACACTTAACCCCTCTTCAATATTTTCTGTATTTTTCTTCCTGTGGGTCATTCTGGATGGTTTTGCATGACCTAACTTCCAGTACACTCACTCTTCAGCTGTGTCTTGTCTGCCATTGCATCTAGCTATTTACCTCTTGATTTCATTTCTTGTATTCCTGTTGTTTATATTCTTTTTTGTATTTTGTCATGTATTCTTTTGTTTTGTTTTTTATTCTCAATTTCCAGAAATTCAGCTTTGTTCTCTTTCAAATCTAGT